AATTGATAGTCTTATTTACAAGTAAAGAAGACGTTAGGCATTTCTCATGGTTTTTTTACCCAGCATAATCTAATAACGACCCGTTTAACTAGGCGATCTCTGGCGCGATTTTTGCCGCGATTTTAGGCCGAGAGCGGGTTCAAATCCAACGTAAGGGTAAGCTAGAGGCGATGTCATGCAATTTCAATTGCGATTTTAATACTGGCGAATTTCTACGCAAGAGCTATTATATCTGCACGTACGTTTACATTTAACAAGTTTTGACCCTTCTTCACTAGTTGGGTTAAAAATTAGACGTGTAGTAAGCAGAGCAAACTTGAAGGTGTTTTCATGCAATCAAGTTCAATGTAATCTCGACGAGAGTAAGCATAGCTGATCGCCGAAGTGTCTCAAACTGTTTCTCTATGCTTTAGAAGCCTGGGAAGTGTTTGATTAATTTGTTGCTGCCCAAAACTCCTTTTATCTGTTCGGATATCTTGGGGAACAGTACAGTTTGGCCGTGCCAAAAGTTTTAGGTGGTTTTTTATCTCATCTTAGACTGTTAGTTATCCTGATGGGTCTGGACAAGAGCGAGGCGTAGTAGCCGTACTTTTTATAAGAAAATTGTAGGAGACGTCGTCTCTAAACCGAAATTTTCAAGAGACCTTTTTTATAAAAAAATAATAATCGCGTTTTCAGGTTTGCCCCGTATGAATGGCCTTAGTGATTAGTCTGCAAATTTTATTAAAATCCAGTTTTATCCATTCGTTTTTTAAAACCCTTTTGAGCAAGACAGGGGATATCCTCTCTTGCTTTGGAGAGGTCTTTATTCTCAGCTACCGTGAGCCATTTCCATCCAAGTTACTACTTTTCAGCTCCAAACTAAAATTCATTTCGACCACTCTTGTTTCGACAGAATCTTTTTAAACTTCCCTGCCGGTATCTTTCAAACCAGCGATTTGAATTTTTAAATTGGAATTCATTCTTCCATAAGATATATTCAGTTATCCAAATTTTTGCTCAAACAGCTGGCAAAATGAGCAGCTGAAATCCTTTTTATTTTGCTTGTTTTTTCGATTCTAGGCGGCACCTTAAAACTCTTATCTTTTACATATTAATGTGATTTCTCTGTGTAAAATCAAGTGCACTTAATCGCTCAACGACAGCATTATCCAATAATGGCTCTTTTTCACCTGGAAATTTCGCTTGCCTTAAGCGGAGGCTTTTCGTTATCACCGAACATAAGCTATGTTAGTGGGTTGAGTGCAACTACAGAAATTAGTATAGGTAATAGCATGATTTGTAGTGATCTTTGGCATAAATACCACGAGTGATATTTCGAAATTGTTATACGAAATTTCACGAGCCGTTAGGCGGGTGAAATTTGAGACAATTTGAAATATAACGAGTGGTATTTATGCCAAATATCACGTTCAAATAATGCTATAATTTGTTTATCTTACTACCCGCAAAAGTTTTGTAATTTTCACATGTAGGTTTTTTCAAATTAAGCTGAAATACCACTGCTCCAAGCCAATCAAATTGCAGAAATTTCTAATGTAGTATTATAAAGCAATTAAGGAGAAAATCGGCAGAGACGTTCCCGAAAAATTAAGTGAGGAGTATAAGCTGGGTGTCGCTTAGCTTCTTCTTACTTGAGTATTCCAAATAAATGTAATTTATTTGGAATACTCAAATTATCAGCATTTTATGTAATTACGTCAAAAAATTCTTTGAATACTATTCTCACTGCATACACAATTGGCCCTTGACGTGGGAAATAAGAAACTCTTTAAATTCCGTCGTGTCGGGCATGCGCACTGGTGGCATGATGCATTGCGGCCCTTGGTTAGAATTAATCGGTCTTCGCCAGTTCAACGGAGTTCAGTGGAAGTGATTTCAAGTTTCGCCCCTTCCACCACCCCTAGTGGCGATTGAGGTCGTATACCCTCATTACTTGGCATGCCTATACATATTGTCCTGGCAGTCGCGGTTTCCTTCAATAACTTAGTTCCCTTGACGGGACAATGGGTATGCGATGCGAATATTATATAGTTATTTGTTGGATCGTTACTGGGGACACGCCGGTCAGCTATTGGCCAATAGAGAAGAAAAGTGTGACAGAGACGACCACATCCATTGTCGAACGATGGAAGAAAGAGAAGTATGGGCTATCTCTTTGTTCTAGAGTGCATTCATACACAGCCGGGGAAAGTCGTCATACAAGTCAGTTTTTCGTTTTTTAATTTCGTTATTTGCAGGACCACACGGTTTGTTGACATCCAGCAATTTTGCTACCATGTTTACGTGACGTAACTACTTCTTCTCTCTATTTTTTCCCTATCCCTAGTAACAGTCCCAGAAGTCTTCGCGAAAGTTACCGTAAAATCTGAAAATAAGCCTCTCCATGTCATAAGCCCCTCCAAATATAAGCCCCCCTCCCCCAAATCGGTAGTGCAAAAAACCCTCCGTTAAATCATAGTTATTAGAGGAGACTGGTTATGAAAAGCGGAAAACATCAATGATAAGAACAACAGTGCTGCAGTTTATGTTGGAAGTACCGTGAAAGTGCACAATCCTTTGTTTTCTGTTGGCAAATTGTTACGGAATAAATTAATGCAACGTTTTTATTGGTCAATACAATCAAAATGATAGGAATTCTTTTGAACGTTGTGCACTTTCAGGTCCACAAAAACATATAACAAAGGAGTCTGACGGGTTTCACAACCATTCCACTCAATTAACTATGGTTAAATCGCCCCTCCAAATATAGCCCCCTGGGGCTTGTCCTTGGAAAATTGCCCTCAAATGCAGAGTAAAACAAAGCAAAAACGGTAAATTTACTTCCAACTATGAGGCTAGCCCAATCGATTTTGAAACGCAATTTTCCCTCCGTAGATAAGCCCCTCCGAACATAAGCCCTTCAACAACGGCCTTTGAAAAATGTAATAAACCGCTGGGCTCCTGCCTCTGGGCTTATTTTCGGAATTTTATGGTAACTCGACCCAATTTCATTGTCCTATGGAAAGAGGTGAATTTTTGAGAAATCCCCGCATTTCATGAAATGTGTTTCTAAGCCTATGTTTTTGACTCTGCGTTTCAGGAAATAAAAGATGGCTGCAGAAAACACAAGCTTGTTTCCTTATCAGAAGTGCTTGATGGTTGCCCTCTCCGACAAGGAAACCCAGCTACAGTTAAGGGACATCACCAACTATGTCATCATCCCTGTTCAAATACTGGTGATCTTTGTGTCACTCGTTTGTAACGCATTTGTTGTCATCACTGTAGCACACACCCAATCCCTCCGGCAACATCCTCCACAATTAATGCTGAGCAGTTTGGCTATCACTGATGTAATATTTGCTTTGAACGCCCTCTATAGAATCATACTAGTATTAACTCACGAACACAAGTGTCCTAACAATACAACCAGCCCTCTCATTGCTGGTCTGTCTATACAAGCAACATTCGGAAATATGGCAATTATCAGCATAGACCGTTACTTAGCGGTGCGAAAGCTGTGGTGGTACAGTGCTCACATGACTAAATCTCGCACCCTTAAGATGATAGGTCTTCCGTGGGTTGCAACTGTAGTAGTTGCATCTTTGTTGTACCTAGAAAGCTTGTCTGATGGCCCATTCCCTTTTGGTAAATTCATTGCTTTTTTGTTTTATTTTCTTTGCATATTTTGTACAATCTTCTCTCATATTTTCTTGTTCTGTAACAAGGCGCCCCTCGAGGAAGTTATGAACATACGCAGTGTATATGAAAGGGAAAAACGACTGGCCAACACTGTAGCCTGGATTCTTTTGCTGTTAGTGGTGCTCTTTCTGCCTGGTACCATTCTTCCTTTGGTTTTAATGGCAGCTAACGTGCCAAATGTTCCAGCCTATGCTGGATATAGCATTTTTCTTCTCTTGCTTAACGGGCTGTTAAACCCGTTGGTGAATTTTGGAAGAAACAAAAGAATGCGTAAAGCTCTGAGAAAGTTAATGACGTGCTCCCAACAAGTAGAGCCCGTCATGTAGCAGCTCCCCTAACCCTAAAAGCCAGTTGTTTTGATGCCCTAACCGTGAAACAATGGGAAATAATGAGAAACAATGAAGTGTTATTGTTTTCTGCGACCAATGAGGAAACATGCATTTGACATATCCTCCTTCCCAGTCCCTTGAGAGATCACCCGAGACGAGATGAATAACTCGAGAAAAAGGGAAAAAGAGAAGAACGATGGAGCCTCCGTCCTTTGCGCCAAAGTACGGACGAAGACTGGGGGAGCTAAGGACAGGCTGGAGAAAAGGACTTTATTTCCTGTATATATATGCGTCTTATAACAGTCAATATCACTAATAAATGTAACTTAAAAATCCAGAAAAAGTTGTGACTCAACGACTGAAGCCTGTTGAGTTCAGGAATCTTTTATTTGAAAATGTACATTAGACTTAACCCCGCTCCCCCATCCTCTCGCCCCGCAACTGCATACGGTGAAAAATAGGGACTTTGCGATCCGGTGGCAACGAGAACGTCAAAAAACAAAAGGTTTAGAAGGTAAGACGACAACTTTGTACGTTTTTCCATGACTACGACGTACATATAATTGTCTAATTTTACATTTTATGGAAGACGTAGACAAGCGACGATGAAATTTAATTTCGGCTCTTTCTGAACTTGGAATTCAACTCCTGGGGGGCTCGCCTACTTCTGATAAAGTAAATGGGTAGGAATAATCGCGATAAATACTGGAAGAACGTAAATCCACTTTTTAGACGACTGCCATGGCGTCGTCGGATCGTAAAGACCCTAATATCATGCAGGTACGTGGACGAAGATGGAGAGCAAGCTTTCAGAAACAGACAAGGTGTATTATGGTCTATGTGAAAATTGTGAATGGTTGCCACGAAAATCAATACACCAGAGTGGCAGAATTTTAATTCCTTTAATGGTTTGCTCTCTGTACACATGGTGAATATAAAAATAATACTAGGCGTGAATTAGAACACTGACCTTATCCGTGTAAAAATCTATACATCTTCTAAGAAATAGTTTTCTTTCCTTTAAAGAATAAAATTCCCTCTACAATAATCATTTGCGACCGTATTTAATTTGAAGATTGAAATCTGCACGAAACACGAACGAAGCTTTAAATAAGACTCAACAACTGGCATTTTACAATCGCTAAGTACAGCTATCTACGAAATTGGGTGATGGCAAATTATTCTTTTCCCCATAAAAATATCTAATGAGATAATAATGACCCATGGTAAAATAACTGTTTTTAATGAATTTCGAAAGATAAAAGAACAAACGTTGTTCTCCCCTTGAGAAACTTTAGGGAGAATGAGTACATGCTTTGGGCGCAGTGATCTCTGGGATCGTTTGTGTAGACAAGCGTTAATTACGAATGGTCGATGGTATTCAAGGCAACCAAGTAACGCTTGTCCAACGCAAAGATCTCGGAAGTAGTTGCGCCGAAAGCTTGTACCCTATTCCCTTGTGGTTTCTGGAGTGGAGAATTGGAATTCCCCATTCTATGGCGTTATGAATGCTATCCGGTCATGTGACTGTCGCGTACAAGACATGACTATTAAAAGGGACAAGTGCTTTCTAGTCATTAGACATGTGCGTATATGGCGTTAAAATCTTTACACTTAATGCGTGGTACTTAACGTTGCTTAATAAGTAACTGTAATAGATTGGCTAAAATCCTAATTATCTGACCATCCTTATCGCAACCTGTTTGTTACGGGTCTACGTAGCTTCCGACGGAGACGTTCTTGGGGCTTCGTCACGCGTTCCTGTCTCGTTGGGTAGGATTGCGCGACGAGACAAAAGAACGTCTGCGTGGGAGGCTAGGGTCCACTTTGCTCGCGTTTTTAACCTTGTCACGGAACATCGTGACATGGTGTCATGAGGGAATTGCGTGACGAGGCGTACTGTGCATAAGAAACGAAATCCATTATCATGCGATCTCACGCCACACTAGTGCTTCTTGGCTTTTTTCCTTCTCTTGGTAGTTAGACGGCGTGTTTTACTCATGAAAATAGTATTTCCCCACTCTAACCAGCTAAACTAATCACTCTAAAAGATATAATTTGTACAAGTTTACATTGGCGGTTAAGCAGCCACTATCGCCTGGGCTGTAATTGATGCCTCGCACCACCAGGAGCAGAAGACCGCTGATCGTCCATTCTGTTTGACTGCAAGCGAAGTATGAGACCGAAGAAGTCCTCGTCTGGTACCGTGGGCGCAGAAGGCGGAGGCTCTGAGCGCTGATCCTCAATACGATGAGACTGGGGGAAGACAAAATCATAGTTTGTTTAAGGGAATCGAGAAAATGAGGGTTCATATTTTATTCAGGAGTAGTTATGGCATTCTATTCATACTGGAACTAGGTCACTCAACAGATCAGAGTAAGGTAGTTGGTGTAAAGCGTACTTTACTCGTTCAGTGCCTACTTTTTGAATGTACTTTATCGGGCCGATCATACATCAACAAAAACCTATTTCACCTTTGCTCCTTCCTCTCCAAAAATGAAAAAGAATCTATTCGCGTTTCAAGTGGAATTTATTCAAGCTGAATAGGTTCATACGTAACTGGGTCTAATTTCCATTTTTTAGCTACCTCGGCTCCTTTATCCCGTGGTTAAATCACTATCCAGTGATTAATCCCGTGAATAGCGCTGTCCAGCGTTTAAACAACCGGGTTCTGGGCTCTTAATTCGTCATTTTCACATAAACCATAATGCACCTTGTTTACCCCCAACATTTGGCATAACCTTTGTCTTCGATTTCTCTTAGGACGACTGTATAACCCAAAAAAGAGATTGGAAACAATGGTCTATGTGAAATTAGAAAAATCCAACTAGATCAATGCTACGTTCTGATTGATTGAGCTTTATCCGGCTGGATATGTTATAGCCAACTCGAAAAGCGCAGGCTTTTGAACAAAAAAGGAATTTTGGGCTACCTTTAACTAGCTAAATTTTTTTATTCTCGATATTTTTGACGGACTAGTTGGATTTTACTAAAACAATTATTCCCATTGCCCTCATGGCTCTGAGTCAATGGGACCCATTCGGCCTTCGGCCTCAGGGAAATTGAAACAATGGTCCATTCGTGAGGAATAATTGTTAAATGGTGAATCCATAAGGTTCTTATACACAGTTGTTAACTGTAGTTCAGGTTAAATCCGCTAAGGTCCGGAAAAGCTACAAATAATACAAAATGGGGATAATTTCGCAGTGAACTTGACTTCTTGCTTATTTATTCCATGTCCGTTAACAGGAACGAAAAAAAAACCTTACCTGACTTCGGAGCACCATTTCGTACAAGGCGTCATCACTGGTACCGCTTTCTCCCTTCTTGGACCTTTTTCCTTATTACAAGAAAAATAATGATACAACTTTTTATTGGTTTCAAGTACAAAAGTAACAGGATAATATCAAATTCGACTGGTTACATGTAAGGTCACTAAGGCCACGTGTTTATGGAGAAGAGATGTGCTAGAAAAGAGGGTCGTCCTCCGAGACAACTTTTTAAAGTCTTGTCTCGTCTTGACTGAGTTGACCTGGCTGGGCGAGCCAAAGTGTTTATATGGAGAAGGCCCGGCTGGAAGGTGACCCGACCATCGAAAAAGGGTCACCCTTCTAGACGAGCCAACTGTTTGTTTCTCATATAGGATATTCGACAAGTTTTTTGAAACTTTGGGTCGCCAAGGGTTGTTCGGGTAGGCGGGTGACCCTTCTACCGGGGAATAAGTTTTCTCCAAGGTGAGAAAAGGGTGGATTAGGATACGAGAGTGACTGATGCGCGCGTCATGTCTTGTCGTGATCCCCACCCCCCTTCGGGATCAATAGGGAGCTTAAGCAACAACCACGGCGACGGCTACCAAAACGTCACTTAAAGAGTGAAGTCGCGCTGCTTCAAACTTAATCGCGCTTATTCCAACTCCTTCAATTCGTCAAATGTTGGCAATTTTTTTCTGGAGTTTAATTCTAAAATACTTTATCGAAGTGCAGGAAAAGAAAAAGAAAGTCGTTGTCTTGTGTTCAGGTCCTCCTCAAAACGTGAAATTAGGTACTTTCATGCCGTGAACGTGCAACGACGGCAAGTTATTAAACAAAATTAAACAATGATTTGGAGGTAGCACATCCACAAAGTGGGTCTTCGTCTACCTGATTCCTGGTCGAATTGGAATTTGGAAACGCTGGTTTTTGAGGAGAGGGGAAAACCGGAGTACGCGGAGAAAAACCTCTCGGAGCAAAGGAGAGAACTAACAACAAACTTAACCCACATATGGCGTCTACGCCGGGATTTGAACCCGGGCCACATTGGTGGGAGGCGAACGCTCTCACCACTGCGCCATCCCTTGCTCCCCGAAATGTACAAAAAAACGTGATCTACGTGAAAAGTTGTGGTTTTGCTAATCTAAACCTATAGTTTTTTTCGCCGTCGTCGCTGCTTAAGTTCCCGAATATTATATCACGACTACTCATATATCACGACTACTCATATAATACGTACTTATCAGTGAGGGGTCGTCGTCGGCAGGCAAGTCACTGCGTTGTTCATTCATTCTGTCTCCCTGCACACGTTCCACCATGTCTAACATATCCTCAGTGCTTTTGCTCTTTTCGATTGGTTTAGGTAGCTCGCAGCGCTGTTCGTCCATACGGTTACCTTGGCAACGGGTTAGGAACTCAAAGAAATTCTCGTCCAAGGAGTGATCGTTTTTCGCCTAAGAATAGCGATGAAAAAAGAACGATGTCAGCTTAAGAAAAGAATAAGGTTGCGAGTTTAATATATCTTAGAAAAACTTGCTGGAAAAAACTCTCGGCGGACGGTAAACAAATGTGGCTGAAACACTCCTCACGCTGACGGAAACCTACGTCATATAAACGAAATTGAGAACTCCTGCGCACCTGCCTCCAGACCGACCGCTGACAACTGGCACTACTGGCTCTTCTTGCAAAAACTCCTTTCAGTTGTACTTAAATGAGTTGGTCAAGTGCATCTTAACATCAGTTTTCGTTTTTTGGAAAGCAGGTAGACACAAGCTTTCATTATACTAACAAGTCAGACAGTGACCGATAAACATAACGAACGAAATTAAAAGTCCCCCAGTGAGTTATTCAAATATCCTAGATGAAAGGCACTTTCTTAATTTCTACTAATTAGTTTAGAGTTTCTGAGTTAAAAATACGTAAGGCACGTTTGTCAGTCCAATAAAACGGCTAATTTACAAGCTACCGGCGTCCTAATGGGGCAGATCCTCTTTTCCGAAGGTTATTGCCGAGATTAAATCAAATCAGTTATTTTTGATATCTTTAATCCGGCATCTTCGCCATACATTTTTTAGAAATGGCTTCAAGATAACGACGGAAAAGCGTAGTCTCCAGCTAGTTCATTGCAGTTATTACATCAGGAAGTTATTTTCACTTAGAATAGGTATCAAAAACTTAAATATTGCTCACTGCTTACCGAGAAAGAATTCCAAGCATTCGTAAAGACCACCATGGCTGCTTACTTGGAGTTGCAATATAAAATGACGCTTACAGTTTCTTTGTTTCCGAGTAATTTTAATTACATTTTTTGTACCTTTACGAAGTTGTTGTCATGCACCACTTAAACAGAAGAGGTTTGAGGAATTTGCTCAATATAAATTGAATATTTACGTTCTAAACGCGTGAAATTAAAAAAAGAAAGAAACTGCTACAACAGAAGCGATGAAAACAAATTAACGTGCCAACGATTTGTGTGTGAAGTACACTCGGAAATGGCGAAGCACACTCGGAAATGTTCATTTTATTTTCATGCAAATAAACCTCACTTCAAAAGAAAAATCTTGCACTTGGTCCCACTTTAAAATTGAGGGTATTTGGAACTAGGAAACGGTCTATTCAATATTTCAAGAACAAATGGAATGTTGAGATGATGTTGACGAAACGTTTAAACGAGTTTAAACCGCTCAAAATGTAACAACATTACGCAGGCTATCAAACGCTGTCAGTAGATGCCGAGAAAGAGTCAGGATTCGCAAAAATATATTCGTATAGAACAGCTCAAATGGTTAGATGTAAGTTACTAAGAAAAGCGCCACGGAATAAAAATAGCCTGGGAAGCAATAACGTTACGCATCATTTTTCAGAGACAACTTTTACCATACTTGCGTAATATAAAGCATGAGTGAACTTACAGTAATTGCATAATTTAAAACTAGAGAATTATGCTAAAAAGCGATATGACGAATTATTTAGTCCGTAAGTGGTTGCAATCTAAGAAATGAATGTTCTTGTTCCCATAAGTCACACTCGCATCAACGTTTTACATTTATTAGAATTTTTCTATTTTTACTAGCATTTTTAAAATTTTAGTTCAAAGTATTTCTGCCGATTTGCGTTCAGTCTGCTGATAAGTGTTAGATAATGGTCATAGAGTTCACCCCGAGACCAAACTATACTATTAACTGGCAAAACAGTTTGCCTGGTTTTGACTCTTGAAAAAAGTGAGCTCCAGCGACTTTCCAGTAAACAGCCTGCGAGCAGGCTCACTTATGCGAGTTTGGTGAAAATTTTGGCAACAGAACTGCCATAATTTTCCCTGAACTCCACAACTGAGCCTTTCCTCGAGGGGTGGCGGTTCTGCCGCCAAAATTATCACCAATCTAGCACAGGCAAGCCTGCTCGCAGGCCATCCAGCATAATAAACCCCATACTGCGAGTCCACAGTTTTTTAAAATTATTTTTCAGCTTACCTCAGGACTGCGAACACGAACTTCAACGTCACCATGGTCTAATGGTTTTCTGGAGGTCAACGATGACGAACGAGCTTTGGTGCCTCCCTGAAGAAAATGAGAAAAAAAAACTCCTTTCATTATTTTTACTCTGAACAATTCCAAAGTGCTAAATTATGAGAAGAGGTGAGTCGAAAGTTAGTGAAATACTCGTACAGCATAACAAAGGCGTAAAATTCTCATTTCATTGGACGAGCAAGACCTTCGGATGTTTTTGCTTTTTCAGTTGAAAAGTTTTCCAAAACATTTTCTAACACCACAAGTATCAATAAAGCATAGCATAGAACGATAGAAGTGACTACCATACCATAACACTCAAGAGATCTCAGAGTCGACTTGTCAAAACTTTGCTATAACTTGATCAGTGAAACCCCGACAAGAGGTTGGGAAAAGCGTCCGTTATTCCACGCTATATCATCTGAGTTCTGGCCTCAAAATCTTGTTAATAAAACCTTAAACTTGTTATGTAATACGTCATCGCGCTTAAGTGACACTTGAAGAGACAGGCATAGCTTTGACGTAACGAAATCGACGAAAAACAAAATAGACGGATTAGGGCTTTGTCTACGGGTCTTTAAAGCTAACGTGCATGACACGTGATAATGAAGCTAACAGGCGAGACATTTCTCATTATTGCAATATTAACTTATTTGCCTTGTAAAAAGTATAAGAAAAGGAGGAAATAACGATGTGTTGAAATAAAAACTACTATGTTTTTCCGTCTGTATAGCTACTTTTTATTTTAGCGCTCAGCTAGAACCGTACAATTGTTTTTTTTTTTCGTGATATTGATTCCCCGAGGGGTCACTAAAAGGCACTTAAAAAGATCCCAGCGAATACAGATCCAATATTTTCAGCAACAATAAAATCATCGCTGCTGTGTGTCGTTTGTATGATGGAGTACGTGCTGAACGTCAGCTATAAAGGATTCTTAACAAATTCCAGAATCTTAGTTCTCCTTTGAGCGCCTTTTCAAAGAATCCAACATTTGTTTGATTATCTTCGTTGTCATGGACGATATCCATCACAATCACAATGCGGGTGGATGACGTTGGACCGACATGTTGGAAATGGGTATTACAGCGATACTATATTGCCAAAAAGATACTTGATGAGAAAAATCGACATAGATGCGATTTTCTATTCACCAAAGAATTTAGAAAAACCAAAGAAACGCTTATTAATCACGTCAAGAGTTTCTGCGGTAAAGTTTTGTGAGTATTAAGAAATATTTGTTGTTTTTGCTCTGTTCGCATCGTAGGTGGAGGAACACAAAACGCCCACGCTATATCGCGCAACACTCCCAGCCTAGGAAGTGTAAACAAGTGGAGAAAGACAAAAACGAAAAACAACAACAACATGGTGAAGTACTAAAAAAGGCGATCATGCATGTTTCGAGACATCCGGTACTCGGTCAAAATTTATCGGTGTCAAATGGTTTCTCATTAAGCAAAATAGTTACAATGTTGGCCAAGTTCAGTTGGTTCCCTTGACCACACCTTAATGGCTCATATCAATGTCTGATCTGACCAGACTGTCTGAAAGACCATTTATGATCATAAGCTGCTTATTAAGCAAACGGCAAATCATCAAGGTGAAAGTTTTGCGAAGAACGTGAACATAACATGGGTATGTATTTTTCTGTCTGAACTTAAAACATGAACGTGGTATTGAGCTCCTAAACGATGGAGTGTGTTTGCGCGAATATTCTTGGTTCAGTATAGTTTCCTTGGCATCGCCAAGCTCCCTAATTCAAAACAACAATAACAAAATGACGGCCAAAAAAGGTAAAAGGAAGTTGACATAGGAAGTGATATACGCAAAGCGGGCCTTTCGTCGTCAGGTTCGAGACCTTTCCACGACACCACCTACAATTCAAGCAATTTCTTAAAACACAAGGCGACACAGCGTTTTCGAAGCAGACTGACGCAAAGGGAACTTTTCACCATTATTGTCATAATTCTGGTTTTCCGGTCAGCATCAACCTATCAACAAATCCATCAGTTAACATAAAAAAAACCCTTAGCCTTGTTTCAAAATTTTGCTCTTTGGAAAAGCTCAATTCTGAGAAAGATAGCTGCTCAAGTAATCTGCGACTGTACTGCGCTAAAAGCTTCCAATATATGAGGTCGAGCCTTTACATAAATTAGACGATTGTGCACACTGAGAGAGAAATATATTTTTACGGTTACTTAAATATTTGAGGGTCATTCCCTTAATAATAAAAAGACAAATCAATTACTTAACATTTATGCATCAGTTTTTTAAATTCACTTCAAATGCGTTGTTGATGAAGCGTGTGTTTAAGATGGCTGGATATTGGGCAAGTCCTCATTTTAGGTTTAAAAAATCGCGCACTAAAGTTCCCGAAGTTGAATGGTTTACTTTTTCACTTACTTCTGCCGAAGTTGCTGTTTCCACTTTCTTCTTGTCTTAAAGAAAAAACAAAACGTATCAAAATCATTCTGCATAGGCTGCAATAAAACAAGAACATCCTCTCTTTAAACTTGAGGAATCTTTTTTCCAGACACGAGACCTATCCTAGACAAACGGATCACTGAATACAATTTCAGAAACAAGGTACCTTGGCGCTTCGGTCTCGTAAGAGGGGAGGGGAGGGTTGGTAAACGAAGTCACTGTATCGCCTAGGTCCCGCTGGCCTCAGAACTTCCCCAAGGCCCCCTCCCCTAGATCCGAAACTAGGAAGCTCATGCAACAACAACGGCGACGGCTACAAAAACGTCACTTAAACTGAAGTGAATTCGAGCCGCTTCCAAATTAATCGCGCCTATTCCATCTCGTTCATGTCCTCAACTAGTCTCCCTCGCTGCCGTTTTTTGGATGTCACGCAACGCTCTCGTTCTCGCGTTGCGTGACATCCAAAAAACGGCTGCGAGGGAGACTAGTCCCCAACTGCTGGCAAATTTTTCTGGAGTTGAATTCTTTAAGACTGTATTGAAGTTCAAGAAAAGAAAATGAAAGTCGTTGTCTTGTGTTCACGTCTTCCATAAAACGGGAAATTATATAGGCAGATTCACGTCTTAGGGTGATGTTACACGAGTCGATTCGCAACGACAATTTTTAGCGCAAAACAGCGTTGTAACATTGTGGCAATATTGTTTCGAATGGTTGCAACGTTGTTCCAACATTGCAAGGCTGTGTTGCGCTAAAAATCGTCGTTGCGTATCGTCCCGTGCAACATCACCTTTAGTCGTGCAGTGACGTCAAAGAAATGTACAAAAAAGCGTGATGCACGTGCAAAGTTGCTCTCTTTGCCAATCTCATATCGCTTTTTTCCTGTTTTAGTTGCCGTCACCTTCGTCAGTTGTTTAAGCTCATTACTGCTGTGGAACTGGTTCCTGGTACTGGACGCTTGGAGTGACGCTAAGGTCGAGCAAAGCCTAGACTGCAAAACAGTCCGTATTTTTGCGTATTCAAGTACGCGCGAGCAGTTAAACAAAAGGTGTAGAACGCGGCTGAAAACAGAGAGCGAGACTACGGGACTACGGGCGTGTGAGGCTCGCGCGGTTCGCGCGCATAAGAGTCTTACGCCACGCGTTACCGATTTCTTTACAGATTTTGAGGAAAAAACCGACTGTTTTGCAGTCTAAGCAAAGCCTTTCTGTCTAATTACGCTATTTGGAAAGCTACCTTCATTTCCGTGGCTGAACTTTCTATTAAAGAGCTGTTTAATGGAACCTGGGCTGCTGCGATTCACACTTTCTGCTGCTGCACTTCTTGAATTGCTACAAATAAAAATGATAAACAAACAAATAAATAATTACGTTAACAGGAGTTGGGTGTTTTGCAAATTACGGTGTTGGGAGTGTTTTAAGCTGCAGTATAGAATCGAAAACACGTTTCTCGAAACACTTTCCACAGAGCGTATTTTTAGTTTACATGGCAGGGGTTTCGTTTCAGACCGGACACCGGACGCAACGTCCGGTTGTTTGACATCTAACGTCCGGTAGTTCACACACGAAACAATAACTTTTTTTAAAAGAGTTAAAATCGTTTGTTTTGTTTCATTTATTAATCAAAGATATATTTGACACTTATTTTACTCAGTTATGTAATGCACACCGATAATTTTAATTGCCAAATCTCACATTTCATTTTTTGTGAGCATTTTTTAACGCTTTAAAAGACCCTTGTTACTATGTAAAATATGACCATTCTCTGAGCAAGCAAACACCCTCCTTAAGGTCCTCTGATTTTTGACTGGTTTTAAGTGAATCTTTTAATATTTTTGTTTATTTCATTTGTACCTTCGTGACATTTTAAGCTCAACTGGCACTTTTAATATCATCGGGTAATCATATGCCAAATTTTACAGTTTTTTGTTGTATTTTACAATACGCAATGCTAACGAACAAGTAAAAAAGAACAGGTAAAGGTAGTCCAGTTAAGATCCCAGAGAAACTGTTGGGTATTTACCTTTCTCTCGATTCGTCTTCGATTCCAAGGAGAGCTCTCAAATCCGAGATGTTCATCTGCGCTGTAATTTGACCGGTGCGGTCGCCAACCTGAAGTGAAAATGACAGAAACATCCTGAAACAACCTCCTCGAGATTAAACGACGCACACTTTTGTTTTGACTGTGTGTGTTATATAAGTATGTCCGGAGGAAGCATTACGCAGCAAAATGCCACTCATTCCGGAGAGTATCATTACGAAAGGGTTTTTATTGGAGTGATATAAGATCAAAATAAAAGTATTTGCTTCAGCTAATCAGGAAAGGCAGAGGCGATACAATACGTGTAGGAGAGATTAGTTTGCGTGCAGGATGAATTCATCTTGCATAATGTCATAGTCCTGTTGCATGGCTTCGAAACAAATTTAATGTGTTATTCATAATAAAAAATTTTAATTCATCAACAACAAAATACCTGGTAGTATAGTCTCCAGGAAAAAAAAGAAAATCTAAGATATGCTACGGAAATGATTAGCAGGTTAAACAAAACCAACGTTTAGTTTGTTAACTGACAATTGTCATGGGCTCGATTGCCTCAGATTTTTATCCGAATTTGAAATGTTTATGTAGGTAAACCTACGGTGAAAAATGTCGACTTTAGAGTATATAAGACCAGCTATAAAATGGAATAATGAAAACTGCGCTTTGGTTACATCAGTCGTTTTTCCTTCTATTAATACTTTCCTTGACCTCCAAAGGAAGAACTTTAATATATAAGACCTCCATTAAAAATATAGCTCACTATCTTTTTTTTTTCCCTTCCGCTTGTTTGTTTTTCTACGTTAAAAAACATTGCTAATGCATTGGTCACAATAACTTACAGAAATTCTCGCGAGCTCATTGGTCGAGAGTGTCTACGAGAACTTAGACAATAGAAAAGGCGCAATACAAAAAGAGCAATTTCTTCTTTCTCTACCACAAAAGCTTGACTTTACGAGAAACTTCGCGGGAATCAGGTCTTTAAATTTCTTCATCTTACAACAACAACTGTTCGTTCCTAGTCTATACCGTTACAGATCAGAGAATGAATGACACCATGAAATGCTGAAAGTTTTGCGGTGAAACCGCTCGCCCGCAGCTCGTGATTCCACTTGAGTTTTAAACATTTCATGACGTCATTTCTACGATTTCTGAGTGTAGACAGTGGAAAAGTGTGGTCGATTTGTTCAACTGAACATGGAATTATTTTACTTGACCCGAGAGGGTAGAAGAGAAATATCTGGATCTTCAAGATACAACTTTATCTTCTTACTCCAAGATTCATCAGTTTCCTCCTGAGATCAGGCTCTATTTTCGTTTCGTGTTTTAAATAAAAAAAACACGTAAGAGAGAATGTATGGAAGCTACTAAAATTGAGCCTTATCTCAGGTTACATGATTCTCTGATAGAAAAATTCTAGATTTGTAGTAGTATGTTTTCGCCTCATTCAAAACGCAGCCGGCTGAGGTAAAAAAGGTTGGCAAAAACTACCACTTCCGGCCTTTTGAGAGACACTACACACTTCTTCACCATTATCCGTCAGCCCAGTTAACAAAAGAAACAAAAGAAAGCAATTTCAGTGGCTTATGTTCTGAATGTTAATTCACAAACATATAGAACCACTTAAGCTTCCGCTTAACCTTGACCAGTCAAAACATGAAAATTAGCTAACTCCACGTGACTTAAGAGACTGTTCATTCATGATTGACGCCCCAGAGAACTGTCGAGGACAAACGCTTGATTTGCAAATCAAAAGTGTGACGAAAGCTGACAGTTTAAAAAACATTAGGATGCTTATGGGCTAAATTCGGTTGTCCTAGCAGGATTTACACAGGCGCGATTAATCAACAAAGACATGGCTTCTTTTAGGCAAATATGTTTACAATTATGAATTTCTTTTAGCAAAAGCACAAAATAGAGGAAAAGAACAAAAAGTGAAAAATTCGAAAGCGAATAGCAAAACAGCACGCGCTTTGCAAGTGAGATGGGAATTAAGATTACGGCACATAAACGGAATTTAGAGACTTTAAGCCTTGAAGTGCATACAAAAATTACCCGCTTAGATATAATTCAAACAATGGAAACGTCGTTTTGTGTAATGGTCTTCGGTTATCTACTGATTATTGCGAAATTTAAGAATGACAAGTCGAAATAAGAAAACACCTCCTAATTTAAGTGGGACAATTTTGAGTAAAAGCTTCCATTTTGTAAACCATTTAGTGCGTTGTTCTTCAGCTTAAAGAAATTGCTTATCGTAACTTCCTCTCTTTCGCAAAGCAAATTTATCCTCGTAGTAAATTAAACGTGTCACATTAGACAACTGAAACAGCCGCTAAAGGAAAAAATGGTAAAATCTTTTACAGTAAAAGAAGGTGATACCCAACACGACTATGACACGGTTCCCTTGAAGCACGTGGAAAACGGGCTCGTATTTTTTCCTTATTTAAACTGGATCTGCTCTATGGACCACAAAACATGCTCACATCGCAAAGAAAATTGATGATGCAAGCCTCAAACTATTTTTAAACCTTTCTTCCTGATTCCAGAGTGAATGAAGGTGGTTCTAGCTTTTGAGTGTGTCGATGAAACCCTATTGTGTGACCACTCAAATGAAACCTCTTCAGCAGTACTTTCACATGGTACTATTCACTTAGTAAATAGTTCTTACTTTTGAGTCTGTGGACGAAATACCATGGTGTGACTATTCAAATGAAACCTCTTTAGCAGTAATTTCACATGGTACTATTTATTTCGCGATATTTGACAAAACGAAATTTGGAAATTTAGATGAATTCTGACTCAAGCCACTTATGGGAGTGAGAGGGCTAAAATTAACCAGGTCTGCTGATTGAGCACGTTTAGTAGCGTGAAGTATGAAGGTTTTGTTTCATATGAAATCAAGACGACCATTCTCTTACCTCCTTTGAGATATCCAAATGCCTCTGAGCAAAATCTAGAGCCGTTTCGTGATTTCCTAAAGCAGTATGAGCATTTCCCAAACTCCAACAAGCGCGACCTTCTCCCACTCTGCAACGACAATAAATTGGACTGTTTCAACAGTACGTGAGTACAAAATGACATACAATCAAAAGCAGAGAATAGTAGCCAGTAGACAAAACCCCCGTAATGATGTACTTTGAATTTTGACTCTATAATGTACACATGAAGTGATATGTAAATCGTGGTCAATAAGACGTGTTAACGGCCCTCTATGGCATGAGGCGGCCATTGTTGCTAAATGTTGGGTTCTGCTAGCGGTAAAACAATATTCGCGAGGTGGCGTTGCTAAAGTAAACCAAAAACACTGTGCATGAAAGGCTAGTTTTTAAACGGCCACGGAAAAATCTCATTTAAAAAATCATACTTTTTGGGGGAATTTTACAAGAAATAAAAGGAGAGAAATTGCCAGATAGTCTGAACAAATAGTGCATATTAATTTGTTTGCAAGTGACTCGTTCATAACAACCGCCACTAATGCAGAAAATTGAAAGAAAAATGTTTAAACAAGTTGTTGTTACATAATGCAAAGCTACGACGACACCAAGGGCAATGAGAACGTCAAAAAAGCGTAATAATTTCACATTGGCAAAACATCAACGTTGCACGTGCGGACGCACGTGCGTCACAAAAATTTGGAGACTGTCTCTTTTGCAGTACTGTACCTTCCAACATCAACTACCCCCTCCCTTAACCCCCTCCCTCGTCATAAACACAACCCGACCCAGTCTCCAAATTATGACGTAAGTGTGGCTCAGGACATTATAAGAAGTCTTACATGAAAGACAGACCGTCAAAAGTTGCTTTCTGACAAGGCAGTCTTGTCTGTGATGATCTACGTGCAAAGGTGCCACAGAAACCTTACTTTGATGAACATGAAAGTGTTAAATTTTAGGGAAAAATGGGCTAAGTTCCAAACTAAAGCACAGAAGAACTCAAAGCTCAATGTTAACCAGGACAATAATCATGACCCGTACGGAAGAGCGGGAGATTTGTACCGTATCAGGGAGATTCCCAGATATTCCGAGAGAGATGGCATAGGGTTAGTGCAAAATTTAAATTCAGATATGAAAGCTTAGACAGCAGACTCAGTTTAATTCCTTTTGTCTACACTTTGGTGACTGAATGCCCTAAAAAGAGAAAATTATCCGGGAAAAGGAGTTTGAACAAATCTTAAAGAGAAACCTGGATTAAAATTTAACCCCGGATTAGTAATAAGCCTTCGAACAACTGGGTCCTGACCTTTTGGCACCTCTCAGGGGTTAACAAAAGTATTTAAGCCCCAACAAGAAGACGTGATTATGGAAGCTTTATAGGGTGTTTTTGAAACTTTGCAACGAGTACCCCCATCATTTTGTGGTCACATCATAAATTCTCATTGTTTGGCACCTCACCTGTCACCTAATTCCTGGGCAATCTCCAAATGCTTTGAGTGAAAGTTCACTGCCTGCTGATAATCTCTCAGTAGAGTGTATGTGTTCCCTAAACTGTAGCAAGCCTAAACACACCAAAAAAAATATCTCAAGAGGAGGAAAAGACAGGATTGTTCATAAGGTAAAAATAAAGTAATGTTACACTTTAGTTTCAATGCACTAGTGTCTAAGATTAAGTTAGTTCAAGGCTAAGTAGCCTGCAAAAACAGCCGTCTCTCATTGCTCATCGCCACAAGGAACAATATCCCTAGCAGCAGGGAGTGAGGAGACGGCTGTATTCACAGGCTAAAGGCCAAGTGGTGTTTGAGTTTTTTGTCTAAGTAGCTTTAGGTCAAGACAAGTTGTGATTAATGAGAGAGAAAGCTTTCAGGGTGGGTACGTCTTTTGAGAAAGAACTACAAGGGACTTCCACAGAAAAGTGATGAAGCTGGAACCTACAAACCAGTGAATGTTAAATTATTTAACATTCACTCGTTTGTATTTTTATTTTAAATGAAAATGCTACATTTGTTAAAGTGCTGTACAGACCATGATAAAACATCCAACCTACAGTTTTTCTGGGTTGAATTTCTGAGGAAACATTTTTGCAGATAAAAAACAAAAATTCCTCCAAAATCAGAGAAATTAAAATCTGCAGAAATTAAGTGCCACATGCTAGGACGATATAAGGAGGAGATTCATCATTCATAGTCACCTGTGCTTCAATAGCCCTGTCCCCGAGTTCACGTGATATGGTGAGTGTTCTCCTATGGGATGAAAAAGGCAATGATAGCAATTGAATGATAATCTTTCAAGAATATCATTACGTATTATTACTGTAACAATAGATAAGAAATTTTAAAACTCCAAACTAATAAAGAAGAAGAAAACTAAGCTTTCAACTCAAACTAGCATCTAATTCTGAATGACGGCGGGGCCAATCAAACCTCTCACTGTCACATGCTTAGGATACAGACATGATAGGAGAGGGTTGTCACATTAGTGACGGGGTTGGAAACAGATCCCTTGGCTATATATGTCTGGCTGATTAACCCCGATGTTTATCACCTCCCACTCTCTCTCTTAAATAAAGGCACCAACTGGGGACTTAGGTTGACCAAGTAAAGTGTAACTGTAACTTGTATGAAATTGTTCACCCAAGCCTCAAGCTCATTTCTGTCTGCTCACTAATGACTACCTGTAAGAAAGGACTGTTGACGGTTTCCAAGATTGCTTTGATTTAACAGTAAACTCAGTTTAGGAAACTGTGCAGGTGCTCTCAGAAAAGGCTTTCATGATATCAAAGGTTCATGACTTGTTGAAATATATGTAAATTGGTTTCCCTGACACTTATCCGCTGGTTAGCGTCATTTATCCAATGGATACTGCTATCCACAGGATAAGTCTATATCCACTGGATAGCGCAATTGGTTTCCCCGACACTTATCTGCTGGATAGCATCATTTATCCGGTGGATATTGCTACCCACTGGATAAGTCTATAGCCACTGGGTGGTGCAATTGGTTTGATTCCCTAATACTTGCCTGCAGGATAGTGATTTTTCTGTCAGATAGTGCTATCCAACGTTTGAACAACCAGGGAGTGGTTTGATACAGTTTTAGGAATGACTTACAAGGGAGATAAAATGGTTTAAGGCTGTACTCTAAGAATAAGTAAAGAAAGCCCAGTGCTCTGAGCCCGTGAAGCCAGGGTGCCTGCTGTTTGATTTCTATGAAAAAACTAAGGGTGCTTTCCATTTGACAGAACTAACAGGCCAAGCAATTCCCGTTGTAATAAGAATTTCACTTTCAATCAAAGCTGTCAAGCCAGATCAGTCAAATCCTAAATAGCATGCATGAAGGAAATTGTTTTTTATCAAAAACTCTTAGAAAAAGCCTAATTCATATCCAAAATGACCGGTCCGGCCATGGTCCGGCCAGCTAGTTCTGACTTTTGGAAAGTGCCCTATGATTTTTTAGTTGCCTGGGAGCAAGAGTTAGCTGCTAGCGGCCGACACATACAGTCTGCTAGAGCACAGGCTTGCTTTATTGCATAAAATTTCAGTCTGTACACACTTGTAATACTCTGCTGCAGTCTCAAACTCGCCAAGAAAGACATGAGCATTTCCTAGATTGCTGCAAGCTCTTCTCTCTGCTGGTTTGTCATTGAATTCCTCCGCAATAGCCAGCCTCTATAATGCCAGAAGAAAAATTGCAATAGTTAGAATAAAGTTAATGTTTTATTACTGCATGCTTATAGAGACATAAATTAAAGCAAATAGCCAAGTGTTCGCACCAATTATTAAACAACTTGATGGCATCTACTGATAATACAATGGAAACTCTCATAAACAGACACCCTCCAGATACTGGCTGCCTACGTGAATTGTTCTCGTATCAGCCACTTGAGGTGTAAGGGTTAGACGGCTGCTTACCGGAGCTTGCACAGCTACAAATAAACATTGGGAATGTAAAAAAGAACTGTTTGTTAGTGTTTGGTTATAGTATACTGTCGTTCTAATGGTGTTGTTATCCAGTTACAAGTATAAAATTCAAGTGGTGATTTGAAGAGCAACTGGATGTTTACGTGAAAAAACACAAACAAACAAACAAACACTGAAACTGATATAAAATAAATAAATTCATTGTGATGAACAGTGATTTAAAGTTGATCTATCAAATCCATTATCAGGGGCGAATGAGATTTCATTTCATTTTGAGCTTAAATCTAATTTGTAAACCCGGAAAGTGTCTGCGACCAGTTACGGGAATGTCCACTTACAGGTATGTGAACATACATTGTTTGTATGGGAGTTGAAACAAGGTGAAGGTGGCTGTAAGTAAAGCTGTCCACTTACAAGAGTTTCCATTGTAAAACCCCAGTCCTTCCTCCCAAGAAGCCTGTCACAGCCCTCTCCCCTAAGCACCGATGACTGACGAAACGTATCGGCTACTCTGCTCAGAGCAGTCGCCTACTTTTTCCCCAAAAAAGAAGCAGCTAGTTTTAATAATGTCATAAACAAAAAATATATCATAAAATCCGAATTAAACATTTAGCTTAATCATGATGTGCTTTCAAGGGACCCCCAAGATATGTTATGTTTTAGATACACCAGAAGCGCTTCTGGTTACGCAAATGCTGTTTTTCAGTTAATTTTTTTCCACATTCTTTGTAGGTTTATGCAGAATTCTTTTATGTGCAAATGTTCATTTTCTCATTGCTTGTAAGAATTGATTGTGTGGCTATGAAACCTGGCCCCAGATGTCCAAATGTTGGATAGTGCTATCCACCGGATAAATCACTATCTATCAGATAAATATTAGGGAAACCAATTGCAAACAGTTGGAGTTATCGGGAGTTTGAGTTATGAAGGGTAAAATTATATAGAAAACGATCTGATGGGAAACGCAAATTGCTTCGAGTTAGTAGGAGGTTCGAGTTATAGAGGGTTTGAGTTACCGAGAGTCGACTGTACTTCTAATAATTTATTTAAATCCACACCTCCTCGTGGAACATGATAGCTAGTTCAAAGTTTCCAAGGAGATAGTGAGTGTTGCCCAGATTACCACAGGCTCTTCCTTGAGCCCCTCTATCCCCAAGTTCTTTTACAATGGCCAGATTAGCCCTGAAAATAAATCAAACAAACATGTCAAGGCTCATTCCATTACAGTGCATGCAGAGATGTCAACCTCAAGAGATCTTCAATCTGGAGTCTCTCTACGTTGCACTACCCACCTCCCCCTGTCAACAGCCCCACCACTCTCCACCCACAAATTGACCCATGTCCATGACTAAATGTGTGCAAGAATGTTCCAAAAACCATATTATGAACAAAAAAAGTTCGAACTTTGAGGAAAAAAAATGAGCTAAATTTCAAACTGAAGCACAGAAAAGCTCAAAAGTCCATTTTATTGGGGAGATTTGGTGACCCGTGTGGAAGAGCGGGAGATTAGTGCCGTATCCGGGACACTCCCGGATAATCCAGGAGAGTTGGCATATACGTGTATGATCATTGAAAGGAACTGTTCAGGGACAGTAGCAATAAAGACCATAAGTACGCACGGTAGGTGGAGTATAATCGTCCAGGTGAGAGTAGTCCTGGAAAGGATTGTTGTTAACAGTGACTGACACTTGGAAACCTGTGGGATAGTCATCTTCATCGTCAAGGTGAGTTGATTGTGTTAAATCAGGGCTGTCGCTAAGATTTCAAGTTGCCCGGTTTATGCAGTTAGTAGGTGGGGAACTGGAGAGCCAGGGAGTCCTTTTGATCTCATTTCCCTTTTGTTTCTTATGAAAGCCGGGCAAAATCCCCTGCCCTGGGCCCTTAGTGACAGCCCCATTTAATTCTGCTTATTGATCTGATTGGTCAATAAAGTCGCGATGTTATTGGTCATCTGTCAATTAATCCTTGATGTTACTGTCTATGAAGACTTCAAATGTCATGTGGAGTATTCATAGGTAATAACACCGCCATCATGCTCCACCTATTTAAGAAAATAATGACTCCTGGCTTCAAACCTTTCACAATAACAACCATCATATCAACTGAAAATAACATTTAGCAATTGCCTCGATCACAGCATGCAGTCACAGTGTACCTTGAGGCTGGTTTCCCTATAAATCATTGCTTAAAAGGAGAAAACATTGTCTTACTCATAAAATTCAATTGCTCTTTCCAGTGCCAATCGAACTTCATCAGGAAACTCTCCAGGGTCCTGGTGAAAGTTTCTTCCAAAGTGTTTTCCTTTAGCATGGTATACATTCCCTAAGTTATATAAAGCTCTTGCTTCACCAATCTAGGAGATAAAAACGTTTTACAATATGCCATATTAATAACAATCACTGTAACTTTCTTTTGCAAGTTTGTGAAAGATCCACTTGACATGGCATGTACATGTTACAGGTCAAATTTGATTTTAGCTTAACTTTGATTTAACCTAGGTTGATTCTCAATTTCCAATGTCTCCAAGCCCTGAAAAACAAAGGAAATTTAGAATCAACCCAGGTTAAATTTTTTTTACCTGATTCTGATACAGTCAAACCTCAGAGAATGGCTCTGTATATAGTAATGGTCACCTTATGTATTACCGTCACCTGATAACTTTTCAGTTGCCTAATATTTTCTGCAAAGTTGACCTGTATATAGTGGTCACCCTGTTATAACGGTCACCTTGCCATTTCCCAAGGGTGACCGTTGGAACGGGTTTGACTGGATCAAATTTCATGTCTAACTTACACATTGTCCATATTTGATAACCTTTTCCAACAACAACAATATAATAATAATAATAATAATAATAATAATAATAATAATAATAGTTTTATTGAATGCTCACTGGTTGACAGTTTTCCTCAGTAAGAGTTCATACAACATGCTGAATCAGAATACTACAAGAGTGATGTGAATGCTTGTTACCTGTGATCTATCATCAGGGTGGCAAAGGGGTTTTCCGTGACATGTGATGAGACCCAAATTATCAGCTTGACGTCTGATCGGGCCCAAATGAGCCGCGTGAGGCAGGATTGGGCATAACAGTGTGATGTGTGATTTACTACTTTCACAAAGGCTGACATGTGATTTTCCTTTGAAATTTCTGTGATGGTTAAATGTGGTTAAATGTAATTTAAGCTAAGTTAAACGCGAAACAATGCTGGTCTGGGGTTTCCCTTGTCTCGGTCATACGCAGTGGTGGGGGATCTGCAGGGGGTTGCGTGGTTTTACAGCTCGGGTTTTGAGGTCAACTCATTTGCACGTGCACTTTTGCCTTTTCGACGGTGCTTGGCGACTTTACTCCCCGCCCTTCCCTCCCCCTTTTCCGGTAAGTATGTGGTAAGTATCATGGTTCCACTGTCTTTTGTCAGTGTGACGGTGCCTGGTGGTTGCCGCTCACAGGGTTGTCATGGTTACCCTACGCGCTCGGCTCCGGTGCTCCAGGCCCCACCATCTTTCCAGGCACCTTCCCCAAGCTCATCTATTGTTGATGAGTTTAAAATCATTAAAATTGAAGCACAGATATTAAAAATAGGTAGTTTTGCCCGTTTTTTAACATTCCTTGACCTCTGATTTCCTCAGATCAAATAATAATAGGATACTATGTTTCATTTTATTTTTCTGTGAAGTGTGCTAGCTTAAAAAAGTCAGCGTGATGTGTGATAGGTACCCACCCCTTTGCCACCCTACATCATCAAGGCTTGAAAACAACTTGAATTCCCACAAGAAGCTCTGAGATATTGCTTACACAGGGCCACTTCTCGTTTATCTTAGTTAAGGTGATGTTACCACAAGACAATTCGCGCAACGATGATTTTTAGCGCAACACAGTGTTGCATCATTGTTGCGACATTGTTTCGAATGGTTGCAACATTGTTCCAATATTGCAACGCTGTTTTGCACTTAAAATCGTCGTTGCGAATCATTCCGTGTAACATCACCTTTAATGATTTTGTTTTTGCCTTGCCACTTGGGCAAATGAACTTTAAAAGTTACTTGCGCAGCAAGAAAATCTACTTGTGCCAGACTAAAAGGCAGGGCTTTTTTTGAGCCCTGTATTATGCATCCCTAATGTCAAGATATTTTTCCTTTGTTCTCTTTTTTCAACAGGGCATACAGTTATTACAGTTGTGAAAAAGCTTACTAGTCTATTCCAACCTAACTTTTGATAAACTGCTAGAATATCCTCCCAAGTTCCTTTATATTTCTAAGGAAACAAACTGCATGCACCACTCTAATTTGCAAAAAATTCCCATTAGCTACTGTAGCTTCATTTTAATATATCATAGAAATGGAGCAATAGATGTTGAAAACTCATTAAGACATGAAAGACCCATCAGTGGTAACCATGTGTATTATCCTAGCTTTTTCCTCAGTGGCATTAACTAAACAATAACCAAGTTTTACATGTACATAAACTGGAAACAGGGCTGAGTTCCTAACTTGTTGCCTACTAGCCCAAGTAAATATTTCGCTTAGAACCAAGGTAGAACAAACATGTAAAGTCTATGTCAACAAAGTATGACTTTTTATCTAATCCATCCCAAGCCCGAAAGGTATTTGTAAACAAATAAAAAACATAAACAGTAGTGCAGCTGATTTGTGAAGAAACATTGAGCAATAGATGGCATGTTAAAACATATAAATATAACTTCACTGCAGAACAGCTGTTTGGTTCACTGTTTAATAATACCCTCATTGGAAACAACCATAAAAATTTGAGAATGTTTTATGGGAATGAATAATATTATTTTGAAAGTTCACTTAATTAGCAGGAACTGAAGCCTTACAGAAACAAAACAAAACAGAAAAAAGAAACAAAAACCAAAAACAATTCAAAACAAAACCAAATAGGAAACATCGTCTGTTTCTTCCTCCTCCGAGCTACGCATTGGGTAAAGTAATTTACATATTACTGCCATAATCAACTTACATAGTTTGGTTACTAACTTACTGACTGATAATAGTTATGAAACATCACGTTTGAATAAAGTATGACTAAACTTTCCCCAAATTGTCAAATATGAAACCGAAAAATTCGTTAATTGAAGGACCCGGGTCAAATCAATCGAGACATAAAAACAATTAACCAAACTTTGATTTCCATGAAAAGACTAATAAATAATGAAATGTACACCTTCAGTTTTTACGTACATTCAGTAAAAACCCTGGATACAAAAAATTTAAAAGTGGGTAAGCGACGCATTTCTTTATCCAGGAAAAATGTTGCTCAATTTGATTATATCTTACTGAAAATTCAAATGATTAGCTTTTAATATTTCAATACGTTTCAGTTTGAGCTTGCAACGAACAAGAAGCACAGGTTGCTCCGAAGAGCGCTCCCCAAATGGCGATCAATGATCGCTATTTTGCCGTCAGCTCTTGCCACATGTACTGTATGAACATTTGAACACCGAACTGCAAGGACTAGGTTTGAATTTCTCCCATAAATACATGTAAGTTAAAAGAAAGTAGAGCGAAAAAGAGTGAATTCGAAATTACCATTCGATCTTTGATGTGATATCTAAATCGAATTCTTCAGCGAGACTATAGCAACAATACTACACTCTTTATCGTTTTAATCACTTACTAAGCTCGATAAATTGTGGCAACAGAAACAAATATATCGATCGCATGCCGCCGAAAACACCTGTCCAAGGAACCAGTACTATGCAATATAAACTTCAGATAACAAAGAAGTGCAAAAAATAGACGACTACAAAATTGGCTCAATTTCAATCAATTCCATTGTGCGCAGATGATGACTCCATGAAGTCCGTGACCATTCGATTTCTTCACCTTTGAACTCAATTGCACGATTAAAATTACTTTCCGCGTCTTATTGCCGCTTGTTACGAGAGTTATAACCTTCAGCCAATAAATTCTTTAATCTCACCTTATCGCCAAGCTCCCGCGAGATATCAAGATGTCGAGTACAGCAGACTATAGCTTCGTCAAATTTGCCCAAAACCTTCAACGTGTTTCCAAGATTTCCGCTCGCTTTGGCCTCCCCAACTTTGTCTCCGAGCGTCCTAGCTAATGTAAGATCATGACGATGGAATTCCAATGCTTTTTCGTATTCTTGGAGGTAGAAATAAGCGTTTCCTAATTGACTATACACAGCACTTAACGTTTTCAAATCTTCAGTTCCAACTTGAACGGCTGCTTCGAAGAAGCTTACCCCGGCGCGACAATCGCCAGCCTTACAGAGTCTTTCTCCCTCTAAAGCCAGCTCCATGCATGAAGCTTGAACTGCCATTGTTTCCTTTAGAACTTAGAAAACCATAGACTTCTAGTTTAGTGGCTGGTTGTCAAGAACAGAAAATTATACAGCGGAGTGGTAACTAACAGTAGATTTTCGTGAAGTTCATGCAAGTACCGTAACCGCTGCGGGCTTTGTAATTATTATTTAACTAGTCCCAAACGTATTCTGCATGAAGACAGCAGTAAAATAGTACATCGCAACTCCACAAAGCAGTTAAGTCGAGTTAAGTAACTTGTTACCAATGGAACTGATTGCAGCCTAAGCATGTATGTTGATTTCTGAATGAGGGATTGACTGAAGAAACGTTCCAAAAATGGTTCCTTGCAATTTTTCGAAACCGGCCTAACTCGACCCAGATCGCTTGCAAAGTGAAGCGGGGTGCTGAGCGGGGTGGAGGGGGGCGGGGGGTAATGAGAGAAAAAAACAGCAAACCGCCAGGCACGACGTTGATTCCCAGCGATGAACACGACCGAGATTAGCTGAACTTACAAGTGAGAAAAAGAAAAAAAGAAAAAAAAAAGCACTTTATTTGAGTGTCAATGTATTTAGCACGAAAGTACTAATTGGGGACACTATATTTTACGTCTTCAACTGGAGAACCGCCATTTTACGTGGTCATCCGAGCCACGCGAAGGTTTTTGCAGTGCAAAGGGAGTTTTTTCTCGGTTATTTTAAGACCCTGAGTATTGGTCCAAGGAATCGAACCCGCGACCTCCCGCTCTGCAAACACGCTCCCCGCGGCAATTTGAGCAAAAACAGGAAAAATGCCGACGAGTCCCAAATTTGGGTGAGACAAGTCCCAACCAGGGAATTCCCAACCAAGTTCCCAGATTGGGACTTGTCTCACTCTTCCAAATTTGGGATTTTTGTGGGTATTCTTTAAATACCCTAAAATATCCAAAAATGGGAATCTGTTATTTTTTCCTGTGACAGGAGCCCAAAACCTTGATCCTGTGCTGAAGAAATTATTAGCGGAGCTGTAAGTAAAAAAGGGCACATCCGTAATAGAGAAAGAAGTCATCAGAGGGAGAGATTACCGTAGAGAAGACGAGGTAGTGAGTAGCAAACAGGAAACAAGTTGAACGACGGACCTGAGTGCCAGAGCATTTTTTTTAGTCAGTTAAGTTTCATCCCAAGTATTTCGAGAACGGACCTGGAGGGAGGGTTAAAACTAGAACCTCGCTAACTCGAACTCAGATAGCCTGTGAACAGGCTTTCTGTCTGTTTAGGGGAAGGGGATATCGAAAAAAATTGCATGGATTGTACTTGAAGGGTTTTTACTGTACCGGTGGACAACGATCAAGGGCTTTGAGTGTTGGGGCCTTAATAACCTTTCGCAGACGAAATTAAACTGGTTAACCCGTCCAAACAGCGCCGAAATCCTTTTCTGGTTACTGTTTGAGCCAGATTTGAGTATCGCCACTTAGCCAGTTTGTGAAAAGGCCTTTGTTTTGTTTGTCGTGATCGCCAATCATGGAGTTTGAAACCATTCCATTGTTGAGTCCGTTGAAGGATTTTACTGTACCGGTGGACAACGGTAAATCAGGCTTTAGCCTTCGTCGGCACGGGGCTAGGCCGAGAAGAGACCGCGGTGACCTTTTTTTCGGTGATGTTTTCTATTATTTTCCAAAAAATTCTCAGTGAAATAAAAAGTATATATAGCTGGAAAATGTTGCGGTGCACCTGGCCTTTTGCAGTTTGCTGCATGCTGCAGTTTCTTAGAGATTTTCTTGGAATCTCGGTAATCACGAGTACATTAATATTTCAGACGTTACAAAGATCTTTGGTTTTGAATACCGCATTTTAAACACCTGAGGATTTGTCAGTCTTTGCGATAGATGTCAGTCCTACACAGCTCAGAGAAAAGAAAGTGCAACCGCGGCGATCTCGCGTGTAGCACGCGCTACTCACTCGTTTTAGCGACGTGCACACGCGCTCGTCCCATGAGACCCCACGCGCTGAAAATTACCCACGCTGCTTTGCGCCGAAAACAAAAAATGGCGGGCTGTGATGGTAAAGTCATTTACCCGAAATAGATGAATGATTTCAAGCCGTTTGAAAGTGCCCAATTACAAAACACAAGAGAATTCTTGTGTCATAAATATAGACAAGTCTTCGATCCAGTGAAATCCCTCATCTGGTTTTATAAACGCACCTGGTTATGGCGGAAGTTCGGTTGTTGTGTTGTGCTTCCCTTTGGTCACCAACTTAGAGTGTCGTTGTTCCATGGCTTCATCGACGTTTCGTGGTCGGCGCGTCGTTGATCCCATACCACTCCAGCGTGACTCTTTGCCGAGGGATCGAAAATACCCCTCGTCTTTTTCAGGTAGTCGTTTTAAACGTTATTTCAACAACGCGCACAGTTTTCCCCGAAATAAGTTTACTTTCACTTTGTTGATCTTATGTAAGGTCAGATTTCGATTAAAGCTCACGCTTTTGTTTTGATCAAATCGATCTGTTTATTAGAATTACAGGGCCGTGCGGTTGAAAGCAGCGCAAAACTTAAATTTTAGTGAACGAATTTCGTTTCTCAGTGTCATAAGGTACATAATCTTTCCACTTTGTAGATTTAGCAGCTGCATGGGAAAATGTCGGAGAAGTGAAGTCTGCGGTAAGTGAAATTTAAGCCATTTTGTCTGGTTTCTTTTCAGCTGTTGTCTGGACTGCTTTACCTGTGAAATAAACAAGCGATTTGTATTTACTTTTGTCAGTAACATTAAGCTTTTTACAGAAAGTGTTCCTCTGTTTTTAAAACTTGTCCCAGTCTTTAAGGTCATATTTTTCTCAAGTTTGTTTTGAGCCACATTATATATGCCTTTGTTTCCATTGTCCCGGTAGAAGTGTTTGTTTAACGAAGTCATCAATATAAAACATGGTCATACTTTATAAAATCGACTAGCGTCAATACAATCGATAGCAATCAATATTTTAATAGTTGTCATAGATAACTAGTTGTTACAGTTTCTTAGAAAATAGGAATTTTACCAGCTATATACAACTGAATTTGCACAATAAAGAAAGATGTTCCCGTATTACCGCTGCTTCCGTGAGTGGGCTAGGTGAAGTAAATCCTGAATTCTTATTGGCTACCTTAGTGCACAAGATATGAAAGGCCTGTCTTGCACACTTGGAGTTTTCCATGTTGGTGCCACAGTAAAAGTCCTCTTGGCCACTACAAATTCTTTATTTGACCGAGCTTGTTCGGTCAAGATGGCTGCTGAGTCTCCCATGCAGATGTTCTTAGGGTTCGTCACGCGTTCTTGCCCCACTAACATCTGCTGAAATGAGTGGTTAACTTCCGTTCCCATTGTTCGCAAATGTCAGCTGGAGCTCACTTGCAGATTGTCAGGGAACCAATCCGAACTGTTGAAATCAAAGTGTTCATTAATTTCTGTTTAAGGCGTAGTTGAATATTTTCATACAAAATGTACAGTACTAATAATAATAATAATAATAATAATAATAATAATAATAATAATGCTTATACAATGAAATGCTTAACTTAAATATCCTTCTTGCCCTTTTATTGATTATTTGCTAGCAATTCTATTTTTTCGCCCATTCCTTCTGATTACTATTAAAATGCCATCTGAGTGTGTGACTACATGTGAATGTTGATTTTGTGGTTTTTTTTAGCTACAAGCTGCAGAAGCCAGGATTAATGAAGCAAATGCAGGACTTGGCTCTGAAGTGGAGCAAAATGGAGAAGTTGATGTTTCACTGCAAGAGGTGTTCTCAGAGAGGCAAAGATATGGAAGAGTTGCCAGGTATGAACTGAGGCCCAGTCGCTTTGGACAAGCTGCGTCTTCTGTCCCCTCATTTGGAGAAGACCAAATTAATTCAAGGAGAGTTCCTGATTTCCCTTTGGTAAGGATGATATCACCTTCTTACAATGTTAGTGTTTTTTTTCCTTTAAAATGTAATATCAATAAACCACAGTTTACTCTCTCTCTTAGTGGACACCTACAGCACTGCAGGGCATCAAAATGTGCCAGTTACTGGTGCTATCTCTGGCTACTTTGAGGTGTTCACAGGCTGTAAATAGTTGGAGAAGAGAAAAGAAAATGGCTGATTAAAAAAGTTGTAAAATAGAAAAATAAAATAAGTTGTTTTAATCATGCCCTGAATGTTCTTTTTTGGGATTTTTAACGTGTTGCCAAATCCGTTCCCACATAGTTCTTTCCGTAGCCATAATATGATACCACGAATTGAATAAAAATAGCGTAGATGCATGGTGTGTTTACATTATCTTTAAATAATCTTTCACTAAGAATGAAGAATAAAAGACACACGAAAGCTTTTGAGTGTCTCTTTTTTGGAAATTGTACGTGTTGGCATGCTATTTCTAATTTTGAAACAAATGTCAAACAAACCTCTGGTTTTACACTCATCTGGCATGAGTTTGCGTTTGAAATTGAATGAAATCAGTTGGTTCCTGCCTCTCTTTTCTCCTCTCTTAACTTTTAACAAGACCGACAGCATTCTTAGACGGACACTTAGTGCTGTTCCCAAAGGTGTCTGCCTTAGAGAGATTTGACCGTAATGGAAGACAGAAAGCAACTCTAGATGTCCATCCTATTTGACTCTCTATAAGACAGACATCTCTCTAAGATGGACACTTAGTGTTGGCCTCAAAGGTCTCTGTCTTAGAGAGATTTGACTGTAATGGAAGACGGAAAGCAACTCTAGGTGTCTGTCCTATTTGACATTCTATAAGACGGACATCTCTCTGAGATGGACACTAACTTAGTGTCAGTCCCAAAGTTGTCCGTCTTAGAGAGATTTGACTGTAATGGAAGGCAGAAAGCAACTCTAGGTGTCTGTCCTATTTGACTCTCCATAAGACGGACATCTCTCTGAGATGGACACTTAGTGTCAGTCCAAAAGTTGTCCATCTTAGAGAGATTTGACTGTAATGGAAGGCAGAAAGCAACTCTTAAGTGTCTGTCCTATTTGACTCTTTAAGATGGACATCTCTCTGAGATGGACACTTAGTGCTGGTCCCAAAGGTGTCCGTCTTATTGTTGTTGCTGAATGTTACAATAGTAGTTTTTCATTTTTATTCTCACAATGGTATCTTGTCCTATTTTTTTTTGTTCCACAGAATATCAATAGACCATCAGAGTCATCTACCAGAGCCCCTGTACACACTCCCCTTCTGTCTCCACCTTCTAAGGATAGCCATGATAAGGTTCCAAATGGCGGATTTTCAAGAAATCGAGGGCCTTCCTATTCTGCTCACCCTGCTGAATCTGAAGTGCGAGACCCTGGTGTGGCCACTGCATATTCTTCACTTTATACTGCAAATGATCCCTTGGGCCGTAGACCTCCTATCAGGCTTTACGGAAATACCCTTTCAACAATCCCATCTGCTTCTAGCTTTGAAGACTCCTTAGAAATTGGAGAGAGTTCATCAAGAGTGTGTCGAAATGAAGCATGCTCAACTTCCTCCCTTGGGCTCAGACCTACAATAGCAAACAATTCAGGTACTGTGCATGAGGAAATTAGCTTAGAGTTCTTTGATTTTCTGGACTTGGTTGGTTAGATGTTCGATAGCACTATATACAGGATAAATCTGGCCGCTAGTTTTTAGTGTTGTACAGGCTCCAGTTGTTCAAAAGGTAGATAATACTATCCACCAATTAAATCTTAATCCACACTGGATAGCACAATAAATTATTGTTGTTTTCTCCAGTACTTATCTACTGGATATTGATTTATCCAGTTGATATCAGTATCACTATCCAGCTTTTAAACAACTAGGGCCAGGTGTGAAAATCATCTGACCCATACATATCATCAGCTAAGCACAAAGCAATATCTTGGTTAATAAAATGTGAAAAGCTAAACCTCCAAAAATTGCAAGTAAGCCACTCGTAGTATAAATGCTTCAAATATAGGGAACTTTTATCCAGAAATTTTTAACCTCTCTCGAGATTTAGAAATTATTTTTCTAGGCCTGCAATAGTTATTTTACAGAAAAAAGTCCTTGCGTTCAACTGTATAGGGCATTATTTGCCCATGTTTGCTAACCTGTTGCATCATAATCCCTAAACGTCATTCTGATGTTTATGATTTTGTGTTCAGATGCTCTTGCAAGATTAAAAGAAAGAATAAAACAGCAAAAAGAGCAAGCTTCAAGGCTGAGTCCAACTGATAGTGCTCAAGGTAAAGCTGTCACTGAATTTGTGTACTTAAATATTGGCAAGAGTGTAGTGAAACATTGTAGTTACTGGTAAGTTTTAAAATGCAGAAGCATTCATTCTGGGAGCAAGTCAACTAATCCTAACACTTACTATTCTGTTTTTTTTTTTTCATCTGTTCCTTCCCAATAGAAGATCCTCGGGGAAAGGTTTTAGATATTCTGTTTTATAGTGATGCGCAAAATGGAAAAATGTGTGGAAAAATGCGAACTATTTGTTTTATACAAAGAACAAAAAAGAAAACTGATAAACTTGCCTCATAGCACTCAACTGTTTGAGTCATCAATGCTACTTTAGTCCTGTCATCTCCTTTTCCTCCTTATCATACTTGTAAACAGCTTCTCCCAAACCTTTCTTATCCTTTCACTTGTTCAAAGGAGAATAATCACACAAACATTTTCAAAACTGTGAAGTTGAGTCTTTCTTTGTTATGACAACTGTTTTGAGGATTTATTCCATTTTAGACATTCTCAGGTAGCCAAGAACACTTCTCATCTTTGGTTTCTTGTTTTTTTTATTTTATTGCAAACATCTCCTTGTAAACAGTCTTTGAGCTTTCACTTGCTCAACCTGAAAAAAACTTTCAAATATTAATTCAAAACTAGGTGTCACGTTAGGCAAAACAAAGAAATAGTCTTTCAGTGACATCATGGATCTGTATCTGTACACTTATTGAGATGAGGGCTGTAACAACCAATCATTGCATTGCTTCCCCAAGAATGACCATCATCAATTTTCTCCTGAACAATATCAATGTACCGTGATTTGAAGAGATACTGGTTATGAGAATTACAGTCAAACGTGTATGTAACAGTCCTGTATTTAGCAGTCACCCTGTATATTACTGTCAGTGGACAACTTCCCAAAGTTTTCAGTTGCCTTATACAAATGTATTTTCTGCAAAGTTGACCTGTGTATAGCGTTCACCTGGCGTGTAATGGTCACCTTGCCATTTCCCAAGGGTGAACGTTGACAGGTTTGACTGTAATAAAATCACCAAAGGAAAAATGGTTTGATCTTTTATCAAATTCTCTCAACTACTTCTTGAGGGAAATGTACACTGTATGGAGATCAGTCTAGAGAATTTGTACGTGGATATCGGGACATAAAGTAATGGGTTAATTTTTATACTCTGTACTTATAGGGAATGGTTCTTCAAATCCTTCATCTCCACCAGAACAGAGACCATCTGTACAAAGCGTTGATTCTACTACAGCTGCAAATTCCTACAGAGCTGATGTAGATGTTCCTGTAAGAACTGCTGGAGTGATATCTAAGAGGAAAGTGGCCTCTGCTCCTGCTGCCCCTGCTTATAAAGGTAACATGATTCTGCTACTTGCACTGTCTCAGAGTTTTCTATAAAATTTTAATTAGCAGCATGTGCAGTGAATTTGAGCGAAATAAAAATAATAATATTAATAGTTATGGTTTTTAAATGCTAAGTGTAGACTTTTATATTTCTGGTTATCGGTCTTTTATCAGGTTTTTGCATTGTAGGCTCTCTCCTTTAGTTAGTACTTGATTGACAATACAACTTCAAATCTCTCTGAGGGTGCATTTCTTTACTAACATCCAAATCCAGATTTTTAATCCAAAAACAGATATTTTGTTTCTTTACTAAAATCGTAAAACGGATTATTGATCCAAATGATCCACAATGGAGGTGGATTCTTTGGATTATATCCAAAACCAGATACTTTAGATGTATGATCCGGAGCGTTTCTTTACTTCGGATCCAAAAAGAATGAATCTTGCCAGCGGGAACCCGAGACAGTTTTAATACATACATCAGCTTTTTGACAAGACTACTTATCTTTACGGCCATTTTTGAACCGGAATCATGGATTAAACGATCAATTTTATGCGTTTTATCAGTGGTAAAATCCCAATACAAACAGGACATGCATTGTTCTAGTTACAAGGAAAAAAACTTTGACACAAGTTTGCCGGCACCTCTTGCAAGACTTTACTTTAATTTACAATACATATCTTACATGTGTATTTCAAGACTCGTGTTCATTTGGCCTGTCTAAAGCATTATCCTAAAGCTAACCGTCCAGAATACAACGAAAGATAAGCAAACTTGCAACCTTGTCGGTAGCCGTGAAATTCTTTCTCCAGTTTCTATGGAAATGAGTGAAAAAAATCCCTTTGGATTTTTTGGTTTTTTTTCTCAACAAAAAATCCTATTAATGATCCGGATATTTGATCTGACCTTGGATTTTAGTTAAGAAACGCACCCTGAGTCAGGATTTTTTTGATAGGCTTTAGTGAGGTAGAATCAAAGACCACTGTGTTATCTGAGGTGAATCGAAAGGTTAAGAGAAAGGACCCTGCAACACACAAACTGATCACAAAACCTGCAAACCAAAGGCCACAGAAACCAATAACAAAGAAAGGTGAGTCATTCCCATTTCCTGTACTAATGTGATAATAACTTTAATTTAAAATTTTTGAAAAATGAAGTTATGGAACAGTTTAAATGAACGCAACTTTTTTTGATTGTTAAATGTTGCAGTTACTTTTTTTCCCCTTCATTTCAACTTTATTAACATACATTACCGTACCCAATACCCTAAAATAAGAAATTAACTGCAACATAAACATCAACTGGACTGTACAATAATTCCTTTAAAATGCCACCACTTAATCACAAATGAAAGTTGAGGTAATAACTTATCTAAGGTTGTTGATGACTGAAGATGAACAGTTTGATTTTGGTACAAATTCCTCTGATTGGTACCAATGAACAACTGCATTATTTAATGGAGATGTATGAGGCCTAAACTGAAGGTCAGCCAGGCCGTTTAAACTAAAAGACTCTTAGTTTGTCTGACAATCTTGCATCCCAGCCATGAGCCCCCACACAAGGCATGCAAGTACCTGTCACTCTTTTATGTACTGTCTCTTAGTAGCAGAAAATCAGGGAGGAAAAAGGACGCGGGCATGCCCACATGTGAGTTATGTGGCTAAATGTAATTTAGGCAAAGTTAACCCTTGAGGCAATGCTGGTCAGCAGTTTTTCCTGCTATACTGGGGGTGGCCCAATGCCTCTAACAGGGACATCTCGTGATTTGTATATGCAGTTGCTTGCTTGCTTGGAGTTCTTTGCAAAGTGTTTTTCAATAGCTTGCTGCTTGCATGCCAGTTTGTGCTTTGGTTTTTCCCATCCCTCCCTGCCTCCCTCTTGAGGTAAGGGCCAGGTAAGTATCGGTTGGTAAGTATTCAACTGAATTGTTCAGTGTGACGGTGTCTGGTGGGGGCCGCTTGCAGGGTTGCCATGGATACCTCTTCCTCATGAACTTTGTAGGCACCAACTTTGTAGGCACCAGTTCTCAAGCTCATCTATTGGTGATGAGTTTAATTAGTGATTAATATAAGGGGTTTTAAAACTTGAAAAGAAACCTTTGAGTTTATTGCCCTTTCTTTGCAGGACCTCCAAAGGTGCAGCGAGTTATAGCTCCCCGCCGTCCTACTGATATCATCACCACATCTTCATGGCGCTCTGGTCAGCAGACTGTTAAAAGAATTTTGGGCCCAGCCAAGAAGAAAAGTTCTTCTCCTGAGGGAAGTCGACCTCAGTCAAGAAGCAGCCAGGGTACTGATATTTCAGAACCAAAGAGCCTGAATTTTCAATGGCGAGAGGAAGCTAATGGGAAGAAACATGCTGGTGTTGGAGATGGAAGTGAGAAAGGTGGCGCACCAACAGACGAGGTGCCTAGAGTGACATCTCCAACTAATCAAAAGCTTGTTAATGGATTAAAGAAGGACTCAGGTAATACAGTCAACTCCCTTTATAGCGGACACTGTGGGGACCTTGAGTTAGTGTCCTCATTAGCGAGAGTCCATAATAGGGGGAGTTTATTTCAGTCAAACATCTGTAAATTATTTTTGCCTGGGATTTAGCTGCTGTCCTTATTATCGGGGTGTCGGTTATAGCAGGGTTTCCACAAGGCAAGAGTTGACTGTATAAGCCAGCATGTTGTGGTGGTATTAGTAATGTTCCAGGTTTTAGATTACATCTGATTCTTGCTTTACGGACTACTCTAAGAGTTGATCCGTGCTGTTTGTCACTCATTTTCTTTGATTATAAACTATTCGGTACAATGTAGACACCTCTTTAGCTTTCTAAAGATGGACACTCATATGAGAACCAGTCATTTTTGCCTTCTGTATTGGTCTCATAATAGTTATAATTTAAAATTGTTGACATTTTTCAACAAGTATATAAGTTTACAAGTTTCCTTTTCAAGATCAAGTGTTATAAAGGTGTTAAATCTACCCTGTCCTGCAAAGAGTGATCACTAGTTTAGCTGGGTAGCATTTGCATTATTGTTGAAAGATGTTCAAAAGAAGTCCATAAGACTTTGGTATTATGGTAAGGAGATCAGTATAAGTGCAACATTCATAGAGATTAATTTCATCTTTGTTGTACTTTCCTGAAACAGGATCAGATTCGGAATTATCTTGGGAACACTCTTCAGGTCATGCAAAGGAATCTGTGAGGGATGCTGAAAAAGAGGTCAAGGATTTAAAGGGAAACAAAATATTATCAACAGAAGCTAAAAACATCCTGTCTGATTTGGAACTTGACACAGACGATGAATCTGGTGGGTCTCTCTTATGCTATGGTACACGGGCACCTTGCCACAGGACTAGCTCATTCAGTCAAGTGCTTGAAGGCACATTGGGAGGTCAGAAGTTTGATCTCCGGGGCCGGACCTATACTTAAGGTCTTGAAACAACTGAGAAATAAAGGTACTGCCTTTGCCCTGCAAACAGCTCGACCTTCATCCTCGACATGTGGCTCGGATGACCATGTAGAATGGTGGTCCCATCTCCAGTGGGAGTCATAAAATATTGTCCTCAATAATATTCGTACTTTTGTGCTAAATAATTATTATAAATTTACAATCAATAAAGTGCTCTTTTTCTGTACTTGCAACTTAATTTACATAGGACTACTTGATAACCATGTAAACTCATCTGCTATACCTGCATGTGTTTCCTATTATTTTTCCAGACAAGGAGATGAAGAAGCCAGTAGCAGAACCCAAACACAAACAGACAATAGTTAATAAACCATCCTCTACATCCAGAAGAAAGAGGCCTCTCAATTCACAATCACAAGGTCTGCATTGTCTTCCCTTGAGTGAAAGTTTTGAATTTGAAGAGTGATGCAAACAAGGAATTAACCTTAAAAATGTCTGAACTCTTTTTCATAGGTCCACCTGTGTCTTCTTATCCACCTAGACAAAAAGTTAGACACTATGATACAGATGAAGTAAAGGTTTGTGTATCCCAAATTTCATTTGGTAAAAATGCTGAAAAAAACTTATGATGCCAACTGCATTTGCCCCTTTAGTAAAAAATACATTTAATTACATGTAACAACAGAGATGGGTGGGTGCCCTGGATGTTGTGTCATGCAAGCACTGCTGTCTGTTCCAGTACCACTAAACTGACTGGTGACCAACAACGTGAGATGGTGCTCTTTGTAGTTAACTGCATTTTAGTTTCATTTAACTGCATGTTATTATTTTTGAACTAGAAACGTTTTGTCTCTTTGTAGCTACGTTTGATTATTTGAGGCCAGTTTGAGTGCTGTTGTGATGGTCATCATCATGATTATAAGTATAAATTACAGTGTTCAATCTAGGCTGTGTTTTTGCATTATTGACGTTCCGGTGGAATATTCTATTCTGACACAAAATGAAAATATTGTGGAGTCATACTGATGCAAAAAAGGTACCTCACATATAAGTACTTCCAAACCAGCAAGCAATAGTAGAAAAAAATTTTAAAAACTGTGTGTGCTTACTAGCCTGAAATGAGCATGTGAAATGACTGTCGTTTCAAACTACGCCCTTACGATTAGTTTTTTGTCAGGTGTTCCATGCAATTTCGGGAGAGTCTAGAGGTACACTTTAACGTTCTGCATTTGCTGCCCTGAATTGTCCTGCCAATCATTTCACACTTTGTTTGTTGACTTTGTTCCTTTGTCTTTGTTTCATCATGAAATGATAACAAAAGCTAAGTTCATATTTTACGTGAAAGAGAATGGCAGTTGAACCTGAAAAGAATGAAGACTGGTTGGGTAGAAAGGATAGTGAAGTTGGAGAAGTCAGTTCAATAAGTCAGCCTCCAGAACTTCAAGGGCTAACAGCCTCCAGCTCAGCAAGCATACAAACTATATGATACTGGTGATAGTTTAGATGATGGTTGTTCAAAGTTTCAATGTCATAGTTTGACCAAGGCCATTTTTGAAATTACCCAATTTTATAATGGACACTGAAATTATATATTTTGACTTCTTTGTCCTTAATTACTGCAGGAGGTGTAATAATATATTGTATTAGAGATGTTTTTGTCACTCAATGGCATATGCTCTTAAATTCTTAATTTTTTCCAGAAATACATAGAAAAGCAAATAGCAGAAAGAAAAAAAAAGCTACACGAGGACAGACTACTAAAGGAAAGGGCAGTAAAAGAGAAGAAGCAAAAGCTTGAGGTACGTTTTCTAAATATTACAGCAATCATTAATTGTAAAATTGGGGAAATTTAGTTTTTGTCTCTTTAAACAGTGAAATCAATACAGTGAGTGTTCATTGGGGTTTTGCAGAAAGAAGCCACCTTGATTTTGTGAATTTGTTTATTTGCAGGAATTGTACAGTAGACAAAAAAAGAACCTTCATCACAATCTGAATCGCAAGAGCAAGAAGTGTTTGGGGGAGACCTACTCAAAAGGTCACAGTGGTTTTAGATCCATTATTTACCCATACAATCACCCATTTCCACAGGATGAAGTTGAGGTAATTATTTTGAAGGGATTAATGGAGGGTAAAATTTACATCTAGATAGTACTACATGCTATGTGCTTGTGGTAATGTTACATGGTGATGGATTGAAATACCACCATTATTTTTATTCTCCCTAAATTACGGCATTTGCCTCTTTCAATAGGGAGCTTAAGGAAAGGTGTTTTTTGAGCAACGCACGTCAACCAGAAGTGAGACCTCTTTGGTTTTTATACACCTCAGTGTTACCAAATTTGTATTGCTAAGTGTCTTACTTTATAGAAACCATTTGCTTGAAAATTTGGGCAAAACCACTTCCAAAGAATGCCAAAATTACACTTCTGCTCACGCGCGTTGCTCAAAAATGTCTTTGCTTAAGCTTCCTAATAATGGTTATTCAAAAATTGCAAATTGGCCTAAAACTGAACAAGATGGTTTTGCCTGTTTTCAAAAATAGTTGCCAAAGCATTATGACTTATGAAATTTAGCAATGTTAATTGCATTATAACTTATCTCAATTACTTTTTATTGTTGTTCATTGTTTGTATTTGAAGCATTACAGTGAGGATACTGGAGTCAGTGAATCAGATAAAGGTAATCTGCTATTAATATTAACTACATTATACCTGATATCATTAATTTCAAAGTCCTCAAGCTGTTTCTTTAAAAGTATCAAGACAACAAACAAAAGTAAAGTTAATGTGTTTCATTAGTTGCCTGGTCTTGATTTTCAGAGAATCTAGACATTGCATCCTTCAGAGGACTGCCAGTTTATCCATCTTCTCAGGAACGCAATGGCCACAATGTTTCAAGTTCTCCTTCAGAATTCAGTGAAGATGGATCCATGTCTCCAGTGCCTGCTAGGCTTGATGTTAGTGAAGATCAAGGACGTGTTCCTTGTGTAACAAGTGTTTCTGTTGGAGCCAAGCCTGTTGATATCAGACCCTCAGCATATGTTGGCTTTCCTGAAGGTATTAAATGTTAATACTGATGTTTAAATGAACTGAGCTCTGATGGCTCAGTGTGAACTAGCTAGCCATTATAAGGGCATTTGAAGTTGAATGCCTTTGCAAGTACTGCATTTAGATTCATAGCTTTTGTAGCTAAGAGAGAGCTAAGAGAATTGTCCATACTATAGAATGTTTAAGGATTTGTTTTCTCAAAAATAAAAAAGAGATAGCACCCCTACCCACCGCCCTCCCCCCAAAAAAGTTACATGACTGATTTGAATTATAGAAAACTTTGATGAACAGTGTCATGTGAAAGTGTGTCTCTTTAACTAGTGTGACCACACTATGAATTAATGTCAATTCCTATCCTGGCATTCCTTCTTATTTTGGTGAAGCTTTTGCTTTATTCCTGGATGGGACTTACCTCTGATACTTCAGAAAAATGTACAATGTAGTTTCAAGTGGTGGTATTTTTACTTTTTTATTTATGTGCTGTATCTAAAGAAAAATCAGGAGATGACGTTAAAATGACCAGACATGACATGGAACCTCCATCAAACAGTCCGACCCGACTAGGTGCCATATCTTCAGCAGGTGTGTTTAAATAAGTAAAATGATGTTCAGTTGCTCATGCAAAAAATGTAAGGAAAAAATGAAGAGCTTTGAGAACTGAAGAGATCTCAGCAGGAGATTGATAAACACAAAAAAATTCTTTAACGTGGAAGTTGCTTACAGTACTTTTTTCACCCATCATTGAACTTAGACTGCTACACGAACTGAATTGCACTGTATCTGCTCCTACTTGTATAGCCCAGTTAGCTCGAATTGTGACAGAAAGAGCATCGGTAACTAACCCTGTATTTACACTATCTTACCTTGAACCACTTGGTCCAGGATGATTTGGTCATAGCAGTGTATTTTGTTGTTGCTGAATTTTTATTGGGTGGGGCAGGGTAGAAGATGGTGCTTACAATTCAATTTCCAGTTACCAATGTCAAGATTGCTTTCCAACAGCATTCTGTTGTGTGACTTACTCATCAAAGGTCACTGCTGTGTACTTCTCTTGATGTCATCTAGTTTCACTTTTTGCATCCCTGATTATGGATCTTAAATGTACAGTAGTGATGTTCTTTGAAAATAAAAGAACCCTTATTATCAAGGGTCTCTGGTTACATGCCCTCCCAGAGATAGGCACCCCTCTAGCTTGTATCAACGACGTTTTTGAAGCTTTAAAAAGCAACTAAATTCAAAAAGTATTCTAATCAGCACTACTATGTAAGCCCCCCCCCCATTTTCTGAGCCCTTCTGATACCCCTTACAAAGTTGTATAAGCCCAGGGCTTATAAGCAGGGTTGTCAGCAAGTTCTGAAGTAGATGGCTGAGTTGTGAAAGTAAATGGCCAGTCCAGGGATATTTTATTGAAAAAACACCATCTGTAAAGAAATGCCAAGTAGAGATAGTCGGCCGATACTAACCAAGTAGGCGGCAATTTTCACTGGTAGCCAGCTACTTATGACACACCTGATAAGGGGAAATTTATGGTAGTTGCAATGACAACGAATTTCAGGGCCTTGTTTCAATCTCATATCTTTATAATTAGAAAATCAGTGTATTTTAAATTACTGAAAAACATTATTAAGATTATGCCTTCTCTTCGCAGGGAATGGTGAATTGAGGCCTATGAGTAGTCCACCAAGAGAAGACAGAATTGCTGCCATTAAACAGACTGCGGCAGAGCTGAAACATCGTTTAGAGTCTGAAGCATGGAGACTGGGCTTAAACCTGCAAGCTACAGGGCTTGGTAAAATAGATGAGCAGCAGCCACTGACTTCTGTGTCAAGTGGGGACTACACTGTGTTCAAGGGTGCACTGCCAGGTTGGCAAAACTAAAAAATAATCAGTGTAGCCTGCAATAAGCAACCTCTGCCTTTTGGGGAGAGGGCTAGTTAGGGGACACTTGAGGGTGTGGTCATGGGACTCTGAAACCACTTACCTGATGTAGTACAGTATAATATATACATCGACTGGTACTCTCTCCTGATTTCAGTGTCTGTTTTAGACATTTCTGTCTCTGTAAACTCCACATCAAAGGATAATATTATTTTGTATGCCCTTTTCAGACTAAGCTGCTTGAAAGCTGTTTTCTACTTGTATACTGCTGCACATGCTCACTGATCTTAAATGTGATGTTAGGGTAACGGCAGCACTCCTAAGCTACATTGGAGTGGCTATGTTGTCAACTTTTGACAATTACTCACTAGACATTCACAAAAATAAATGAGTAATCAAAATATAAGCTTACTGTAAATGACCTATTAAACGCCCGGGCGTCTATTTGATATTAGGGGCCCAAGTGGGAGCGTTTAATAGATAGGAGGCATTTAAAAGAGAGAGGGGTGTATTTTCATAACTGTGACAAGCTCAACAAAACTAATATGCTTTCGGCAAAAATATCAAGCAAGAGGGTTTAAAAAATAGTGGAATATTCACTCCATCATTTGATACGTCTGGGCCATCCAGAGATCCATATCGGTCTTTCAAATCTTAACATTGATGTCAGAATCCTCGCTCATTGTAATTGTGTTGCGATCAATAGTTTATCCTATTCTTTACGTAACATTGAACAAGATGAAATAGGCAAACCCTGGAAACTGAATCAGAATGAATTGAATGATTGCCCCTTTTTGCTAATTCCTAGTATTTTAAAGTAATTCTCATGGGGGCGTCTATTAGACAAGGGGCGTTTATTACAGAGGGGCTTCTAAAAATTATGAAAAAATTAACAGCATAGAGGGGCCGTTTATTAGATAACAGGTGTTTATTTGGAAGTGGGCGTTACCGTTTATCAGGTCATTTACGTTATATGCATGCACAGACTTAGTTTAAGCCATCAGTCTCCCCTTTATTACCTTAGCCTGGCTTGGCTAGTAGGGGAATATGTCAAGCTATCCTGTTCATGGTTTATGTCACATAAGTTCAAATAAGATTATTTATTATTAATTAAATTATTTCTGTCCATTAGGGGTTGGCAATCTTCAGGAACAAGCAGAACTAAATGAAGAGCTGGTAAGATACAACCACAAAGGTGTTAACTCAAGTGTTATGTGAACAGTTATTCAATGTCATGGGGATTCCTCGTGAAAACTGCCATTTTTGTATTTCTGTCTTTCCAAGACATTCTTTCATGCCATATTAATTTCATATTCCATTGTAAATTGGAATTGTTTTTTTGAAACCAGTCCTTTGATTAACTGATAGAGTTCCATTTGTATTTATGTTTTGATTTTTTTTCATTTGTAATCAAAACTTTTATATCTTTAACTTTACCTTCCTAGAGATAGTGGTATTGTAAGTGTTCTTCAGAAAAAATCCCCACATTGACAGATATGTTGAAATCAAACACTGTAAGAAATGTTCCTTGATAGATCAAATGTAGCAAGAATCTTAGTAATCACCAGGACAGAAAACAAATGATCTTGTCATTAATATTAATGTTAATTAATATTAAGTCGAACTCAGCAACACGTGTACTGCTTACGTTATGCACATTCCTAACACACTGAGTCTCACCTCGGCAAGAAACAACTGCAAGCAAAAGTTCCAATAGCGTTTCTCTTCAGTCAACTTCATTTTAATAATGTTACCTCACATGCTCTTTTTTACGGCGGCCATCTTATTATGCGCAGTAATAGATGCGCAGTGCAAAACCAGGGAATCACCTTAAAGCTAGTTAAAGCTACAGAGAAAGGAAAGAAGTTGAAACAAGGATTAAAAGGTCACACCTGGGAATCAAACTCGGAACTTCCACACAGAAGGCCGCGCATTTACTGACTGTGCCAATTGAAGAGTTTATCCACTGTTTCACACAATTAAAAGCCTTGATTACGGTTCCCCTTCCACTGATCAGATCTTCTTTGGTTGTAATTAGGATAACAGAACCAGTGCTGCCACCACTATTCAAGCTGCCTTCAGAGGCCACAGTGTGCGGCAAGGCTTAAACTGGAAGCTACCTTCTGGACGTACCCTGAGGTCCACTGTAAGGCAAGGGCTGCACCAGAGGTCAGGAATCTTGGGGACTGGAGCATCAGAATCATCTCAATACTCCACAGCATGGGACAATGATGACAAGAGTAGTATATCTGATATCAATACCTCATACAGCTCAGCAAGATCTAAAGTAAAATCACCTACACACAGTTCAAGGTCCTTAAAGGTATTGTGCCTGCAGAGATACAAATGAATGAGAATGAGTGGTGTGTTTAAACCAGTTTGAAAATTTCACACCAGTTTGAAAAATTTAAACCAGTTTAAAAGATTCAAACCAAACAAAAAATTGAACTACAGCATATGTATGGACGTACCTTCCTTGGGTAAACTCCCAGTTATTCTTCCCATTGTTCATCAAATATTAATGGATAACTTAGTTATCCAAGTAGCAGCTTGCCATTTCAAAATTTGATATTTTTATGCCATTGGTACTGTTTGCCAGATACATTGTGTAAGAAGTAGGGCTTTTCACTGGCTGTTTATTCTTGCTGTAGGATGGTAGATCGTCAAGTACAAGAAGTCCATCTCTTCTTGAATCAGAAAGAAGAAAACACGCTCAAGGTATAACCCCTTCTTTTTGTATGCACAACCCCCCGGGGGGTACTCCCCTATACATGTATATGCCCATTTCCAGGAGTACCCCCCTCCCCTAGGGGGGAGCGCAACCCTGTCTTCAAGGTTACCAGATGCCTTCAGAGGTGTCACATGTGCAGGAGATGTAGCACATTCTGGTTAAATTGCAGTTACCTAAAACCCCATCTCAGGTTAAAGCTTAATATTGAACTTGCTATCGTACATGTAGTAAATCAATAATTTCTTAAAAGCTTGCACTGTCAATTTTTAATGATTTTTTAAAGCAAGCCTTTTGCTAATGTGATTAGTTCTAGTCTTTTGGAAGTAAAAGCGTTGAAAATCTTTAATGATTTTTGTTGCAAAAGAGCAAGCGCCTGAATCAGCTTTCGAAAGCTGAAACAACAGTTAACCTGGGGTAATTTTGTTTTTTTCTTGTGCTAAAAGCATTTTCTCGGATAGTTTTCTAGTTATTTTTAGAGTCAAACCTGTAGACAAAAAGAATTAAAAGTCGTTTTTTTTCATTCTGTTAAATTGCAATGATAAGAGTAACCCAGTTTGAACGCCCAGGTGTTTAAATAACAGAGATGTTTGTATCACAGAGCTAGGAGGTCTCTTGGGACCAAGAAACTTTTAGTTACACTGAGAGAAAGAGACAGATACATGTGTCGGTGCTGTACAATAAATGTGTCTGTTTGTATTTGGAAACCTTTTTATCGCAGTCTGTAGATCATTAATTTAATGGTGACCATAAGGGAAAAGCCAAAGCCTGAAGCTCTGCTTGAGGCTCATTTAGTCCTTGCCAAAGAGACCGTTCTCTTTTTCGTTAGAAACTCCTTTTTGAATTAGTGTTGTACGTTTTTCTATTCAGGGCGTCTCTCCAAACACTCATTGGATGGTAAACCTTCTATCCTTCCTTGGACAAGTAAAGGTGGTGACAGGTATGTAAAACGCGACTGCACTTGCCATTATCATTTTAAATTTTTCATTTTTGTCTTTTTGGTTTGTTTTTTGATATAGTTGAACCTATATCAAGTACATGACGACATGCGAGGACAAGTCACAGCTGTTTTGGTTTAACTACTGATTGATCAAGAAAATTACGTGATATTTTTTCAGTGAGTCAGCGTGCACAGAAATGCAAACCATAAGAGTCGAAAAAATATTGTCACTTTCCACAATTGGCTGAAAATTGACTGAAAAATTATATAATTTACAGATTTGCGTGAATTGTCTACCCAGCTCAAACACACTTCAAAATGATATTACCCTTTTTTCTTTGCCAATCCATGCTGACTTGTTGGTGTGATTTTTCGATGATTCACACTTGACTTATTGAATTATTTGATCATTCTTGATACTTCAGCTTGAGTGTTATCAACATTTTCACCAGGAGAAATCCTCACTTGAAATCACTGGCTAAAGAAGGTAAAGTATTAACCGCTTTTTCTCGTTTATGTACTCTTGGTTGTCTTTATAGTGCCAATTATGTTCCTTGTCAGTGGAACTTAGATTCCATGCTCTGATCATCAGCCAGATTCCGATTCCTTGAGGGTTGTTCAAAGTAGGGTTAAGATAACCCTGGGTTAGTGCGAAATTTCAATTCAGATATGAAAGCTTAAAAAGAAAATTCATTTTTTTCCTTTTGGTCTACACTTCGAACAACTGGGCCCTGATTGCAAAAGCCCATGACATTGGGTGATGTGCAATACCGTGCAGTTCCTTTCAAAACCTTAATAGTACGGGGAATGAGGCCCTGCCCATTTTTAATCAGGTTAACCTTTTCACCTCTAAGACTATCCCCTTTTTTCTCTGTTTACCGTTGTCCGACCGACCCAAATTTTTGGCATTTTTTTGAAAAAAGTAACGACATGAAAAAGCCTTTTCTTTTTGCACTTTAATTAATTCTTTTAATCTGAAAAATGAGCATACAGTATATTTGGGCACTTTGTTAATCCTAATAAGTAAATATTAACTTTTAACGTCATGCTCGTACCCAATGAGGATGTAAACTTAGTTTAAAAAATTCCGATATATATGTCTGTTTGAGAAAAGGAATAATTAACCTGTCGTAGTTTCTAACCAGCACAGATCTGTATTGTTTGATATATCCAGGACTTCCTTTTCAAACTGAGGGGTGCTGTTAAGTGGGATAGGAGTTTCGGTGGTTGATCCTTTTTCTCACGTTATCTTGATTACTATAACATCGACCAACTCTTCCGCCATATTAATCCGCCATATTGATTTTGCGTGTTTCCAAGTTGTTTCCAGGCTCCACAGCAATGATGCTGTGGTACCAGGCCTCCTCCTATTCCGAGAATGCTTGTAATTTTTTTAGGAAACGCATTTGACCGTAAACGAAGAAAAAAAGAGGGTTGGCCTAACCTGAGTTATGGTGAAGTTCTTTACACGGTGCTTCAGAAGCCAAGGGCAAAAATTTTGTAATTTAAAATGACTCCTGTTTTCTTGGTAATTAGATAAAGGTGCAAAGGAGCAAGATTCAGAGATAGCAAGTCTTCTTGAAGAGACCCTGCCGGACAGTAAAGCAGGAGAAACAGCTAGTTTGCTGGAGCCCCCTGCAGACCTCGATCAGTCCAAAGAACTGCTAGAACAGACTTTGGTTGAGCAATCTCCGAGAAAAAGTAAAGAGCATGAATATGAAGATGACTTTGAAGGATCTTCTCGTGGAAGCAGACAGGAGGAAAGCGTTAAGGTAAATATTTTGATGCTAAGTTGATTGGCTACGGCGTGAACAGTCATTTCAATCCATCGGCAATAGATGGGTGTGGGGAAGAGGCCGGGTGAAATTTAAGGGAACCACAAGCGAGCTAGGAAGGTAACCTTGACAACGCGGAGAGCGGCAGCCACCGGGCACCGTCACACTGAGAACCTATTCGGAGAAATTCGCAGATACTTATCAAAGGACATCCAGAGGGAAGGGAGGGCTGGGAACAAAAATCAGCTTACGCCACTGCTACTATTGCCCTATATACGATTAGTGATAGTGACCGCTGGCCAGGGTTGTCTCATGTTTAGCCTCCCCTAACTTACATATACCCACATGAAAACTGGGTTAATTTCTCCATTCTTAAGTGAATTTGGCCGTATCTGACTTTTGTCTGAATAACACAATGTTGATCTGAAAAATTTGTGAATGTGAGGTGAATTATCATGGTCATATGAATTTTGTTAAAGGTCAGAAACGGTACTATAGTTATTTTCTCTGACCAAAAAAACATTTTGAATTTTGTAATACCTAAGGTTTGAAAATAAGAAAATCAGGTGGCCTGAAGGGCAAGATGTTGATTTGATTTACTTGGCTGTAGCTCTGAGAAGTTAGCCTAAATTAGCGTTTGACTTACCGGTTAGGCAACTTGCAGTGTCAAGGAAACTTACTAGATCATTGCATCATTCCCTTTAGTACCGGACTGGTGTAATTTTGCTTCTCCATGCAGACTCGGGAACTCGCTTAGGATCATTACTTGGAAATAATCTTGGGCTGGCAAACAATATCCATTGAGTAACTCATTCCAGACACTACTTTGTTTTTTAAAATTGAATGTTAAAGAAAATTTGTTATTGTTACAACTTATATCTGTCTTCTTAAAATGTAAATTGTGTGAAATAAAATGACCCTGTAGGGGGTGTGGCATCCAAGTTGTTAAACCCTGATCGGTTATTTGGGATGCTGCAATATGGGTTCATGGCTGGGTTGCAGTTATTTGACAGTTATTGGGAAGGTATATTAGTGAATTTAAGATCCAACGATGCGACGGCAATGAGAACGTCGCTTAAAAAGTGAATTAGCGTTATTTCCGTCCTTATCGGAATTATTCCTACCCACTTACTTTGTCAAATGTAGGCGAAACCGCCTGGAGTTGAATTCCGAGGGACCATATCCAAGTGCAGAAAGAGATACAAAATTTCGTCGGTGCTTGTTTACGTACTCCATAAAACGCGAAATTAGGCGTGTTCACGTCATAGTCGTGCAAAAACTGGCAAAGAAATGTACACGTGCAAAGTTGTTGTTCTGCTGATGAAACGTATCGTTTTTTTGACGTTCATCCGTGTCGTTGGATCTTTATCTAGGTTCTACACACGAATGCCCCTGTTAACTGTCACGAAGGAATTGCGTTAAATATTAAATAAAATCGTCAAATATTAAAGAAAATGTTTTTCCTCCAACAGCGCACTCCAAGTCCGGTAAGGAAGAAGGACGATCATTCATATTCAGAGACATTCGAGAGTCCAGAGCGTAAAACAGGCTCTCTTGCTGTGGAAGAGAGTTTACACTCTCCGGACAGGAGTATGGAAAGTGGTACTCTGTCACCTACCCTGTCAGAAGGAGAATTGTCCCATGCAAGTGAGGCTGATAACAGATCTCCTACAGTCTCTTCCATGCGGGTAAGATAGAGCATCCTTTGCCTCGCACGTCAAATTAACTACAGTTATTGAAACAAGAGATTTCAACTTTCATGGTTTATGTTTGGTTACTTAGCCCCGTTGCTTTTTTCTTTTGGTGAGTTTTTGCTTCGGAAAGATTTCAGCCAGTACCCATTTTCATTACTATTTACGTTTTATTGTAAGTTAAGACTAAAGGCGCACACGAGCCGAAGGCCTTAATGGTCGGAGCTTATCCCTGTTTCCTTAACATGAAGCATGCCCTGGAGTATTGCGACTCCCTCCTGGACGGGATGCTAGTCCATCGCAGGGTTACCCCCCAGCAGTATTTTATACACCTGGGTGAAGAGAGACAAAGTGGAGTAAAGTTCCTTGTCTAAGGAAACAATGTGACCGACGAGGCTTGAACCCCGGACCTCCTGATCCAGATTTCGAGGTGCTAACCGCTCGGCCACACACGTCTTCACACAAGACTTCTGTGTGCAATGGAGCTTTTGTCTTGGTTGCGTGATATGGGATTACTTGTTCCACATGCAGCTGCGAAAGTCTTGGTTGTGGCCTCTGTTGTACGATACACAGTCTTTGAAGGAGCTGTGTCACGTTTTATTGGTAGTACTTTAAAACACCTAAAACAGATTGGAATCATAGCCAAAACCGTGCTCTACTGCAAAACCTTGACCAGAAAGTGCTTGTCTTTGACTTTCGTTGACCAGGATGGATGGATTGCAACTTGAAAAAATTGAGCCAACGTTTTCAAGTTTCACTCCTAAGTAGTCGAAAAATAATAATAATAAATTAGCATGCTTTATTTCCCCTTTGTTAGACTCAAATAAAATCTTTCTTTTAGAGCTCCAAGGACTGAAAATACGTAGTCATAATTTCAGCTCAGCTTTGACCGAAATAATGGAACTCATCAAGACATAACCCTTTTTTAAAAACGATTGGTTTCATTAGCGCTAATGATCAACTCAAAGATGTTTTCCAGTGATTCTTTACATGTGAATTATACTGGATTCCTTTTCTTACAGCAGTCGCCTACAAGGGACCAAAGCACTCACAGCTCTGTTCCCCTTTACACACCCAAAGCTCACCTTCCTCCCTCAGTATTCATGCCCGCACATCAGGGGGGTGATCGCCTGTCTCCTGGCTCTCTTGATATGAGGCTCACTGCAGAACTCAACAGATTAGAGTACATGGAGGAGTCAGTGCGCCAATTGACTGATGTGGAGCGCACCCGTGCAGTTTCTTTGGCGCAGCAGGAAACCGTGTCATTGGCTCAAATACTCAAGGTAAGTGCTTCATGCGAGCTACACTGAACAATATCCTCCTTAACTTATTTTTTTTTTCGCGTATTCTCAAAACATTATACACCCCGCAAAGCTTCTTTGTATATTTTTTCACCAGAAAAGTTAGCACGCTTACTTTTACTGAAAGAGGTTTAGCCCTCTTGATCGCAAAATGATAAAACTTTTAACATTTGATAGTTTCCGCCACTACGACATTCTCGCTAAAATCCGTAGCAGAATGACGACGGCTATTCCGTCTTCTAAAAAACGTCACATCTTGATGCGTATAAGGCAAGGGCTTCTGCTTCATCATTTTTTTTCGCCGAAGGCAACGAAACGCCGTGTAAAAAAACGCCACATCTTGATCAGTGCTGTTTCGTTTTCGACGAAAGGCCTCTGAACGCAGCACTTCACAAAAAAACTGAGCTTGCGATCGTTTCGTAGAAAATACTGCACTATCAAAGATTGCGCCCAAACTTACGATTTCATTGCAGACAAAAGCTGTTTGTTATTCTCCATTATTCTAAAAGTTTTAAGTTTATGAGAAGTAATCAGAACACAGGGAAAATGTATAGAATCATATAAGAATTTCTGAAAAGATTTTGTGGTTGAGCAAAACCTCACTCGTCCGAAGGGCGACTTTTGAAGTTATCTTAATCGTCCGTACGAGATAGTAGGCTGATTTAGCAACAGAATTAATGGGAACGTCAGTTGACGACGGGAAAGCGCTCGGAAAGGACTAAACAAGACTTCCGATGCCCAATTTGTCGCTCTGCCATTGGTCAAGCTAGTTGTTTAAGTTGCGTACGCCGTCGTCAACTGACGTTCCCGTTCTGTTGCTAAATCAACCTAGCAGTCGTCTGGGACAACCGGACGACTGGGAATATGGATCCCTGAAAATTGATTTATTTGTGCAATTTTCAGCTCTTTGCAAGCAGTAACAAAGAAAATAGCAGTCTTCGAATACTACGAAATTGTTGAGTGGCAAATATTAATGATCTCATTAATTCTTTGTAAAAGTTGATTTGGAGTTTCAAAAAAGAAATTTCTCCAGAATTGTTATGTGTCTTGGGTTAAATTTTTGAGAGATAACTAACACGATAATGCGCTGGAAATATTCGGCGATCTTCTTTTAGTAGCCTGATCAGAGAATGAAAAGGGTATGTAATTGAGGAAAGAAATTTGAACAAAGATTCCCCTATTGACCCTCGAGCCTCCGTAACTCGTTAGCACTCGATTTGGCCACTGTTATTGACTGTTGTTTATGTTGCATCCTTGCTTCAAGTATGTCAACCTTTTGTCTTTTTTGTGTTTGTTTTTTAGTCTAAACAGCTTTCCCACGCGCGTGAAATGGAAAATCTCAGAGCAAAAGCTCGGGAGGAAGCTTTAGAAGCAGCCAAGCAGCTGGAAGAGGTATAGAACGTTGTTGCCCCCAAAACTGCAGTTTTTCTGAAAACAAATGAAAAGTAGTTAAATTCACCTAGAGAAAAAAGCTAGTAGATTTGTGTCCCAAATTTAGAACCCTATCCACAGAATAAAACAGCGGAACAGTTCAAAATGCTCCAAAGTACCCGCCTGAAGTGACATACAAATAATTTCACCCGCCACATCTCTAACTGTTTCATTACAATCACACACTTTCTAATACACTTACACAGCCAACTCAATATAAGACGGACATCTTTTGGTCCAGTAACAAGTGTCTGTTTGAGAGCGCTTTCCATTTCTCTGAACTGTCTGGCTAAAGCATTCCCGTCGTAATGCGAATTTCAGGGCTCGAAATTAACTTTTTCGTTCGGGAGCCAGCTGGCGACTAACGGAAAAATTTTGGTCGCCAGATCGTAAATTTTGGTCGCCAACTTATTTTATATATAACTTACACAAGAACACGATTTTATACGTTACTTTGCATGCAAGAAAAGTCACAACTGAAGAGCGAAAACAATTAGAAACAACACGAGTAACACTTAGTTATAAAGCTACCGTTGTTCTCAGGTGATATGTCTCTGGTCCGAAGGTGATGGTTGTCTCCAAAGTCATTTTAAATGAAGCGAAGCATAAAACGTTTTAAGTCCGTGGTTTTCATTCTGAGACAAACACGGGTCCTTGTGTATTTGCCCTTTGCTACTTCTACGAAATGCCGTTCTATATTTTCGACTTGCTTTCCTCAACGCCTTTCGCTGCCGACAAACAACGCCATGCTTGGCCCAGGCCTCTACACAACCACATTGCTCGTACCAGTCTCCGACCGGGAGGAAACAAAAATGGGCTTAGTGCAGTTTTTGGGTCTTCGTTTCCCTTTAGACAGAACGTTTTAGGAAAATAAAACCTAAAATGTTGCGGGAGTTACGAAGGCACCGTATCTGCCACCATTTTTGTTGTTGAAGTGCGCCTGCGACCCCAGTTTCGGAAGAAGCCGCTGAAACAATATGGCGCGCCCTGAACGCAGTATCGACGTGTCGAAATACATTCCATTTTTTCGATTATCTTGTAATATTCAGACATTATTTTACTGGGGACGGAAAGGTGAGTTGTATACTAGCTACCATATCCGATTGATTTCCAAATATAAAGATTTAAAAACAAAAGTTGTGTCGTGGTTTTCTTAAGTCATCGGACAAAACGCGAGTCGCCAGCTGGCGACCAGTTCTGAAAATTTAGTCGCCAGTGCTCAATTTTTGGTCGCATTGGCGACCAGTGAGTCGCAATTTCGAGCCCTGAATTTCACTTTTAATTAAAACTATCCAATTAGTATAGGTAATAGCATGATTTGTAGTGATATTTGGAATAAATACCACGAGTGATATGGTTTTCAGCAAAAACTCTTGGACAGGGTTCGTACAGAGTCTTGAATTCATGAAAAAGTCTGGAAAAGAGACGTAAAATCTTTAAAAGATGGTAAAAAGTCTTGAGTTTTTTTTAAAGCTACAACAAGTGCTTCAGAAGTCAAATTTTTTTCGTGTTGGTCAAATCTCATTCTATCTCGCCTGCATGTCATGGAAAAAGCTTTTTTTCTGCATCTTTTTAAGGTCCCTGTTGATCACCTATTTTATAACCTTGAGTCTGGAAAAAGAAATTATTGTTTTGGAAAAGGTCTGGAAAAAGTCTTGAATTTTGGATCGAAAATCTGTACGAACCCTGCTTGGAAAAAGCCTATTCGTTGTCCAAATGACCGGTCCTGCGATGAGTCGTTGTATCAATGCTTAATGAACGCTGTGTTTTTACAGGCCCGCCGTGCTGCAGCGGATGCTGCCGCAGGTGCAGCCGAGACAATTGCCCGAATGAGGCTTGAGGCAGCAGCCACTATCACTGAATCCGCTGACCGTCTAGTTAAGGTACAGTATGCTTTGATTCTTGTCGAATCTACATGTGATCGTATACCTGTTTATTAAGACTTTTTCTTTTTCTTTTTGTGATTTATGTTTCCAAAGAAACTTTAATCACTATGCTATAGTTTCATAAGTAAGTAAGTCAGACAGTCAGTTAGTAGGACGATAACTCTGACGGTAATTCATGTTCTTGAATTATGTTATCTCTTTTCCAAACTGTAGACATTTACTTTGAAAAAAGCACCTATTATTCTCAAAAGAATAAAAAACCTAATGAGAACTGTACAAGCCTTTAGCCTTTATCTCGGTCCTAGATTTTATTTTAGCTTAAATCAAATTTTATTTACTTTGTTGACAAGTCCGTTGTAATTATTAAACCAGGAGGGCTTTTTAGTCTCTAGACGTTGCATGTCATTATATCAGTTTACTTAAATCAATACAGGTATTACATGAAATGAGATATTTAACGCCGTCTGAGGCTCGATTTCCGCCGCTCTCTCGGTCTTCCCCGACCAGGAGCGCGGGCTCATTTGCCGAACAGCGGCTGGTAATCGAGCCTAACGCTGTCTACAAGAAAGAATTGTTACTTCTTTTTGTTAGGTGCAAACTGAAGCAGCGCGGACAACTTCGGAGTCAGCCAAACAAGTTGAGGAGGTATGAGCCCTTTGCGTGTTTTAGGCATTAAAAGATGGTGAACGGGAAAACGGATCTCTTGCTTCTTATATTAGGGAGCTTAATAAGCAACGACGATAACGACGGCAGCGAAAACATCGCTAAAAAATGAATTTGCGCCCTTTCAAACTTTATCACGTCTATTTGGAACCGTTCAATTTGTCAGATGCACGCCAAATGCCCTTATGGGTCATCCATCCGCCCCTTTTGTCTTTTTTCGACGGAGAAAGCTCTTTCTAGAAATCGCTTCTTTTGGCGAAAATCCACACTACCAATATCATATTGATTTTAAACGCTGCATCTGAAAGGTAAGGGGCTTTAAATGAAACAAGCGCTAGCGAACCTGCCAGATACGTAAGAATCGGAACTGTTTTACTTGCACGGTCAGTAAGTAATGATCCGGGTAAGGTGGATAGCAATTTCTTTTGTTATGCGGCAACGGTGCTTTCCCCACATAGGAATGTTGTCATTTTTACACAGAGAATGCATAAACGTACGTGAAGGCCGTTTACGCAATAAAATGCATGTACAGTCCACTTTGAAAGGGTGTTTTTTTGTGTTAAAAGATTTTGACCAATCACAAGAGTTGAAAACAATAGCCAAAAAAAGTTTGCAATTTTACATGTTCCCCACATAGGATTTCTTTGTTATTCAAACTGAGACCAGATTTTGTTATGTAGAAGATGGTTGAAAAGTAAGGATGAATATATGTACCGCCTTATAAAGTTTCGTTAACTTTTGCTGTTTAAGCCAATCAGAAGTAAGTACAGACAATAGAAAAGTTAGCGCCTTTTTTTGCATTCCAACATGTTCGTTGCCGTTGTTGCTATCGTTCTTATCTGGACCGTTTTCTTAAAATGATCGATTTCAATGTTGGTTCAAGTTTGCCTGCTATAATCATTATTTTTCCCTCCAGGCCCGCTCGTCAGCCGCCCGGACTTTATTAGATGTCGCTAAGCAACAAACCGCTGACACCCGAGGTGTTGCAGCGGAGGCAGCCAGCGCGGCCGCAGAAGCAGCTGTCAAGGCTTCCATGTCGCGATTTTACGAACAACAAGAACAATTGTTTAAAGAAAGGGAGGCGCGCCTTAAGAGCTACAGTGACAGAAGTCGAAACGAACGCTCACGTGATAGCTATTCAAGCTACTCAAAGAGCGAGCATACAGACAGCTATTCTCGAACCAGGTCTTCACGGTCTGGGACGGATGCGGTGGACCGGGGATCACCAGCCAGGAGTAGTGTTGGAACAAGGACGTACGCTAGCGACGACTTTTCTAGAGCCTCTGATCGGGATAAAAGTGCAAGGTAATTAGTTTAAAATTTTGACAATTGGCAGTTATTTAGGAGATAATTACCGATGCATTGATCTTAATTTGTATTGCGGTTGGCTGTTTGCTGCTAATAGTGAGGTTAACAATGACCACGTGCGACTGCAACGACAACATCAAAAAAGCAATAGTTTTTGGTCGCGTAAAATGTAAATTCGCGTTCTTTCAATCTTCACTGCAATTATTCCAACTCACCTAATTTGTCAAATGTAAGCGAACTACCCTGGAGTTGAATTCAGAAGGGGAAAGGAAGTTTAATCGTCGCTTGTTGACGTCCTCTTATTAAACGCGAAATTAGGATTTCACGTTGTAGTCGTGTAGGGACGACAAAGAAATGTACAATAAAGCGTGATGCACGTGCAGAGTCAGTTGTTGTTTTGCTAATTACAACTATAATTGCTTTTTTGACGTCCACGTTTCCGTCGCCGTCGTCGGAATCTTCAGGTCACCATAGTGCGACGGTGACGGTGGCTCCGCTGTGATTTCGCTTTCTTTAAAATTTTAACGCGATTATTCCAATTCAGACCTTCAATTGGTGGCGAATTTTGTCCGAGTTCAATTTTTACAAATCATCTCCATGTTTGTCAAAATTCCTGTTTTCCTTCTTTCCTTTTTTGCTAGTGTCCATACAGCAAGTAATTTGACAGTTGACCGTTCCGTTACTCGCTCTCAAGTTACCCCCACCCCGTCAGGCTCTAAGCACACGCTCCCTGCAGGGGAGGAGACAGGCAGTATTCCTGAAGAGATGGATCACAGTGTTGCGGATAGCGTGGTGTCAGATGTCGGCCTTGATGTGGCTGAAGATGACTCGTTGGCTGAGGTTTTAACTGGGGACAGCCTCAAAAAGCCTAGTGGTTAGTTGGAGATCTTCCCATGTGACTTGTAGTTGGGGAGCTTTAAAGTTCTGATGGAAAAAATATCGGATGATACACTTTAAAGAAATATTCTGGAACGATTTTGAGCATATTTCGGATTTTTACGCACTTGAAATTAGTGACCCAAGGGCTCGTTTCGCGAAAGTCCCGGAAACGTTTTGGGTCCTACAAAACCCTAAGAGTAAAAGCGCGGATCGTAGCCAACAAACCAGAGCACTTTGTTTTGTTAACTAACAGGTTTATCGTATTATCTGAAAAGCTTTTAAAAACTTGGTCTTGAATGTAAACTCAACAGCTTATCGAGCCCTGCAATTACCGGGACGTTGGAGGAATAGACCCCTAAGCTTGTATGTTTTGTTTTCCCAATTCAGACCACGTGATATTCTCCAGGGAATTTGCCTTTTGTCTTTTCATAAATCATGCGCACATATGCACGCGAATGCACGTGCAAAGGACGAAATTTGAGAGAAACACTAACTTTTCACAGGTGTACTATCACGTGGTTTAAAATGGGAAAACAAAACATACTAAATGAAAAGGTCTATGTCTGAGGAGACATAACGTCTAGATAATGTTAAATTCGTCGAACTCAGCTCCTCCAAGACCGGGATTTGACGAGTTTTGCTTGACTACGTTGTTTGGGGATGGACAGAGTAACTCTTTCTGATTTGCCCCTACAGAGCGCTTGGAAAGATCCCCAGAAGTAGAAGACTACACGCTGAACTTTGAAGAATCTGTGATATCATCACACACAGCTACGGATGATGAGATCGACTTCCGGATGATTTTGCCATCTGAGAGCCACAGGCGCCGGAGTCTGGGTGCTACCGGAAGGAGAGGCAGCATAGGCTCTGATCAAGGCACTGTTTCCTATTCTTCAGTAAGTGATATTAGGTTTTACAACGTACTTAACCGGCTTTGAAAGTGAAGATACTCTTTTGTGGAACGTGTCCTTTGCAAGAACTGCTTTGTCGCTGTTCTACAATGTTTAGTGCTTGTTAATCATGAATTTGATGGCTTGCATTTTTTCTCTTTTTTCTCTTTTCTTTTAGGATGATAACCACGAATCGGATTTTGCAGTTGATAAGGTACACCTAAGCGCCTAACACCTATTCCAGTACTCAAGTAATTGTTAACATCCATTACTCCTCCTTCCTGTACGCACTCAAAGCCCGGCTATGAATCCATATCGTTCTTCTTCTGCTAGCACTGTGCTTTCCCTAATTACCTTCTGTAGCTGTTTTTGTACTCATCCCTAGCTTGCAAGGGAGGGCTTTTGTTGTTGTTGTTTTTTGTTGGCGTCGGGGGTGGGTGGGGAAACCAGACAATTGACAGAGACAGGCAAGTCAGTCAGGCAAGAAAATGTTATTTTGTCCCAACTCACCCTACAATTCACTTCATTTTTCATTCTTACCTCCCCAGTCGACCTTTGAACTCAACATTGAGCTTTCCCTCGCCCCCAAGTAGTAGGTCCTGCATTGCAGGCAAACGAATCTCTTGACGGTCTTTTCCTTTTTTTAGATGCTAGAAGATGTTTCTGCGGCGCCTTTTTCCGGCGAGGACTCATTCACCCAGTTCACGTCCGAGATGGTTCGTTTAATGAAAGAAGAGGAAGTCCGAGCTAAGCATCAAGCTGGTCTTTTGCGCTTGCGCGAAAAAGCTGTCAAAGAGAAGACCAGGGCCGAGATGGCCTGGCTCGAGAGTCAGAAAAGAAGACACCGTGACAAAGGAGCCGATGACGTCATGCCTTCAATCAGAAAAAGGCAACGTGGAGTGTTGATGAGGCTTCAGGCGGAACAGGTAGTAGAAACAAGACGGAATTAAACACATTTATTGCCAGAAGGGGCAAGAATGAGCAGTCTTCGGCCTTTCACACTAATGCGTTTTTGTTTCAAAACGCGTACATTTCGACGCGTTTAGGCTTTCCGTCCACACTAATACGCCAAGCATTTTCATAAAAAAACGCATCGATTTGAAAACGCTGTTGAAAGTGGCTCAAAACAAAAACGCGTACGTATCGTATTAGTGTGGACAGTCGAAAACAAAATGAAAATGGTGACCTAAAATATCACAGGCGCGTGTGTTTGCAGCATGCGCGTAGTGTTCAACTTACGTCACAACGTGCAATTCTATCGTTTTGGAACGTTTTAGTGTGGACAGTCGATAACGCATCAAAACGGTAGTGTCGACGCGAATTGATCGATGCTTTTTGGGTGACAGCGAAAATGCATACTTTTGAAACAACATTAGTGTGGACCGCCTTAAAAGCCCTTAAATCAATTTTGTTAAAAAGGGGGAAGTAAAACACCGAAATCTTGGGAGTCCGGAATCTTGGAGTCGAGTGCTTGTTTCCTCTTGAGTAAGATAAGAAGTTGAGACATACTGAGCTATGAGTAAGTACGAGTGAGTTTCTACCAGAGGCTCGCGGGCCATTTTTGGCATGTAAACAGAGGCTCTTGAGTGTGAAGGATTTCTCTACTGTTTTCAGAATAGATTTCGTAGAACTTGTGTTAACCACACACCGTTGAAAGACAGCGCTCTATGCGAACGAGACCTTCTTGCGAGGTCTCTTATTCTTTTGTGTACACTGTAAACTCTTGTAATGTTGCCGCTTAATTAGATGTAAATGACAGGAGAATTTAATGAATGATCGTCAAAGATGAAAAACAGTTATCTTTTTAGGTTACGTTCGCACGACACCGGATGAATTTTCGACCGGCTGAAAAATTTGACTGCATACTTCGTTCACACGGAATCGTTCAATATTTTCGCCCAGTTCAGGCGGAACTTTCCAAGGGCTAGGGTTCTAAATTTTTGTATGGTTAGGGTAGTTCCATGTGAACGGGACACCTAAACGCACGTATTTTTAACGGTCAAAAACTCGTCTGGTGCCGTGTTAACGTAGCCTTAGGCAATAGACCTTTTAACGGTTTTTTTTTTCAACTTTTGACATGGACAAGTTCGGGAAAATCCGTCGACAACACTCTAGCGAGCGAAGACATAGCTCCGAAAAGTTGCGAAAATTCACAGACGCCGTTTGTATGGTAAACTATTAATAAATAACATTTCAATGCTCATACAGACCCCATCTTTAAGGACCTCGGTATACTAAAATTTAATGATATCCATTTGCTTCAACTGGGCCAAATTATGTATTCTTGCAAAAACTCATTCTTACCTCCAAGGTGTAATAACAATTTGTCCCAAAGCAATCAATTCCTTTAAACACTATACCAGAGGCCTTCCGTCTACTTCAGTACAAACACTAAGAAGTTCTCGCCCTTTTTTCAAGGGCCTAAGTTTTAATTCAAACGAGGTCATCAACTCTCAATCTCTTTCCTCTTTTAAGAAAAAAACTGAATATTAAATTATTGAGAAAAAAAACAGTTCAAAATCCAACTGACTTTTCGCCATCTTTTCTTTAATTGAAAAATCTGTTAGTTCCCGGCCTATCTAGACACTTAACGCTTCTGATTTCCTCGCCACTTCTTTTTTTCCTTTCTTTTCCTTTGCTTTTTGTAATTATTGTCTGGAAAATAAAATAAAATAAATAAAATGGTTGGGGGCAAGTCTGTGACCCCACCATACAAACGTCTGTAAAATTTCGCGACTTTGAGGAGCAGTATATTCATTAGTTTTCAACAAATCACTTTCAAACTTAGCACTTTTACTAAATTTAAGGCGCTCTTTTCAGTGGTGTGGATGGATTTTCCCGAACTTGTCCATTTCAAAAGTTGAAAAACACTGTGAAAAGGTCGATTGTGGGGGAATTTAGGTAACATAAGAGGCTGCCTTTTAATGAACTCAAATAAGAAGAGCAAGACAAAGGCATCGAGCGTGTGGCGAAAGGGACGAAAACCTGTTCTCCTGCTCCGCTCCTTGCGCACAAAAACATACAGGCTGGTTGAGCCTACCTCGAGGCAAACAGATTAAATCTGCGACAACAAAACACTTTTGTGTGCTTACGCAATGTTATGTTTTTTTCCTGTTATAAGGCGGAGATCAAGCGTCTGAAAGCTGCAAACCGCGCGGCAAGTTATGAACGGCGCCTGCTGTTGATGCAACAAGAAGAAATTGCTCGGTTACGGAAAAACACCAAGAAAATACGAGATAAGGCGACTACAGAACAAACCACGCCAGGGCAGCAGGAGCGAGGAGAGAACTTGACTGCTACAGGACAAGACTCGGGCGATCAAGTTAAGGTAGGGCGGCGGAGGGATCTACCATAAGAAACCATAAAATAAACCATTTCCCATGGTTACATTTACCCTGTGTTTATATCAGTGGGACCCTGTTTGCCCAGATGTGATAAATGGCATCATTGTTATACCAGGTAAAAATATACTAGTCTTGTACCCATACACCGGAAACGGCGTATCGTAAGATCCTCTCTCACAGATAGTCAAAGTCTTGACTGGAATCAAGAACGTTCCTTGCAGTTGCTTGCACTTAATTCTATTTATCTCAGTAGCTCACAATTTTGGGTGATCTTTTCCTTTCCCTGGTGCGGAAATAAATTTATCGTGATATTCGCGCTTACGTCTCCTATTGATATTAAAGTGCCAACTTGAAGCGCAGTGGTTCTTGAAACAAACGATTCTTTTGTTTCACTCGTTACAAATTTTGAGAAACAAAAACAATGTTTATGAACAGTGATGTCTCCTATTGGATTCTATGATGCTAAGCGAAGCCATCGCAACATTTTCAGTCTGACTGTTATAACTAGAAGGATGAAGCGCTTATTCACACTTAACTTTTTGTATTTCACTTTTAAACTCGCTATTTTGAATTTATCTTCCCTTTTCGGGCGAGAATAAGCGTATTTCCTTATCCCCCTAATCTACTGACTAAAGCAGTTCATGGCGGGCAAAGCGTAAAGTTATCGGTCACCAAGTAATTTTTCACAAACTGCGTTGGTCAATCAAAGTAGAATTTAATAGCTAAATTTTTTCGCGAAAAACCCGAGTAGCGTTAAAAATTGATCTTTTTACGGCTCTTTTAGTTTTTGACGTTTGATTAAAGATTTTCGAGCCCCGAGGCAGACCCGACTACGATGCTTTTTAAGATTGGCAAGTTTTGACAACATCTGCATGGTAGAAATTCAAAATCACACATTGCTTAGTGCGAATGGACTTAACAAACCGGGAACAGCAACAAGCCTTTTTTTATTTTCAGAATGGTTGTGTAAAAGTGAAATCGCGTTGCCCTTGTTAAGTCGTAAGGTTAAAAAAAGTGAAAAGTTGGTAAATTCCGCTCCTTAAACCGAACTCCTATACAGCACTTATTGACCTCATTCATCATGTTTTCAGAGCGAGGCAGAATCGACAGAAATACCCGAAGAGTTTGATGACAAACCCGGTGACCAGTCCACTCGCAGTCGTTCAGTTGTGTCAGAGGACATCAAAACTGTATCACCATCCGCTTCACACTCCGCCAGCATCGCCGAAGAGCTGTCTAGCTACCAGTCTCCAGGAGCGAGCCGATCCGAGTCGCGCCCGACTTATGAGTCGGCCCGCGGTGACTCTGCTTCGGGAGAAAGGAAGAGACCTTTGTCCGAGGGAGATAGCGATGAAGGTTCGGCCAGAGATGGGCCACACTCGGCTGCTAAGGACTCGCCTACTGCTTCCGACTCTACTATTATGCAGAAGCTGAAGAAGCTTAAGAGCCAGTCTGGAGAAAAGTGAGTAGATATTGACTTTTCTAAGTCCCTAATTTTCCACAAGTTAAATGATTGTTAGATTTGTAACGAGCAAAGAGAGAAAAAAACAGGAACTTGGCAACGATGAAAAAAAAAACCAACAACAACAAAAACAAATAGCAAAAACAGCAACAAAAAACAAAATCAGTAGAAATTATAATTTGGCTCATTTCGTTTTAAACAGAAACCCTTTCTCCCAAAAAATTTACACAGCCGTGTCCGATCATGACACCTTTTATCAAAATGTTTGCTTACATCTGACATCAACACCAAGAGAGGCAAATGAAAGCCTCAAGACCAACATTAATTCTCTCCAAAAAATATCTTTACATCAGCAAGAGAAAGGTTATAAGAATCATCCAAATGATCATCAAAGGGAAAATGCTTTGATCTTTTATCAATTTCTCCTAACCAATTCTTTAAGGAAATATACGGAAATAGGTGTTGAGCATATGTCTGTCGATATGGACCTTTCACGGTTCTAACGGCATGATGGGTAATCGGGACAAGATGATGGGAAAATCAAAGTCAACTAGTTCTTTATGCTCGATTACCAACGGACGAGGGAGACGGCGGAAATCGAGCCTACTAATTCTTCCTAATTGAATATATTCGTCACTTTCTCTTTGCAAACTTTAACTGATGATCTTAAAGACACTATGCACTAAATGTGGAGAGCACAGCAGTCCATTGTCTCTTTTTAGAAAATTTGACTTAAGTTTAATTAAGTTTAAGTTTAATAATTCTTTTTACCAATGTACAAAATAAAAATATATATACATGTATAAAGGTACAATAGGTAAAGGAAAGCAATAGGGGGAAACTGAATTCCCATATAAAAACTGCCCTCCAAAACGAAAAGATAAAACAATTAAGAATAGAAAACTAATACATAACTATACATCACGTGATACTAAGAGAAAAAAAAACAACCAAAATTTAGTTGTTTTTGTTTTGTTTTTTTTTCTCTCTTTCCCCTTCCCCTTTTCTTTAATAAACTACTTAGATATTAAATAAAAAAGAAAATCCAGATTCAGTAGGAAATAATAAACATATGACTATTTACAAAGATAATTAAGTAATATAATTTTAAAAGAGTTCAAGCTGGAAGCAGACATAACGGAGTTTGGTAAAGAGTTCCAGTCATTAACGTAACGATTAAAAAATGAAAATTTAAAATAGTTTGTCCTTGCTGCTCTAGGCCTGATTCTTGTCGGGCCAGTCAGATCCACATATGTGGTATAATCAATATCAGAATAGCCATGAATTATCTTGTAAAGTTGAACCAGGCAAAGGTATTTTCTTCTAAGCTCCAATGTTGACCAGTTTAGTTCAGTGAGACTTTCAGTGTAAGAATTATGAGATCCACATATCAATCGAGTAGCACGACGCTGAATGGATTCAATACTGTGTATGTGTTTAACCAAATATGGATTCCACGCTGGGCAGGCATATTCCAGAATAGGACGAACTAAAGCGATAAAAGCTGGTTTGACTGGTACAGGATCTTTAGACCCAAACGTTCTCCTTATTAGACCCAATACTCGATTTGCCTTACCAACAATGTAATTGATATGAGCGTCCCACCTTAAAGAAGATTCAATCCCAATGCCCAAGTGCTTATGTTTATCAACAGCCGACAGATTATGCCGACTTATTCCATACATTTTGTGTACAATTTTTGTGTTGTGCAGAAAATCTATGGAAGAACTCAGGTTTTCTAAACAGCATCAAAGGACTGTAATGGACTCCAGATTTAGTTTGTAGTTTCTTTATGTTCATCAGTTACATTTTTCAAAGCGAAAGTGAGAAATATATTCACTTAGCAAGAATCAGTTGACCTTTGTATTCCCATACAAACTTTTGACTTCTCCGCCATCTTCTCCTGATTATGTATGACGATAGGTGTTTCCATAAAGTTATTTTCTCGTACTAAAATATCTCGGAGAAGTGGGCTAATTTCTCTTTTAAATGCCTTCTTGGGTAGATTTCGCAAGCCACACGGTATCTCATTCCACAGTTTTACGCTAAATCTGGCTGAAAAGAACGCTTATGTATCTCTAACCTAGTGATTTGTACGTAAAACTTCCCGGAGGTGGATGATCGCGTGTTGTACGTATGTATGCTGGAGGCTTTTCTTTCGAGCCGCGTGTGTCACTGAATGAAAAAACATCTTTCTCACGAAATGTCTATTATGCAGGCAGTTCATTGGATATCCCAGGATACCCGTGGAGTACTGCCCCGTTAAAAATGGTTGACAGCCAAGCTATGTCTGCCTTGTAAAATTTGTCATGATCAGTGCTTGATTTGAGGAAGATTAAGATGGCACTGTGCTATACATTAAAATTAAAATTTTATTTCTTTTTTGTTTGTTCCAATAAAACTTACCTGCAGGAAATTACCGTATAGAAAAATCATCACTTAGACTTCATTAAAATTGAAAATCTGTGCTTAACTTTACTTATTATAAAAAAGGGGGGCCGATGAAATGGCTACCGTTTCTGGATTGTGTCTAATATTTATTCCCCCGTATTGCTTAACATGTTTTACGGAAAGCAATATCGACATCGTCTTTACAGATCACTGCCCAGATAGGCACTGCCAAGCTGGTTTGGTCATTCAACCGTAGCCAGAAAAAATATTTAAATTGTGTAATATTCTAAAGAAATCGGGCTAACAATATTTCGCTAATTTTCAAAGTTGTAATTATTAATGTGGTTCTCTCAAAATGTCTATACTCGTCGGCGCCGGCGGTTGTCGTAATCTGAAATCCAAAACCATAATTACGATTCGTTGAGTTTGAATCTTGTGTCCTCTCGAGCCAGCGGGAAAAACAAATATTCGTGTTGTGGGTTTAAATGCCCGTCAACCGATTCAATAAGCCCGGACGTGTTCAAAAAGAGTAAATTGTTCCGTAATCGGCATGACGTAATGTGTACAGGCGATAAATATGTTGGTAATTGGATTTTAAAAAGTACCCGAAGAAAATGACTGTTTTACCCCCTTACTCTCTTGGACGTCGAAAACTTTGGGGCAGTGGCTTGTTGCTGAGAAGAGCAGATTGTCATTTGGCATGGTCAGTTAAGTTTCTTTGTTTTTTTCATAGCCGTATTATTGACACTCGTTAATTTTTAACGTCGACTTTTACGAATTACGTATGTCATGTGAATTCAACAATTTCATACTCAATTTTGAGTAGTGACAGAAGTATAAATAATTTTTTTTTATTAATTGACGACATAAAAGGTTACCTTTTGTAAAAATGTTTGTACGCCTAAAAATTTTAATTCAGTCCAAATTTAGACGAAACGTATCACATGTAAGTCCAAGTTTTTCAAGGAAAGATTGTAAAACTTTTGCACGAGACAAATGTGTAATCCCTATTAAAAACAATGTGACTTCCGATTTATGTACGAAAAAATACCACTGTTTTTATATTAGACCTTGTTTTTTAGTGGTAGGCAAATAAAAAAAGCCACATATAAGTCGTCTATAAATTCAGATAAGATGAAGACAAAATATCTATAATTCTAGTATTTCCATTCGTTTACTTGCTCGCCACTTATTCAATTTTAGTTGCGTTGATTATGCAAAGCAAAGGTCTGGAATGAAATGCACGGCACATGCGGCAAAATTAGACATTTCGTCACACTTCATAATTCACGTCCCACTTATTCTCAATAACCCTTCACATATTTCTGCAACTAATTTTGTAGGCCAAATCTGTTGACACTTTCTTCAAGAAACTGGTAATCTCCATGGCGAAATTTAGCTCGTTAGGCTTGGCTGCGTAGAGGTACTTCTCCAAATCTGATCATCGCACTTTTCTATTTGTATCGGAGCAGTTAAGTTCGTTTTTCTAACGGAGCGATGCTTTGTTTACTTTGCCGGATCACTCGCAGGTGGGGTTTAATAGTCGTTATTACGTCTTGAAATATTGTCATATATAAGTGCAAACCACCCGATGTAGTTAAATGGTCATTGTGTCAACGCTCATAACAATCTTTGTAAAATACTATAACAAACATTTGATTTTCCTGTGTTTAAAACAGTTGTCTTCTGAAGTCAAAATGTGGTGTAAGTTGCAATCTTTTCAGCAATAGTGTTTTACAAAACAGGCAGATTTCAGTCGAGGTTTTTTTTCTCTCTAATGGCTCTGGGGAGACGCGTTTATTTTCTTTTTAATTGAGAAAGATGGTCTCTTCTTCGATATTGTAATTGATGTTGTATTAATTATTGCGGAGACAAGCAAGTCTTATACGCTGGTCTATTCTTCAGTCGGCTAAGACAGTGACCACACGCATCTCTGTAAGTTTCTACCGAAGCATTCGTTATATGCTTCCGGTTTATAGACCAATACAAACTTATTATCGTGTAAGCCGCGTAGCACTCGCATGAAGTGATTTTTTTTAAAATTGTGCATTTAAAAGTTAATTTTAAAAAGTAATGTGAGTTAAACCAGGAATCAAAGAAATGTTTGTGACGCCGGCGATAAATGGATCTCACGATCGTCCAGCTCTATAACAGACTGAGGCCTCAATAAAACGTCGCATTCAGGTGATGTTACACGGGGGCGATTCGCAACAACGATTTCGAGCGCAACAGAGCGTTGCAACATTGTTCCAACATTGTCTCAGTGCGACTTTTGCTCTCCAGCACGGCGGTTATGTGCCGCGTGAATGGACGAAATCAGTTCTTAACTATATCTTGGGCACATGTGAAAAGTTAATCTTATCTAACGAAATAACGTAAACAGCTTTTTGCAGTGAGTCGGAGTATGAAATTAGTTCACCTGCAAATCTCGCGCTTGCTTTGCACAGGTTTCGTTTAAGGGTTCATCTAGACTGTTCACGGTCCCCTATTTTCCCGTAAGATTGTCGAGATCGAGCGCTTTGTCCACACGCAAACAACAGAGATTTTTTCTCCGTTTTCATAAAAGTTCGCATCCACACGTATTCAAATCGTTTTGGCGCATCCAGACGAAAACGCCTGAACGACGCAAATACGATAGCGTCCCTCACAAATCATGTGTGTATGATGTATGGCATCATCGTGTTCGAAAACCTACGTTTTTGTCCGTCCACACGAAAACGACAATCCGGCGGCTTTTAAAAAATCTCCACTACGAGGACCGTGCGTTTGTGATGACTGAAAACTCCGTTTACATGTGGACGCAATAAACGCTAGCCTGCGAAAACAGCCGTTTCTCTTCGCTCCGCGCTGCTGGGTACAGCGGCAGGAGAAACGGCTGTTTTCGCAGGCTAAATAAAGGCTAGAAGCGAGTAAAATCTCCGTGTTCAAATATAACCGGATATGTGTGGACTGGGCCTGAGACAGCTAAAACGTCGTTGATTTAGTCCGACCTCATTATCCTCTCGAGGGAAAAAATTGTTTGCAGCTGTTAGTCTATCTGGTAAACATTCTCCAAAGTCAATACTTAAACTTTGCAAAGTGATAAATGTGAACTTAAACGCACCAGTTTGAGCAGTTTGTTTGCGATTTTAAACTTATGCGGATTGGTGTGGACAGAGGCACATCCTTTGGCAAGCAAACTCGTAAAATCAACGAAGTAAATTATTATTTTGGAAAGTTTTAAATATCTTTAATCTTACCTTTGTAACCTTTTCAATATTTTGGACGAATAGGCTTTACAACGGATGGTTAAAATTTATACATCTACACTTCTAGATGTTTAGATTATCATTATCTACCTATCGTCAGGAGTGCTTCAGTCTTTTTCAAGAAACAGAATTCTTAGACGGTCAAGGTCGCTCGCGACCAAACACTTTCTGAAGGGAGAGAGTTTGTGGCTGCGAGCGACCTAGAGGGTGAAAAAATCAGTCTGCATAAAGCCCCACCGGGTAAAAGATATTTAAACATAGAAATGCGAGTTGTCGGCGAGCGCAGCTGTATAGCCAACCGCTCAAAAAGAGTGTTCAGTTTTTGCTATTGAGTCATCGCTCACGTGCTCTTAAAAAGATAACATTAAACACGATTAGCCAAGAAAATGGTGGATACCTGCCAAAAAAGACCTACGAAACAAAAACAAACAAAACATCCCGGGAAAACCTCTTAAAGCCATTGCTGCAGTAAGCATCACCACCGTGAGAGTGAACTCCAAATTTGTACGCGCGGAAGAGTGTATCCCGTTTGTGGCTGCACGTATTGAAAAGATGGTGGCTTGAGCAGTCGAATCCGTTTTAAGAAGTGTTCCTGCAATGTGGCTATTTTTCTGCATGAGAAGGTATTTTCTCGATGTTTTCACTTGTTGCTTCGGTCACCTGCAGCTTTCGTTACGTGAAATTTGCAAATGATCCGAGTGAAACAGCAGAAAACGAATTCTGTACGGCATTTTGGCAATCGTTAGCTTCGTTTTTTCCGCTGTTCCGTTAACCACTAAGACCGTAAGATCGGTTTATGCTTTAATGAATTCTTACCCGACGACGAATTGTGCCTATAATATTAGTAGCACTTAACAGAGAAGTTTAACATTTACGATGAGCTACTTTCGCTACTCTCTAGCTTTACTGGGACTTCAAGTCTTCCTTTGATAGAGGATTTTCCCCATAGCGAGTTGCAAGGAAAATTATGTTTTTGTTAAACGGATTATCTCAGTGACTATTGTTACATTGGAACTTCATTTCGCGTTCAAATTTCACTTCCTTTACCTGGGCTTAGTACAGTTATACGTTTTTGTTTTACTAAATCATCTTGTGCGTGCCAGTTTATAAGCACTTGGTTTTCTAGTTTCTTCAAAGTGCAATTTGCTTGGGTTGTCAGTGATGTAATATATTATTGACCGTCCTTGGATGGTATCTTTTATTCCTTGCGTTAGGATGCGTTGGCTGTATTACTAGTATACTGCCTTCTAAAAATCTTGTAAAAACCCGTTTTACGGGATTTTTTCGTTTCTGTTTAGCAGCCATTCTGTTACTGTAGCTTAAGGACCGAAAATCGTGATAACTTTCACGTTGCGTGTGTTGCTAATAGTGAGTATAGTCAACGGAAAATATTTTCAGCAGACGCGGCTGTTTTTAACCCATTCTTACTTCATTCGGAATTGTAGCCTGTCTCGTTTTTAAAAGCGGTTTTAACTTATTTATGCACGGTCATCCTCACAAGGCATCATCATCATCCAAAACCTTCGTTCATCTATTTGCTCGTTGGTCGTACTAAACCTAAAGATGTATTTAACCCTGGTAAGTAGCGATTAACAACCAAGCGGTTTTGCCTGAGTGCTGTTACAGTTTACTGCATCAAGGAAGCACCTAATTTTTCTGGCTCTGTTTTAAGACTTCCTGTTAGAATGATATTAAGCAAACAGTGATATTAAGCAAGGATGGAAAAAGGTCAATGGATGGTGGGCTTTCGGCGTTGATTTACCTTAAAGGATTCTGAAACCCTCCTGATTTGAAAAAGAAACAAAACATAAACAATTAAAAATAAACTGCAGATCTCTGCGGGCCGCCCAAAGTGGCACGGTATATTGTAGCAAGGTGAACGTTCAGGTTCTAGCAAAGGTATGAAATTATTTCAGAAAAAGATGACTACTATCGAAGTTGATTTAATCAATGAATGCATATTAAGGTCTTTATTAATTGCCTGCGTACTAGAGAGTGAAAATTTTGCACAAGTCTACTTAGTCTAAAAAAAAAAAAAAAAAAAAACAATAACAAAAAAAAAAAACTTTTAAGGTCAGAAAAGTCCCACAGAAAGCCGGCTAAAATTTTAGTTCTTGGCCAAGGCAGATAGAGGTCAGAGAATTTTAGTTCAGTCTTCTAGAGGGTTTTAATTCGTCACTATATTCAGCAGAAAGCACTTTGTAGTTGATCGTTGTTGACATAGTATTCCAAATCTTGGAACACAGTAGATTCCATGGCAAACGCAGCGTGATCGAAGGTGAATAGAAAAATATTCATTTAAGTTGCTTCAGTTCTTGTTGGTGTTCTCTTACTGTTGTTATCTCTTTTACGTTGCCAAAGAAGCCTTTCTCATGAATTATTCGAACTGTTGCGTGACGACCTCAATGTGAGATGAATATGATGTGTACATAGGTTTTGATAAAGAAAAAAATGTTCCTAGGGGTGATTTAAAAGAAAATCCTCGAAAAATTTTTTTTACTTTAAAAAAAAGGAGACGAAAAACGAATTTGACTCGAGAAATTTGCGCAATGAGGAAACTAAATGAGAATTTAAAATATTGCTAGAAATAGAGCGTTTTCACTCCGTGGCCACCATCTATACTAATTTATTGGAACAAAAGGAAGTTTTTACATAAGAAAAGAGTTCAATTCCCAGAGGAACTTTCTTCGGAAACCAACATGGCCGCCCGTTTCAATGTGGCCGTCGTGACGTCATGTAAAAGCGCTCTATACGTGGCATTGAGATAGGCTTCCTTACGGAGTTTAGCCTGTTCCAGGCTCCAAGTAGTGCAGTCGTTCAGTAAAGAGTGATGCGGAAAAAGCGCGTGGGCTGGGGAGAGGCCAGGCTCCAAGAAAGCAGTCGTTTAGTAAAATGATGCGAAAAACGCGCGTGGGCTGGGGAGAGACAGATCACGCGCGTCTTATTTTCGGTTTTCTTGTTTTATTTGCCTTCCTACTATACTATCTGAGAGCCTGGCACAGGCTATACGGAGTTCGGAGGTGGGGGCGAGGTCTTTGGGTAAGGGATATTCTTAACTAGTCAGCAACTAGAGAAACTGATCTGGTTGAATGTATTTCTTTTATGACGGATTTCCTTAAGGTAAGGGAGAGCTTTTATTTTATTGCACGTGTTTATTAAACGCCGTAAATCAAGTTGAATTATCTGTTATGCTGCAGATACTTAACGCTGCGAGAGCAAAAGCTTATGAAACGGCGAAGAGAGGCTGAAAACCTGTTAGAAGACAAGAAAAAGCTGCTAGAGTGGGAAAAACGTTTGGATAAAGAGGAGAGCCTTGTGCGTAACCTGCTTAACGAAGCGCTGAAACTCGAGAGCTCCAGAAATAGGAGCGGACAAACAAGCTTTACTAGCGAAGAAGAAGAACATAAGGGTAAGTTTGCTCTCTTCGCCCTTTGAACCCTAATATTAAATCCAAATTCTCATTTGTTGACCTTTTGCGTTTTCAATAGAAGCAGTGGGGAGAATTTGTTGAAGTATCAATTAGATTTATCTTCTGTGATCATGATCATTTAACTCCTGTAAATTGGCCACTTCCGAGATCCAAAAACCCTCACTTTTTAAGTGCGGCCAAGTGCACAACCTTTCTTGTGAAAATGAGTTTTACTTGCATGAGAATGAAGAATCCTTTCCATCTCAAAGGCAGAGCACTTAACCTCGTTTTGATACAGAGGCCGGTGGAACTCGATTATTGCATTTATACCTGTTGTGGCTCGATTTGGATCATTATACGTTTCTGGGAAACTGCCCACCTACCCCTCCCCTCAGCCAGCATTTGCACTTACTTCTCACTAAGGGCAAAATGTTGGCTTAGGGGAGGGGTATGTGGGCAGACCACAGCCTACTCCATTTAAACGGCTTCGCCCTCACCTCGTGTTTTCACTTGCGTTATTGCCTGTCTCCCTGTCGAGCATCTGCTATGTAGGATCCAGTTAATTACCATTTGTTAACATTTTGGGGAATGTTACTGACACCTTGATCTAAAAATTAACGCCTCAGCATACAGGCAGCATTTAAAATCACACTTTTGGTGAACTTCAGCGACCTGTTTACGTTGAAGATATTACATGCGCGCAAAAGCGCCACTATTCCCCGTTACTTTCTAACTATTGTATCTTGTTATTAGAGACCCTTAGATTCTAAGACGAGTACGACAACCAACGAATACGAGATTTTCTAAACACTTAGTAGTGCTCGCTCGTCAACCAGCGTCATTTTGGCGGGAAAACGTGGTAGCTGTCGTCATTCTACTGTGAGTTTTGGCGAGATTGTCTTAGTGGCGGAAACAAGTTTTCAAATGTTAAAAATTTTATCATTTTGTGATTGCGAGAGGGCTTAACCTTCTCCAATAAAGATAACAGTGCTTACTTTTCTGGTGAAAAACGCCCAATGAAGCATTCCGGGTTATCTATTTTTGTCTATTTTAAAACAAATCTCGTACTTGTAGTCATGCTCGTCCGCAAATCTAAAGACCTCTAATAGGCTGATTTAGCAACAGAACTGGAACGTCAGTTGACGACGGTGCGCGCAAATTAAACAACTGGCTTGACCAATGGCACAACGGCAAATTGGGCACCGGAAGTCGTGTTTAGTCTTTTCTGCGCGTTTTGCCGTCGTCCACTGACGGCCCCGTCCTGTTGCTAAATCAGCTTATTGTCTTTTGGTAGAGCGCAGTGGCCGAACTTCTGCCAGTCCTTCGAGTAAAACAATCGACAAAGATCGGTACTCTCAAGGGACCGAGTCCGTCAGCGAGTCCATCAAAGCTACAAGTTCTAGGGCTCACGAACGGAGCGCCAGTGAGAGCTCTGTTCCTGAGGATATCAGTGCTTCAGCCCGTGATAAATCACATGATTCGGGCAGATCACGTGAAAGCTCTATCCCGGAAGTGTACATGAAGACCCAGTCGCATGGAGGCTCGATTCCCGAAGAGATCCCCGAAGAGTATGGAAATGACACCTTTGAGTCTCTGGATAGTACGGTCACTCCCGCGCACTCCACCCCTGTTCGAAGCGATTTGTCATTCAAGAAGGACACCTCTCCCAGTATGAGCCGGAAGTCTTCTAATGACGGAAGTAAAAGCGAAGAAGAAACATCCATGACTGGTAAGTGAAACACTGCTTAGAAAGTTTTTGAGAAACCATGACTGTTTCGTGGAAAATCAGTCCATACTTAGTTGATTGTTTCATGTTCTCTTAGTACAACAAATGGAGTAACCTCACACGCACACTCCTTTAGGGCTTCGTCACACGTTCCTTACTCACGAACAAAGGTGGACGCAAGTGCCTGCTTGGTTAGGGAGACGATGGTCGGGAAGGAAAGCGTGACGAAGCCCTAAGAACATCTGAGAGGGAGGCTTAATAGCCAATAACATCTGTGCTTAACTGACAGATGATCAATAACATCGCGACCTAATCGACCAATCAGGTCAATAACCAGAGTTTGATACCATCAGTTGGCGTGATACTTTGACTTTGACTCTGAAGATCACTACCGCACAGGTTGTTGAAAAGTCAGTCACTGTCAACAACAACAGTCCTATTCAGGAATACGTTCACCCGGAAGATCAAACTCAACCTACTTATGAAATGACTCCTGGGTTCAAACCTTTTACAATCCAAGAGCTACAGCTAAAATCCAGTCGATCTGGAATGAGCCCTACCACTTACCTTTCAACCGAAATTACCGGTTTTTTTTTCTGAAGACCGCGCCAAAGTAGAGTACAATAAGGTTCAGGTGAGTGTGACTCGAAAATGGTTCAGAAAATTTCCCGGCGTTCTAGACGGTTAGTATAGAAGAGAAATGCACCTGAGGATTTCGAGTCAGCATAACCTACCCCTCCCCTAATCCAACGTTAACAGTAATATCTCACTTAGGGTAAAATGTTAGGTTGGAAGGGGGAGGGGGTGGTTAGGTAAGCACCTTCTCAGACGGGATGATCTGTACCATTTGAGGTTCCAACCAAACCGAAATTCGAAATTGCAGGGGTTTTTTTGGGAAAAGGTCCCGAATGGAATGGGCGTCGTTGGCCGACGTATGATTCTGCTTACATAAACGTATCATGGAATGGCCGTCGTGTGATTCCGCTCACATGCTTAAGTGGCCACGTTACCAGCGCGGTTGCCTCGGTGGTGTAGTGGCTATCACGCCCGAGTACTAACTGGGTTCGATTCTTGCTCGAGACAACATGTTTTTCTTTTCAGATGAGGTGTGTGTCGAAAGTCGTCTTACGCCGGGTGTTGTGGTAAAAGTTTGTTGTATTTTTAGCTCCCGATGGTGCGTGCCGCCTTTTCTCGCGTGGGGTGATTTTCACGCGAGCTCGCGTTTCGCTCGCTCTACTATCCCTGAGGAAAAAGGGGGACTACTCGTAGTCTACCCAAGAGTGACCAACATTAGTTTTCTCCTTACAGTATCACTACACAATCAAGAGAAAAGGTTCTCTGAGTTAACATAATAATCACAAAAGGGAAAATGCTTTGATCTTTTATCAAATCCTCTCAACTGATTTTCTCATCCCTGATGATGCCGTTGATGGGCGAAAGCTTGGATTCTGGATTTTACTTTTTTAAAACAGCAGTCTAAGACCTCACTAGGACAGTTTTATGTTCTCTGAACTAATTTTGTAAGAAATGTATGGAGATCAGTATGGAGAATTTGTTTGTGGATATTGTGGCTAAAAGAGTGAAGACAGGTTTTCGCAGTGAATTTATGCAAAATTGCATTCAAGACGTTACGCACTCTATAGATGTCAGGTGACAAACAGCGAGGGCGCTTTTGGGGAAAGCTCGCGAAAGCTCTAAATGGTAGTGTATGAGAGTACACTCTTTGTCTTTCCAAATTTAACAACATTAATTCGGGCGTCATTGGAAATGAGTGGGTTAAATCAGAGGAAGTACAATTGAGTGTCATGTATATTCAGTTTTCTCTAAGGCATTTTAAAATATTGTCCGCTCATCAATCATTTTTCTTTTTTTCCAACGACAACAAGCTTATATACTGGCTTAGAAGGAAACAGTGTTATTCGTTCACTCATTTTGATTTGCTAGGTGTAGTCATCGACGGTTTTGTTCATTTGATTTTTTGTAAGCGCGTGGGAAGACCTTAAACACGCTTGCACTTTTGGAACATCCTATTTACGGTTGAACTTAATTCATATGAAATTGTCTTAATTTTACGCAATGGGTAAGAGTTGATGAAACACCCTTGGTTTTGTATACCAATGGTCTTCACATTGTGCAGATTTAATATGCTAGTTTGAGTATTTTTGTTTAAATTTCTGGGTCATACACGCGTTGTCTGTATTTACATGTCATTTGCTTCTTTGTTACGACGTTGGATTGATATTATTGAAATAAACACAAACTCCGTGCAAATTTAATATTACAATTTCTTTATTTTATGTAATTAATTCAAAAGTCAGTTAAGCGCATTTTGTTGCAGTATTCTCGCCTTCCCAGAAAAAATCGTGCCGTTAAAAAGTCAGTTGATGACTTGCTCATTAAAAATCAATGTGACAACCTTATGGACCATGACTTCATACCTTCTAAGTGATTATGCATTTGCATGACAAAGTCGAAGTGTATGACAATCCTTACACCCACTTAAATCGCCTCCGCGTAGTTTTTTTATTTTTCGCCTAACGGTTACTTCGATTTTTTGCTTTATGCTTGTCTTCTTGGCTTGTATTGCAATCGTATACTTAACGGTATTTCATCATTTCGATAACTCCAATAAAATTCAGGTAATGTCACTTTCACGCCTCAGGGAAAAGTTGCCATAGGATTTCCACACGCCTGGAAAAATGTAGTGAATATTTTACCTCTTTCGAAATAACTTCCCACACGAAGAATGACGGAATGGGATTTCTGTAGTAATATTCTCATTCACTCGCGGGTTGTCGTCTTCTGTAGAATCTTTTCCAACACGTGTGAGGATTTCACTGGTGTAAGACCGAAAAATGTTGTTTTTGTAGACGTAAGTTTTTCACTTTAGTTATTACTGTACATTTTTTTCTCTTATTTTATACTAGGTTACTGTAGGTAGTCATTTATTAAATTTTCAGTCGTCGCAAATGTGCCGTTTATTGCACTAAACTAAACGTGCCTTTAAAAACCTTAAAATTTCAGGTAAAATGTAGACATTTTTATTTTCATCGTTTTTGCTATCTTGGAACCGGTCGGCGTCAATGACGGAAGCGTTACTTACACGAAATGAACAGTATGAACAGTCCAGTCGCGTGCTCGGTATGACACATCCGGTAACAGATTTTTTGTACCATACCAAACTCCTTTAGCCTTTTAAGGTGTCCAGGAGCATTAATTTAAGACAACCCTAGCCAAACGCTCTTTAGTAAACCAAACGCCGTCATTCTTTGGGGCTGCCCAAGATCCTTAAACTATGATCTCCCTACTGAGCCAAAAGCTCTTTAGAAAACAAAAGAACCCTCAGGGGCACCCAACGATAGTTTCATCCGAAACAGCTTGAAAACACTTTTTAGGCTATCCAGAGTGCTTTTAGAGCGGTAGAAATGCATTCTAAAATTTGGATCTGTTCGGTCATCCTAGGGGAACTTGAGTCTTGAAGTTACAAGGGCTTCATTATTATTTTCCCGAACACTTTGATGCAATTTGACGTATTACGAAAGTGAGACATTTTCTTATTTCTCTCGCCTTCACATTTTTGCAGCCGAAAATTGTAGGTTCCCTTTTTTCTGCGAAAAATAACCTAACTTTGGAAGTAGAATGTGAAAATTAAACCTCGGAAAATCGTAGGGAATTTATAAGATAACCTTCGAAAATTGTACATGAATTGAACGGTCATCTAGAAATTTTTTGCCGGCTTCAAGTAATAGAAAATTCTAGGCAATTTTTGCTTCCCCGAACTGATATTTTACAGAAAACAGTCGGTGGGTGCCCCTGAACCCTCTGTCGCTCTCAACTGAGTTCGCTTTTCAGTTGTCAGTTCTTACAAACCTCAACCTGCTACCCACTTCTTTCTGTATTCCTACTTTACATAAATTTATTTTAGTGAAATAGGAGTTAAGTTCTGATCATTTAGCATCGCTGCTACATCCTTTCAACTTTTGTTGGATGAATGTTGGATATAACCTAACCTAACCCCAGCAAATATCCCCTATCCCCTACCCCTTTCGACGCCTGCTACGCAGGCTACAAATAAAACACATATTATATGCATTTGAAAACAGCCAATGGAATCTCTTAACTTGTGTGTGGGATGTGACATCGAAGGAATATCACTTATCCGCAGCGCTAATGGGACTCGTGGCGGGCTTGGTCGAGATATTTTAAATGATTTTGCCTATTTTCATTAACTTTTTATTACTTAGAAGTAGAAATTGGTGAAAGAAACGCAGCCCTTTACTGGCAAAATGGTCGGCACTTATCAAATAAAGATGACTCCTTTACATTGTTAATCGCAATTCATTCAAGCTGAGACAAACTGATCACTGTTTTTCAAAGGTTAACCTGAATGCAATCCGTTTTAATCTTATTCAGCTTTTCCCATTAGTGCTCCTTTTCGGCCTTTTTGTATTTCTCTCGTGATTTTCTACTTTTTGAGGAAGTCGTTTTTATTGGGCTGCCCGTGAGGGCAACGCCCAATCAAGAAATGGGTCGCTTCTATGTCGAAAAAAGACAAAATGGCTGACGGAGCTCCCAGAAGGCTTTGGGGCCGATTTTTTCGGGAAGAGGACGGGTCATTTCAGGTCTTTTAGCGGACAGATTTGGAAGTAGATTTGGAACGAACACAAACTTATTGCGTGGAGTTATTGGCCCTATATCTACGCGGAATGATTATTTGAATACAGTAATCGGTAATGTAGTTAGCCTGCGCGGGAGCTGCAGAAACAAGCGGCCCTCCTACGGTCCCCACGGGAAAAGCTTCAACCTGTTGCAGTTCTCTCCCTTCGTGTGAAAAGTCTTTCCTTACAAGAAAGGAATATGCTATTTGTAGATCGCCCCGTCAAATAGAAACATATTCACTTGCCATGGATTGTTAGAAAGGCTTTAAGCGCAATATCCGACAGAAATAAAACTGGAAAAGGTTGACCCTGTCACGATTTATAAGAGTAGAACGGCAAGAATTTTTGGAATTTCCGGTGACATCAAATAAGTCACCATATACTGTCATGCTATATTTTGGGGCGGGCATTGTGGAAATGTCCCAGTTGAATCCACCATTCAGCCCCGGCTTAAAAACGCGCAGTCAGCAGCCCAATGATCCGTCACTATGGGGGTCTTTTTTATCGTTTTCTCAGTCGATTCTGTCATCGTTTGGTATTGCTGAAGTTAACTAACATATCGTCGATCACATAGCCATGCAGTCTTAATAATTCAGAACCTTTGAAGCAGGACATTCAAAGCCCGGAATTTGAATAACTCTATTTCTCAGTCGATATTCTGTTAATTCCATTGTAATTGAACGTTGTAGTTTGGTTACCCACGAAGCACTTAGGAGTTCTTGTGAATTCTTTTAAACGTGTCCGTGCGTTCCAGATCGAATTGGAATTTGAAGTGTTGGTTTTTGAGGAGCGGGGAAAACCTCTCGGAGCAAGGCAGAGAACCAATAAAAAACCCTTTAAGCCCCGATATCCACATACAAATTCTCCAAACTGATCTCTATACATTTCCTTTAAGAATAAGTTGAGGGAATTTGATAAAAGATCAAGGCATTTTCTCTTAGGTGATCATTTTATTAATTCTCATAACCTAATCTCTTGACATTGTATGGATATCGTTAGGAGAAAATTGACTTTAGACACTATTGGGACTTAAAGGGTTAAAGGCTTCGACGCGTGGATTTGAACCGAAGCCACATTGTTGGGAGGCGAGTGCTCTCACCACTGCACCACCCGTGCTCCAGCCACCAGGCATGCGTTTTTCTGTGCATTTACTTACGACTTTTTCGTTTCTTTTCTTGTATAGAAACCTCCGACCACAGTGATATCGAGTCACGTGTCCGCCGGCTGAGAGACCAACTGGAGGTGCGCAAGCGCGAAGTGAAGCGTTTGTACAATGAGAGGAAAAAGCAGAGAAAAGCTATGTTGCGGGCTCAGGAAGCCAGCTTGCGACAAGAACTACAGGTATAGACGCCAAGGGTTCATTTTGACGTCATTTCTTAGGTCTATAGGAGTGTAGACCATGTAAAATTGTTGTCTATTGCTTAGATTCAGTAATCTTTAATGCACTTCGAGTCACGAGGTTACCCTTTGTGTAGCGGCAATAGCTTCCACATGGAAACACTTCTGCAGTCCCTTCGTTTTAGTCAGAAATAGCAGTTCTGAACGAGCGTTGCATCCTATGTCAAGGCTTTCCTACCCAGGATTAATTGCTCATTTGTTGTTGTTACTGTCTTTGTTAGGCTGTGGAAATGGTGATCTCGAGGACGAAGGCGGAGCTTAACAGACCTCAAACAGACTCCAAGAGACCAGAGACTGGCTCGGTAGACCAACAGAATTCAAAGAGTGACACGAGTGATACAACTCCTTCACGGGAAATCAGATACAGCCTCTCTCGTACCTCAGATGCAGGCAGCAGACGTAAAATATCTCCTTCCGAGAAACTTTTAACTGTATCAGCCAGGAGTGAACTGGCAAGGGAGAAAGGTTCATCCGCAACGGAGATGGACACCAGTGGTCGAAGCGAGCGAACAATTTCAGAAGTTCCGAGTTTGAAAGACAAAGATAAGGACTTGTCCTCCTCCATTCAGGAGGCAAAATCTTTAGGGAAAAGTGAGACTTCGATAAGTAAAAATATAGACTTGGAACCCGCAGCAAAAACTCGAAAAGCTGACGAGCAGATCTCTCGGAAGCTTCGGCAAACTTTGGAGAATGAAAACAAGGCTTCGTTGCGGGAACAGCAAGCTTCGGAGGAGGCGGAAATTGAGGACGAGGCGAAAACCGCCGATGATCTGTCCATAAGCGAAGATAGCGTGGCGCGAACTGCGTCTAAAGCATCTCGTTTGGAAAATATTTCTCAAGGTTCTAGTAAATTGTTCTCTGTTAGTCGTGGAAGCGTTTCTGATAGCGATGCGAAGAGTTCAATAAAGACTGTCGAAGATTTATCCGTTAGTGAGGGAAGCGAAATAAGGACGAAGTCATCTCGTTCTGAATCTTCCATAGGAGATAGTAGTCGGAAATCTATACCTAAGAAAACAAAGAACGATATGTCAGAACAGTCGAGTCTTGCTGGCGAAAGAAAAAGGACTGTTTCTGATGCCTCAAAGTCTTCCCGACATTCAAAATCACCCTTGATGAATGAGAAGTCGCGAAGCTCTAGGCAAGTGTACAGTTCTTCCTTTGAAAGTGTCCAAGATGAAGGAGACAGGACCGAGGACGACATCAGCGAACACATTAGCATTGAGGAGAGGGTGCAAAGCAGCGAAGCGGAGGATAGCATAAGAGATGAACGTGAAAGCTCGGAAAAAAGAGATGAATCAAAAGATTTTGAAAGAACTAGAGATATTTCTGATGCTCAGGAGAACGTTGTGATTGTCAAGGATGAAAATTCTGAAATCGAAGAACAACTTCCTTCAACTGAAAGAACGACGTCTGTTTTTGGTAACAATAGAACTACGACTCAGAATACTGAACATTCGCAAGAAAAAGACCAAGGCTTTCTGAGACCGGAAGTGAATGAGGACCAGTTCCCTTCCTATAGCACGGATTTTGAACCTTCTGCTTTGGATGAAACAGACGATGGAAAATCTGATAACTTAAAACCAGATGCCTCTTATACCCCAGATTTTGAAGAGCGTGATGATAGCGTGCGGAGTCAAGCAAAAGGTGAAGATTTTAGTTTCCCGGCCGCGCAAGGGAAGTCGCATTCCGAGTTAAGTGCTGGGGACAAGAAGACGCTCTCTCAAGGAAAGCTTGAGCGGGGTAAGCTACAATTATCTGAAGACCATAAGGTCCCCAAAGTGCCAAGTCTAGCATTAGAACAAGCTACTGACGAAGAGAGTGTAGTTGAAGAACTCGGCGAAAGTCACGATGACGCTTACGAGGTTACTGACAAGGAGGATAGTAGTCTGTTTTTTGAGAAAAATGACCTTCAGAGAATCGAAAACAATGAAGTGTCAGTGTCTCCTGTCGTTCATTCTGATGTTCCTGGAGCGCCTGGGCTACGAGACGTACTTTCTGCAGAACAAACTGCGGACAGAATCGCTGAGGGCTTATCTGCCATGTTGTTGGCCGAATCTGTGAACTGCGTGACCCACATGTTTGAAAAGCGCCGACAAGTTGCCGAAGATGTTACGAAAACGCACGGAGATGTAGGTGAAAAGAAAGAGCAAAATGATAGAACTTCGTTTAAAAACGACAAAGACTTTTTGCGGTGGTCAGCCGAAGATGAAGTGTCTGAAGCTGACATAATTTCGCTCTCAGAAGGAGAGGAATCTGTTTCTGGATTGGACTTTAGGTCAAGGGAGCAAGACGAATTGATACCTAAGTCAAAGGCAGGAGAGGATTTGTTTCCGTCTCATGTTGACAAACCTCAGCAAGACCAGGTAGATGAGAAGCAGATTCAACGAGAACAAAATGAATCGTTGGTAAATAAATTCTCTGATACATTGCTAAAGGAGGCAGCTTCGCAAATGATCGCTATTTTGAAAGCAAAACAAGCTAAGTTTCCGGAGTCGCATAAAGGTAAAAGCACGGTTTCGGTCTCAACTCAAAAGGGCGCAGTAACAGAGGATGAACCCCACTCAGAGGAAGAAAGTCCTCTTTCGTCTCCTAGAAATAACCGCTTTATGGCTGTGCAACGGTTTCCTGACGGAGTGTCCAATTACTTGGAGGATACAGCGACCCCGCCCGGGAGTCCGACAGAAGAGAGAAGAGCATCTATCGATGAAAAAGAATTGACAGACAAACTAGACCAACTGAGGCGGCTACATGAGCACCTTGATAGTTCACGCGAGGAAACGTTAGAAGAAGATGACAGTGACCGCTTAGAATTCAAGGTACATACAAATGAAATGATCGAGTTTCCCGCGGAGGAAGAAGATGAAGAGGAGTTTCGTTTGCGTTCCAGAGCAGCGTCCTTCCTGTTTTCCGTCCCTCATCACCCGAGTGAAGTCTCCCCTGTGGTTGCTTCATCGTTATCGGTATTCTTCGACCGAAAGAGACGAGGGTTACCGATAGGCAGTGGTTCGCCACCATCGGAAATCATCGGAGAAGACAAAGCCGATGATGATCTCGAATCGAACAGTAAACGAGTCTACCGACGCCTTGTATTCGATTTGAGCGGAAATATATTAAAAGAACTATTATCCGAGGAAGTTCCTCCAAGCCTCCCCCCTTGGATGAAAGCCAAGCGACGGCGAAAACGCCGTCTCCATCGCGGCTTAAATCCGCTTGTACGTGAAAAAGACTACCTCCCTGTTGTAGAGCAACAAGTGTTGAATTTGATTGGTTTGGGCGATGCCAGACCTTCCTTGGACCGAGTTCGTCGCAAAACGCCTCTTAAGGCGGGCAAGAAGGATTTCGTCGATGCCATCTTGATACAGGAGCTCCGTGAAGATGAGCCTTTATGGATTGATTATGACGACGACGAACTTGCGGTGAAATTCCAAGTGGCGGACGCCATTTTTGAATCGCTGCTTTCTGAAACTGTGATGGTCCTGAATGCTGTCCAAATGAGGCGCGAGGCGAGAGCGGATGCGTACGGGAGCTAGCGGTGTCTGCAGTTGTCTTTTTTGCGCCAAGCCTCTGTTTAAAAGCGAGGCTAACTACGAAGCTATTGTGATAAAAATTGTGCAAATGAAAGTCATTTTCATTTGAATGGTTTTGCACTTAGCCTCGTTTTGAAAGCGTGAGCTTTTGAACTTGGAAATGGTCTATTGGACTAGCTTCTAAATGATAGGCTGCAATAGACACCTTCACGGCTGTAACGGCATGATGGGTAATCAGGACAAGATGGTGGGAAAGTCAAAAGTTTGTATGGGAATGCAAAGTCAACTGATTCTTGCTAATTGAATATATTTATAACTTTCCCTTTGAAAAATGTTACAAACTACACACTAAATCTGGAGTGCATAGCAGTCCTTCGTTGCTTTTTGGAAAACCTGAGTTCTTCCATACTTTTTCTGTAATCCAACAACACAAAAATACACAATGTATGGACGCAATCAAATTTCTAAAAAGCGACAAAGGACTGCTGTGCTCTCCACGTTTAATGTATAGTTTCTTTAAGTTCATTAGTTAAAGTTTGCAAAGAGCAATTGACAAATATATTCAATTAGGAAGAATTAGTTGACTTTGTATTCCCATACAAACTTGTCCTGATTACCCAGCATGCCCTCACAACCGTGAAGGGGTCTATGGGCCGTTTCCGAGTTAACTCAAGCCCTTATTTTAAACCGAGGTTAAGTGCGAAGCTTTTGATATGAAAATAATTTTTTATTCTCGTACTAATAAAACTCATTTTCAAAAGTAAGGTTTCGCCTTTGGGCTCATTTTGAAACCCAGGAATTTTGGAACAAGGAAGTGGCGTATTTGAATTCATGCATAATACCGAAGGTTAACACGCCCACCCCTGTGCGCAACCATCGTTCTTTTGGGATCATCTTTACGTTATAAACTTGGCTTCTCGTCTGGCCTTTCTGCTTAAACTTAAATTGTGTCTTTTAAATAGCTAAGAACAATTAGCAACTATCGCCTGTAGCTTAGGTGTCATATCTTTTCTCAGCGAAAGAGTATCCGACAGCACTGAAAATATAGAAAATCATTTCATATTTATTTCACTTTGACGGCGCGCGCTATCGTGTCCTTGGCCAACTTTCGAGCAAACACTGAAGAGGATTATTTGTTATTCTGTTTTCCTAAGTGTTATTGATAGACGAATCAAAATTAGAACCTTCCACGATTTATTCTTCTTTTGACATGGACCTTTTTTTTTTCAGTTCACACTGTCTTTGTATATCAGGGTCAATTAATGTTCTTCGATAGTTAACTGTGTATTTGTATGGTTATCCTGTTCTTTACAGACTGTATTGAGAGTTTTGTTTTTAGTTTTCGGTTCATCAGTGTCCTCGTGCCCAATAGCCAAAATTTATGCCTCCTAGGTCCCAGTTGAACTCTGAAAGTGCAAACACTGTCTAGCGTGCGCGATCGTGCACTTTTGCACCTTTGAATGCTACGATGTAATTATAGAAGAAGTTCTATAAAGTGTAAATACAGAGCTGCAATTCTATTTTTTTGTTTAAAGACGGTAATTTGTTCAATAAAGGTCTGTTTGATTTGCAGTCTGCGTAAAATAGTGTGGGATAAAATCTTTAATAAATGACTTTTCTGGTTAACTCCACCCGATCCAGTCTTGGAAACCGTTTCATCCCACTGAAAATTGTTACCGTTTGAGCCTGCAAGGACGCTCTCTCTGTCTGGGATCTGCGAGACTGTGCCCCAGGTCCGTCGCGCCGAGGGATGTACAGTAATAGCCCGCGTATAAGAACCTGAATTTTTCAATTTAGCCTAAATAGGTTCTTATATAAATGGTACTTAAAGCAAATTTAGGCTACCGAGGTTCTTAAAATAGGTTCTTATATTTTCATATGAATTTCATCTGAATATACTATATATATTATAAATATCATCTGATAATACAGTATAAATCATTTATTTGTACCATAGAGCAATGCCTATATAGGCAGTTCAGTGCAGGTACAGCATATGTCCTAGATGATGATCTTAATTCAGCAGTTTCTACCTATACACTTTTACAGCAACCCCACTGATAAGAACCTAACTTAAAATTTTAGCCTAAATAGGTTCTTATGTGGAGGGGGCTTAAAATGAAAATTTTAGCCTAACAGGTTCTTAAAACCCAGGTTCTTATACGCGGGCTATTACTGTAATTGCGAGTGCCTGAAGATGTGGGAAATGATTATGCCCAGTTGGCCCAGTATGGGTTCAAATTTGAGAAACCTATGACAAGTGCGGTTTGCAAGTGTAGCCATTGTTTCTGTTTTGTTTTATGAGATCGCTTTCCTCAGGCTGGAATACAGATCATGATGATGACGATATATAACCATGACAAAACGTTGATTGAGAGTACTAGCGAGACACCCCACTATCCATGATTTGGGGTGGGGGGGGGGAACTGGAGGGAACTCTTATCCTCGTGTGCATTTTGTTCACGAGACCACGTGATCATTCTGGCGCATTGGATCCAGCTCAGTCAGCTCTATCACCAACCTAACTGAACTTATTTTGTTAACCAGTTTGGATTTGTATGTGTTTTCCGAAACACTTAGCACACACAAGCTTCCTTGGCCAAATGAGCAAGCTTTCGAGAGAGGAGGCGGGATACTGTATGCACTGCCATTTCTTCAAAATTTAGCTATTTTTTATTATGCCATTGTTCAAGTGTAACAGTTCAATATGAAGTACGTCTGTTTCGTGGGAGCGATCTGTTGGCCCGCTGGTGAATAACCAAACAATATTGTCCAACAAGCAAGTTGTTGCAGTGAGCACAAATAACAAGTCAACAACTCCTAATTTAGTAAGTTCTCTTTGCTTGAGAAGACGCTCTGGTTGGAGTCGGTGACAATGCAATTTCTTAGACTCCAGAAGTTACAGATGCTTTGCTCACAGGGTACCCTATGCAGTTCCAACAGGAATGCCACTATAGGTCTAGGTTCAGCTGGTGTCCATTTTCTCAGTTCCTTTAGCTGATTTCTCTTTTGATTTCTTGTTTGCTTGCTCTGAAACAACTGATAGGATTGAGAAAAAGTTTACAATGTAATTTTTCTGATTACGTTATTTTTTACTTTAAATTTCACTAACGAATAACGTTACATGATTCAAAAACTATATCAAATGCTTGATTAAATTTGGTGTTTCATCATAAGATCCTAAAAAGCTTGGCTCTACATCATCTGCACCACTAACAACACCACTTGGTTTGCAGATATACTGTATGATATTTGATGAGTTTAACTTAACAGTAAATTGTCTCCTGAAGTTACTTCAGACAATAATCAATAACTTTTCTTTTTAAAAAAATAAATGATACAACTTAAGCAAACAATTCAATGATCTGATGATAATATAGCTTTTTTTGGAGGGGGCTATTTTCTGAGTTCATTTTTTTCCTTTTTTTCTTTACCTTCCATTGCATTTTCCTCCCTTTGTTGCTTCTTGATCTGTTTCATAATCAGCCTTTTCTTCTTTGCCGACAGTGAAACACTTTTTTGGTTATTGCTGAAACAAGAAATCAAGTTATAAGAAAAAATATTAATAAAAAAATTATTATACTTTAAGAATACTGCAATTCCAGTTCCAGAAATTGATTGGAAAAGCAGCCATTGAAAATGAAATTAGGCCCTCTTGGTGCCCTGTTGGCTATCTACCATCTTATATACACTGCATACTTCACATGGTACTTTACAGTATAATTAGGGTATTGAGACTTTATGATGTGGCATATATACTGTTGCATGTGACAGTTAGCCTGTCTGCAGAGATTTTTTTCTTTTTCTTTCCGAGAAATTTGGCAAACACAGTCATTAAATCCCCTACAGTCCTAATTTTTCATGTGTGCAATCAACAATAGTTAAAGAGAAAATAGTGGCTGTGAAGGGTTTTTTCAAAGTTTTATTACATAATAAAGGTGTGTTCTTTTACAGAAAGGATAATTTGAGCTTTAAAGTTGCAAACAGGGTATTCATTTCAACTTCAACTTCAACTTCAACTTTATTTCATAAGACTATTGGTTACAATAGACTGGCCCGCAAACTAGCAATTGCTAATCTAGGCGGACCAGTTAAAAGAAAAATAAATTGAAAGGAAAAGAAAGGAAAGGAAAAGGAAAGAAAAACTACAATTTGAAGTTACAATAAATAATATTCTATCACAGTTTTATTTTAATTACATTAAATCTGAACAAGCAAACAAACAAATACTTTAATACAGAAATCACTAAACTATTAATCGAACTTTTTCAACTATTGGTATTCATTTTGCTTTGGTCTGAGAGGAAGAAGATGCAGTGGGTAAGGGAGTCTCCAATAGAATTTCCAGCTGTTGATGGTCTCCACCAAAAAGTTCTGCAGAGGTAAGTAACCACCAGAAATAGATTCATTCTCACAGGTTACATCTTTCTTTGCTTACCCCTGTTTTAATCCTTTACTCTTTTGTTGCTGCTTCTTTTTCTGTGCTTTTCGAACTCTTGAAAGCTTGTTGAGGTTTTTCTGAAGAGCCTGTCATTTACAACAATAAATTTTGCGGTTACTTAGTGTGCTTAGGATGCTATGATTTAGCTTAATGCAATTTTTTCAAGTGCGAAGGAATATTATATTTTAAGCATTGATCTACACTGATTAAGACTTCAACATGCCATCCCCCCGAAAACTTCACCCTGCAATTGACTTACTAACGTTTCCAGGGGTCGGGGAGGGCAGGAATTTTACAACCGTGACTGTTATCGGGGTGGAGAGTTTGACACCACATGGGAGGGCTGGGTGTTGAAACAATTGTATTACTTCCATATTAGTTATACACCTAACCTTCGGGGTAGGGTCATTTGATGGACTCCCATTTCCTTAGGTAGAGCATTTGCACACAACTTTCGTACCTGGGAGATGGGTGGGGGGGCATGTTGAAGTTCAATTTGACCGGTGCATTATGAAACTGTTAATGAAAAACTGTGAATGAAAAGAAACAGGTGCCAGTCGATTTCTACTTTTCGCCCGACCGGTAAATGACGCCCGTTATACAGGCTGCAGAAACACGTGCGTTGCAACTCACAGCGACACAGCTGAGAATATATTTCTTTGTCATCCACTTAAATTAATGCATCGTACCAAAGAAGAACTGTTTCAAGATGTACACTTACTGTTTTTGGACGATTTAGAGTGTTACCTCCTGTCATTTTGGCCCAATGAACGAACAGGTTCAGTGTTATTTTCGATGCCGATCCTCTCTTAATCCGATTTCCGTAAGACAATGAGCCTGCAAGTCTTCAGCTGTTAGCGCGGAAAGGAATTCTACGTCATATAACCGACTCAAGATGCCATCTTTCTGAACCTCTCCTGGAAGATATGGAAATATGGAAGTTAGTTCTGTAAATCGATGCTTTTAAGAGCGGCCAGACCAGTATTCGTTGCCTTGGGTGCAATAAGAAATTGTAGTTCACGTAGAAGACCTCTAAAAAGAAACTGTAGCTTTATCGACTTGTTGTGTTGCAGAAAATTTTCTTCAACAAGAGGAGTTTGTCAATGGAATATGGAAAGCCCTTCTAATGGTACTGCCCTCGTGGCAGTTTGTCAGATGAACTCAACCAACGACGTCGATCGAAATCTGGGGATTTGTGAGGATCTTGTGAGGAAAGCTAAGTCAAGAGGAGCTAAGGTTAGATTCCTATGTTCGCACATGAGGAAGACCATTTTGTATTCAATTCTTAGCCCCATTCGTCAACCTTTGCAGTCACCCACGCCCCCCACCCCCTCCATTTCCTTGAAAAAAGGCGATGAAACAATACCATCTTTTTGCTCGTGAACGTTGAGGCCATCTGCACGAAAGAGGCATAAGATGCCAACTTTTGCATACATGACTCTTGTTTTTTCTTTTGGTGCTTTTGCACTACTGACACGCACCTTACCCTCCCCTCCCCCCACTATCCATCTCACTAGAGTATATGGAGAGGGATGTTATTCCTTTACATGCCATCAGCCACCATTTTCCAAGGTTCACAACAGATTACATTAAGTTAAACCTATGAAAAAACAGCTTTAATTTATTTTATAGCTCTTTTAATTCAGCACTGCTAGTGTGATCATCATCATCATCATCATTGTCATCGTCATCATCATTGTCATCATCATCATCATCGTTTTATTATTATTATCATAACTTGGATGGATATTGGGTGATTTTAAGGTAATCCTTAATTTGTAGAGGGACAATATCAGGATCGTGAAAAACAAAATACATATCCTTTGCAGGTTGTTTTTCTTCCTGAATGCTTCGACTATGTAGGTGAAAACCGTGAACAAACACTTTCCATGGCCGCTCCATTGGAAAGTACAAGAATGCAAGGCTTGCGTGACTTAGCTAAGGAACTTGGAGTGTGGCTCTCTCTGGGAGGATATCATGAAAAGGTTTTCCTTAATTTTTTCTCTGTCCTCTTAGTCTACAATGGAGGTCAAAAGTGCTGGAACCTTTCCAGTGAGATAAGTAAAACTAGCAACCCCTCCCCTCCCACCCCAAGCAATTTTAAATCTTCTTTTGGCCATAACATTGTTAAGGGGGGAGGGGTGGGGGGATGAAGGGATGAACCCAAAGTCGATCAAAAAACCGTCATAAGGAGCAGAGTCCTATGTAACAATAACTTGAGTTTTTTTCACACATTCCCACATTCCTTTGGCCTCCATGGAGATTTCAAGGATAGGATAGTTGATGAGCTCAAGATAATGGGCAAACCCCCTTTTAGATTTATTAGCTTTTAATTTAGAAGCTAGCCTAACTTAGCCGTGGAGGCATGCATTGCCAAGTGGTTAACTCTGCAAACTCTGGATCTGGAGGTCTGGGGTTCAAGCCTCACCCATCGTATTGTTTCTTTGGGCAAGGAACTCTACTCCACTTTGTCTCCCTTCCCCCAGGTGTATGACATACATGTATTGCTGGGAGTTGACCCTGCAATAAACTAGCATCCCATCCAGGGGGGAGTAGAAATGCTCCTAGGCATGCTTCATGCTAACAAAACTAGGATACGCTCTGGCTGTTTGGGCCTTTGTTCACCTTTACCTTCACCTAACTTAGCCCAATCTAAGAACTGTTTTATCTTTAGCAGTACAGGATACCAATAAGTGTACTCCACTACTTGGTAAATACATGAACTTGGAGAAAGTTGGGGTTATGTAAAGTTTTTTGTTTTAGAAAAGAGGCAGATCCAGAACAATCATAAACAGGGGGTTTGTGAATTAGCCTTTGATAGTTCCCTCCACACTCCCCACTGAAAAACTGAAGTTCATATTATTACTGACCAAAGAATCCTAGTTAAGATGCTGGAAGAAAGTTTTAAGAGAGTCTAATTAATGAAAAACAACAAGGACTCCAGTCAAAAGGGGGGCAGTGCCCCTAATTGGTAAATCCGCCCATGGGATCAAACAATTTCATAGTCCAGTGGATCTACTTTCTCCTCCACATTTATTAGGCAACATGTATAATCGCATTATGTCCAAAACTTTATTATTAATTTCAATACATACAGGGCCCTCCAGAGGATAAACGAGTGCACAACTCGCATGTTTTGGTTGATGACCATGGTTCCATAGCAGCTGTTTACCGCAAGATTCACTTGTTTGATATCGATGTTAAGGATGGGCCTCAGCTCAAAGAGAGTGATGGTACTATTCCTGGTGACCATATAGTGCCTCCTGTCCCTACTCCCGTGGGAAATGTTGGACTTGCTATTGTATCCTTGCTGGGTCATGGGGGCATAAAATTAACATTGACCAAGAGAAAAATGGGCTTTGTGCCATACAACTTGACAAACCAGCATAAGGCCGTATCACAACTATAGAATGATTATTATTGTTCATGTGAGATTTTCTTCAACTTTAATGAATTGCAAAAACTACACAGCTCCCATCTTGTTACGTACAGTGGGCCATGTGTGATAAAAATGGGAATGCCCCAGTTGAACAAATATTTAGTTCAACTGTAGATGCATCTCTGTCTCTGTTGAAACTTCTTTCAGTGGGCTTAGCCCTTCCCCTGGGAGTGGGGGTACTCCCTATAATGGCCTATATGGGGAGGCTCCGCCCAAAAGGGGTACCTTTTTCAGGTTTTAGTATATGAAGGGGTGGGGGTTTTACTAGTTAAAGTATATGAATGGGTAGGGAAACCTGTTGTTCAGTCTTTAAAAAGCCCAAAAGGGCTAACAGATGCATTATTTTTATGGCTTTGACAAAGTTAAGAAAACTTTCTGACCCATTTCTGGTTTTGTGATTATTCTACCCCTGACCCCTACATGCCAGCTGTTGCCATCCAGGCCCCAATTGTTCATAAGGTGGAAAACGCTATTCATTGGATAAATCTCTATCCAGTGAATAGTGCAACTAGTCTGGCTTCCCTAACACTTATCTGCTGAACAGTGATTTATCCGGTTGATTGCACCATCTAACATTTTAGCAATCAGGGCCTGAAGATGTGGCCATTATGTGGAGGTTTCAGTAACAGTGCATGTCATTGTCAGCAAAGTTGCGAGTGTCATAGACCAAGACCTTGATCGCAGACAGTCTAAATTCCTGATAGAGACTATATCGAGGTCTCTATCTAGGTCTCAAGTGACAAGTCTGGCTGTAACACAGGCTATCCTCAAACGGGTTTTCAAGAATTGTGCCGTGTTTCAGAGTGTAACATTTCACCCCATGTAAGGGAATCCGGATTCTGGAATCCGGGAAATATGTGCTTGTTGAATCCGGAATTTGGAAATTTTTACTTGTGGAATGCAGAATCCTGGGCTTTGGAATCCAACATGCAGCTCAAAGAATCCAGAATTCCACTGAGAATACTTGGAACCCGTAATCCAAGTTCCACTGACAAAGAATCCCGAATCCGTGGCGTGGAATCCAGAATCCAAGACTCTTGGATTCGCTTACATGGGCAAAACAGTTTTTCTCTATGCTTTATCACATCCTTGACTTGCTTAATGTGATTTGTAAAGTGCTACGATGTCCGTTTCCCCGAGTTGTCCACCATCTTAGCACAACAGGGAGCCCACATACTTACTTACCCATCGGCATTCACACAGATTACTGGATCAGCACATTGGGAGGTTTGTTTTGCTTGTAAACATATAGCATTTTTTAGATACAGGTGTGTGCTTGTTTTGCTACGTTTTGACTACGAATCGTTCCGCCAACGTCTTAAGTCGTTTCGCTAACGTGCTAGGTCAGTTCCCCAATTTCTTTTACCGGATCAATGGCTTAAAGAACGAGGTATACACACGTGTATCGGACTTTTACGTATCGTAGCGGAAAGGACGAGGTTTATACATGGGTAATGATCGTTTCGTGAGCGAAACGATTAAGACGCTAGCGAAAAAAAGCATTGGCAAAACGACCAGTTACTAATAAGAGATGCTGGAGAAACTGCAGTTAGGTTCAAAAGACAGGTTTTCTCGGCAGGCAAACAAGTGAGCAAACCCAAAAAATAGTTTTAGATGGAAGCACCGCCAGGTATTGTTTTGATTTCAAAATATTTGTTTCCAGGTTTTATTAAGATGTCGTGCCATAGAAAACCAGAGTTATGTGATAGCGGCAGCACAAACAGGACAACATAATGCCAAACGAAGATCGTACGGCCATGCTATGGTAAGAAACAGGCTTGTTTGTTGAAACAATACGTAAGAGTAAAATCCTACTTGTATTAAAGGCGATGCAGAGAGGCATATATCCTAGAAAGGCCTTTCAGAACCCTAAACCGCGGCTGGTAGAGATCTATAGAGGGTTGTCCAATACACCCACACTGTAGCGGTCCGTATAATCCATGGAAAACTAATCTTCGCATTTTGGGTGATCGCTTACGGGAAGTTCGCTTTTGATCCTCGCATTAACTATGGGATTAGATTGCAAACGTAATTGTATCTCTATACAATTTTTGCGTCTCAAGCCGTCACAGTAACACGATCTTTGATTTTTTTTGTTGTTATCCAACTGTAGGTAGTGGATCCATGGGGCTGCACGATTGCTCAGTGCCGGGAGGGAAATGATGTGTGCGTTGCAGAAATAGACCTGGATTATCTGAACAAGGTTCGACAACAGATGCCTGTCATGAAACACAAGAGAGACGATCTGTATGGAAAGTTGAATTCCTCACCGAAACTCTGACAAGATCTTCATTAATTAACAAATAGTCGATCTCCCGAAGGCCAGGGGAACGGAGGGAAGGTTACAATACCATTCGACTGTTTCAACAGCGTGCGCTCTGATTGGCTGGTTTTAGGTCACATGACACCAGACGATGACACTGTTTTCGTCCATAAGTTTCTTAGAAGGTAACAGCGCTTTCTAACTCGCGCCGTGTTGACTTCTATATTAGTTTTATTCATGCCTTGATTGATCTCTCTGAAAAGAAAACTAGTGCCTTTTATTTTCCAGAATACCAATTTTCTCCGCTTAAAATTTACCGGAAACAAATTTAAAACTTTCATTCGGGACCAACTGTGTAGTGTCAGTATTAATGCGCATCCATTTACCTTATGTTAGATTACAGTAAAATGAAACTTTAGAATTCATTAACTACGATACACCTCCCCCTTACAATAGTTTCTCGCGCATGCGCACAGCTATATTGGCCTATAAGTGCCGGGGTGAACAGCTCAGTGTTTCGGCCATATCAGGCCTTCTCGTCATGAACCAAAACGCGGCGTTAGGCGGAGGCTAGCTACCAGTACACGAGGACGACGTAGTGTATTTCTCTCGCTGGATTTTTGTTCTCGTTGTCATCACCGTAACGAGTTAGCTGCTGGCAGAGGCCTTTTTGGAACGTAACGAGAAGATTACACTCACGAATTACCCACCTTTTATTTCTCATAGTGCACGCACTCTATATCAAAAGTTGGTAGTCACAGATTTAAGTCTCCAATTACCTGTCCAGCAGATACGCTTATATTCCCCACAAAGGTACGATTAAATGTCTTGTAAAACAACCCTTTAGTCAAGTGTACTAAATATACTGTGTTCTGTAAACTGCCAATCCGGGGTAGCTTTGATACCCATCGACCTTCTCGAGCGTTTAGTATTAGTGAGCCGGGGAAAACTCCATTTTTGATGTTCGCTGTTTCGAAAAATTCAATTTCACTTTAAGATATGCATAATCGAGGAGGGGTAACTGTTGAGGAAACACAGTTACAATTTGCCATTTACTAAACGAGTAAAACACAGGGTACGATTTGCGACCATAAAGCTTCTTTGGATAGTTTGGGGGGACAGCATGAAGTTCAACAAACAGTCCCCATTTGCAGATTTCCCATAATACACCCTGTTTGCTTCCCCAACATTTTGCATCATCATTGTCTTGGTATGACTGTGATACCGAGGAGAAATTTAATAAAAGCAAAGGTTATGCAAAATTTTGGGGGACAAACAAAGTGTATTATGGAAGATTTGCAATTGGCGAATGGGGCACTTCAAGTGCTGTGTTCCAATCTGCAAAAAAAAATTATCTTCACCATTACAGAATTCCTAAAGACCTTGAAGCACCGGGTATGTATTCTTCAGCCACAATACCCTTGAGAGCGTCGTTAACAGGTGGCTTGCTGCTGTCCACCATGCCTTTTGCTGTCCCTCCAAACGATCGCCATAGTTCTTGTAATCATCAGTCGTACCTGCTTCCCTCGTTTAGAACATAGCTAATTTGTACGGCAGGTATATTGAATGATAAACACGGTATTTGCGTCTTTTTTAATAAATGAACTTTTACATAGATTCTTCCGCAATATTCGTTTAGCATATTATAATGAATTCCATTTTGTACGGTTTCTCCCGCTATCACCTCTAAGAATACTTTTTATAATAATATTATAATGCCTCCCGTTTCACCATTTATGTTAAATAACACGGGAGACATAATTGCTTTAAATATTCCAATAATTCACAGTTTATCGTTGGATCAAAGAATCCAAAGTCAATTTCTAACTTGTATCACAACAGACGCATCTGATTACACTTAAAATATCTATTATGCCACTTTTGAAATAGCGATATTTTAGATATATCTGCATTTGAATGTCCCTTTGGTAACCAAATACACATAAATTTCCAATGTTATACTGCTACATGAGAAATTTCTGCAATTTGATTGGCTTAGAGCAGTGGTATTTCAGCTTAATTTGAAATACCTACATGTGAAAATTACAAAACCTTTGCGGGTAGTAGTATAAACAAATATAGCATGATTTGTACGTAATATTTGGCATAAATACCACTCGTGATATTTCAAAAATTGTCTCAAATTTCACTCGCCTAACGGTTCGTGAAATTACGTATAACAATTTCGAAATATCACTCGTGGTTTTCATGCCAAATATCACTAACAATCATGCTATTACCTATACTAATGTTCTTATATGGATAGATATCTAATCGTAAAATAACACCCAGGTCGCACCGGACCTGCACGCACATCACCATCCACTACGTTGTTACTAGACTAACGGTTGGCTAATTTCATTTTTTTAAGACAAATGAATTGTGAAAGTTTGCTTGCAAAAACGAAACTAATCCCAAATTATTTGGTTATCATTTCATTGCATTTTAACTTGACACTATTAACGATTTAAGGCTCAAAAGAAGTTGAATTTAACTAAGTACTAAGTCCTATTCCAAAGTACAGTTTCTCTTAGCCGAGTGGAATTGTAACATCAGAGTTCTCCGCAACATGGGGTCAAGAAGCAGTACAAACTTCTGACCGGCGCACGTTAAATCCCGTTCACATGCATCTTGGGAAGCCAACTGCTCCAAGGCCTGAGCCCGCGCATCTCGAAGAAACTGTCTCAAGCGGTCTGAATCACCACTGTCATGCACCCCGTCATCCCCCTCCTCTCCTTCCTTAGTGATCACTGATTGGTGGACAATAGACACGCTTCTATTGTCTTCCTCGTTTTCTTGCAAGTCAGTATCCCGGATGAAGAGGGTTTGTTGGATGGCGTCAACCGCTGAGCCCACGATAAAAAGGGTGTCTCTTGTCAGCAGTATTGTCCCTTCATACTCATGCCCAGATGACGTTACCACTGTGACGTCCAAATGGAGAAGCAGATCGACATCTCTCTGATGATGAAGCATTTTCCTGTAAACGAACAGTGTCTGGCATTAAAAAAAGTATCCTTCAAAATAGACCACTTTGTGGCCTTCGTACCCTAGCCTTGGTGTGAATGTGGGGCTGAGGTCGACCTTGTTTTGATACAAACCTCCTTGATTTTCGTATGGAGATTATGTTTGAAAGATACCACTTAGCATAGGAAGAACATGATTTACATGAAAAAGAGGGCAGGAAGGACTGTATCAAAACAAGGTCAACTTCAGCCTCGTTTCTGTCCATAACTGGAAAATGGTCTATTATTTCTTATTTATTTCTTGGAGGGCAAGTTTCATTGTTCGACAATGACGTGATTTCGCTTCCAAGGAAAAGTAAATTATCCGAGTGCCCTCTACATTGTACTGTCGAATAGACCTTCTTGTCTTATTAGCAGGTTTAAACACCGTTTTAGCTCAAGAACAAGCTGAATTAACATAGCATAAAAGATTGATAATAAAGACATAAAGGTCTTTTCGCCAATCCATAGACTACAAGGATAATGGGTACAAGCATTCTGCTCAACGATTACTGAGATTGTTTAGGTCGACAGTATAAGCAATGACTGGTCAATGGTTGTCTTGAGATAACATCTGGTACCGCTAATCATTGCTAACGCTTTTGCACACAGACAATCCCGCCCTGTAATTTATAGAGTGGCGAATTCGTTAGAGTTCTGTTTGAAGCAAAAAGAACTGATTTTCAGAGGATTGACTAATTTCTTATTTCAAATGCTTGAGAATATCTAAATCGTTATTAGCATTTGCTCTCGACCCTTTCAAACGTGAGCAGACGACAACAGACATCATATGATTTTAATATAATGAACTACGCAAGAATTGAGAGCAGTACCAGAAGTATTTTAAATGGCTGTTTTTAGCGAAGTACTGCAGTCTTTCTCCAGGTGTGAACACACGGCTTGGCAGTTGAGTCAGTCCAGCTCCTTGGAGTATCCCTTGACCTGTCTGGGAAACAAGTTCCATGGCGCCACCTAAAGGCTTAGTAACCACGCCTAGAAGACCTTTGCCCACTCCCGTAATAATACCGCTGGCTGCCTCTCGCACATCACTGGCTCGCCTTATCCCTTGAATGGGCTGATCTACGATACCGGCGACGGCGCCAAGGAGACTGAGGCCGAATCCTCCCAGGCCTTGGGATAATCCTAAATGAAAACGCATTTGGTTACTAAAAGCAACAAGGCACGCACCTTTTCCAAATTTTAGGCAATGCTCAGGTGTTTAAAACGAAAGGAAAGATGTTTGCGTTGTTGGAAAAGGTAGAACTCATCCTTGGTAGATATCACAAGCGTGAAATATTGAAGTCTTCCCAACCGGAGCATTATAAGCCGGCTTACGCTTTTGTGTAAACTATTGGTATTTGCCCAGCTTGCGTGTGGCAATAAACGCTAATTTACTGGTTTCTGTAGTTAGAAGTTTGAAGCGGATAACTCTGGAACTTATCAACTAACATTGTGACCACTGTACCAAAAGTTTTTATCAAGTTACCGCACTAAGGTATTCGGGCCAGGGAGAAGGTATTCTCCCAGGCCCGCACCGTCAATACATGTCGTGACGTAACCGAGCGAAGCCACCCATACGAAATGAATAGGCCATTTCCGAGTTCCCCCGCGGCTCTGTTTCAAAACGAGGGTAGGTGCTCAGCCTTTGATATGGAAATCATTTTTCATTCTCACGCAAATAAAACTCATTTTCATAAGAAAGGTTGTGAACCTAGCCTCATTTTGAAAGTGAGGGTTTTTCGAATTCGGAAGTGGCCTGTTGACCAGGCTGCGAAAATTTTAAAGCCTGGAAACTGGGCTGTTTGATTTTTTTGTGCGTTGGAACTCTGCTTTAATGAAATAGTGCATTCATCAATTTTACCTGTCAAGACTTTTTTTGGCTTCCTACATCTCTGCTCCTCCAACAGCTTGAGATATTCTCCATCCATACTAAGTCGGTCCAGATTACGAGCCATGCTAGAAGCTAGACTTGTGATAGAAGTCAATGCACCAGTAGAAAGATGCCTTACAAACGATGACATACCTCGGGACATGCCTGAAACGAACGCCCCAGGACCTCGAGTTAACCCGTCATACGGGAAGTAAAGGAAATCCGCCACTCCCTGGCTGAAACTACGGACTAATCCCGCGGGATTTCCAAGGAGCTCCAGTGAGCCCAATAACCATCCAGCTTTGAAGAGCGCGGCGGTCAGGTAGTGATACGAAAGCTTCTGAATGAGTGCTGAGGCGGGAAGGAAAACTGGGGACAAATGAAAATGACCGAGTGACAATGGAGAATCGTCTACCGATAAAAAGAGTTTTACTGAGGCGTGTAACGTTACATTCACTGTTAAGGGCGTGATTTTCAATTCGCCCAATAAGAATGGATGGATATTGGAATGCGTGACATCCAACACCTTAAAGCAACTGAAGTGTTGGCTTTCAGCTGATTCGCTTGACTGAAGCAGCGAGGGCGGCAAAAAGGACGAAGCCATGCTGCCAAGTCGGTAAAGGAATGTGTCCTCGATATACAAAGTAAGTGGTTCAAGAGAGATGTCCACACAGCTCAAGAACACGCCACTCGAACTTGTGCCAGGCTCATACACACATTTGATACAAGTCAGCGGTTTGACTGCAGAGCTGCTAAGAGCAGGACGCCTTGTTGTTGAAGGTTTCCTTGGTGACAGAGGAGAATTACTTGGAACAAGGATCACTTGAAACTCGAAATTGTCATCTTGCAGTTGATTGTCAATCTGGAATGCTCCGATGCGTAGTATCCATTCAGGGCATATCCGACCATTATCTTCTGAAATTCGTCCCACCGAATGCGTTACCGCTACACCTTCAGCAGTCAATCGGAGAACTTCGTAAGGGATTCGGAAGTTTGTTATTTCGTCAATAACTGTCACACTCAGCTGACAAATGAACAAGTCTGCGTGAATAACCGATGTGGGTGTCGACACGCACTGATTGTCGCTTGAATCCGCACTGTTACCTTCGTAAGGCTGAATTTTTAAGCACGTACAAAGTCGTTCACGAGTTACATTTATCATAATTTGCCCCCGACCCGGCAACGTGACAAAGGACTTTCCTGGAGTATTCAAGTCAAAACTCTTACTCCAACCCTGTGGGACCTCGGTCGTCACCTCACTAGCAAGTTCTTCGCTATCGGCACCATTCTCCGATATTTCAGCCACGTTTACGTCGTAAAGAGCTTGAATGTGCATTTCAGGAAGCTGTTGAACCTCACTAGAGGTGGCAAACCATTCGCGCATGATCGGAAGTTCGTAATACGTAGAGCCAAATGCTGCAACTTCCGGAATCTCACCAAGACCTTGAATTTGTTCCATGATCACTATCTTCTCAGAAGACCCACTCACGTGACTTGGACTCTGCGGGGGGATTGCCTGGCCGAACTGAAGGGTGAAGCAACAGTCATTTTGAAGGAACAAACGAGGGGCTGGATCCAACGCAACAACGATGTACACAATTCCATCAACGACCTGTGACGTCACAACGACCGGAAGTGTGCTGCGTTCATTTAAGGAGACCGCGACAGATTGACGGGTCATTTCCGGTGTGACAGATACAGCTCGTGACCATAAAAAGCTGTTCGGCTTGGCATCTGTGGGTTGGCTTTGTTCGTGAAAGGCTAAGAATAACACAGGCGAGGTCTGACCGCTGAAGGACGCGTTCCCTTCTTCGTCAAGTACAACTGAAGTTGACGATGGTACATCCCAAGTTTCAACAGGAGTCGCGGTCTTAGGATCGCACGAAAGATGAACCAGAGTAGCTGTGTTAAAGCTATGTGGTGAAACCTGAAGAGAAGTGGGTAAAATTGTTTAAGAATTATACCGTGTGACCGTAAAATCTCAGTTGGAGTCAAAAAGGTTGAAAAAATAGGCCATTTGCAGGATGCCGTTATTTTACTACTGCGACAACAATCCTCCTCGTTTTTCCTTTAATATTTAAATTTGGTAACTCCAGCGAGTTTTTTTTAAAAAAAGCTCTAATTAGCTCAAGAAAGTAAAACCCTGAAGGATTCTGGTCGTAAGAGTTAAATGACGTCATCGCGCCAATGGTCTATAAGCAAAAAACAAATGCTTTCTCGTTCAGAGGGGTTAGGGTGGGGTCAATTTGTTTATTTTAATAACGTGACCATTCACAGCAGACTCGGACCAGGAACCAAGGAAAACTCAAAGCAAGCAGGTGCTAATTGCGGGGAAATGCGCGTGAGCAAGTCAGAGTGGCGCGAAACTTTTTATCCAAACGGATTGCGTGAAACTGAAAAATTTTAAGCAACCGCAACACCCCGTATCTACAATAAATATAAATGAATAATTAAGTTATTTAATTAATCGTAGAATACCTTTTTGCCAGGAGATATTAACACAGGGTGAACAACAAGCGGCCTTCCAACATTATTGATAATTTGAAATCTCTGCCCAATTGATATGACTTCAATTCCTCTAAACGTTCGACTTGTGATTGACCATCGGGCTCCGCGAATTTCACCCGAACCCAGCAAAAATGCCACTGGAACGGAGAGGCTGTCGTCGGTATCGTTTGTCGTTGCTTTTCGGCTGTTACTCGGTGAACCACTTGGGAAAGGAACTTCCTCGGACCAAGCTGAAGATTTGGCTTCCAAAAATGTTCCGAACTGCACTGTACCCTGTAGAGAGAGAATCGAAAAAAATGCTTTGAAACAACAAAAACAATCTGACAAGATCTGATCAGTGAACAATAGGCAATAAAACAGTAGATCTATCGCGGCCATACCGTGATTCTGTGCGGAGCTACCACTGAACCTGGAGATACAAAGACTGTAACCTCCCGTTCCAGATCCCGGACGAGCATGGGAACCGCAGTGTTATTGACCAGAAGACACCATGGTAAAACTTCGACCAACAGCGAACTGAGATGAGGCCACCGTTTTATCACACGGCACTGTATCTCGACAGGGGGGACTGGAGACGAGTTGAAATCTAAGAGAACAAAAAGTCAATTTGAGCCATGTATAGGAAAAAACTCCCAATATAAAGTTGTTATCTGCACTACAGCCCTGATGGCAACAAAAATAAGTAGAGCCAAAGGTAAACGTAAAGAGTGTTTACTTTACGTCGGTAGCTAGAAACAGTCATCTGACTAACAAACCTGACGCTAGCGGTGGGCTCATTTTACTACCCCCCCCCCCCTCTCCATTAGTACTCCGTTTTACGGGTATTGATTCAAAGCTACTTCAAGCTACGCGGAAAGGAAAGAAGTCGAAAGAAGGATTTAAGGTCACACCGGGGAATCCAACCTGGGAGCTCCCCCACAGAAGGCCATGCACTAGCCGACTGTGCTAATCCTTTCTCCTAAAGAAAGCTTAAAGGAAGCCATTCCGAGCTTTACTGGGAACGGATCATACCTGCTCATTAGGAAAGAACGGGATTCATAAGTTCCTTGCGAGGTGCCCCCCCCCGCCTCTAGAAGTTCCTTTACGACCCAGTGCAGTCAGATTAGTAGAGTGTTGTGAGACGTTTCCGAAAGGTTTTCGTCCTTATTCGAGAAAACAAATAGCTCAACCATTTGCAAATGTCAGTGCAAAGTCAGTAAATTCTCCTCAATTATTTCGAAACCTTCAGTATGTGTCCGGCCGCGAATCGAACCCGAGCCTACCACTTTGAGATCTGATACCAAGCTAACCAGTACAAAATCTGCCTTTATCGTATAATAATGCTGTTTCATGGAGACATCAAGACGAAGACGACTTTTTCCATTATTTTCCTATTAACCTGTTAAATATACGGTACGTGTCAACCTGACCTTTAGGTAGCGTAACCTCTTCTGTTCCCGGCTGCTGTTCGTTCTTGGTCACCTGACCAACAATGGACACGTTCTTTACCAAAGAAGACTCCGATTTTTCCTCCAAAACGACGTCTGTGCGCCTTTAAAGAAAAAAGAAACACAAACAAATGAAATTTCCCTAATGATAACCTTTATAACAAAGGAACCTCTCTACTGTATAACGAACAGTTCATTACGTCCCAAAGATACCAAACCAAAGATTAGAAAAATACGAAAGACATCCTATTCAAAATCAAATAGACATCTATTTACAAAGCATTTCTTGAGCCTTTTAGTATTCACGCGTGGGACCTGGTAAGGCTGCTACCGAACGCGTAGAGCCCTGCTGTTGTGAACTGGGAGAAGATCCCGCAGGGGATGCGAGAGAAACCTCTTAAAGACCTTAAACAAGAACGCTTGTAAAAACGCTTTAAGTCGAGCTTGTTCTTGGAGAGTAGATAAGAAATTGGGAGATTGATTCTAGACATTCTACACGAAACAGGATTTCCTCGCTAAAAGTTTTTCACTTTATTGACGGTCGAGTATTCTTCAGACTATTTCCTTTTCATATCGTATTCGACTATTTGTTTGTGAATTGATTGAGTACGAAATTAATGATAACTCATCATTGCATCGTTCTTCCTACCCAAACAACTGATGATTCCTGCAGTACGGCCAACTATCTGTCGGCGGTGTTTCTTCGTCTCCAGTGTTATCTTGTGCCACCCTACTGGCTAGTTCAATTAGCGTGGTGTTGAGTGGCACGGTGGGACTTGACCACTTAGCTGATCCGCTAAACTGAAAAGCCAGATGATGCCAAGAGTTCGGTACCAGGTCATACAAGTGCTGCTCCTGACCGTGGCCTTGCAGCTGGTGGACTGAGGACGAGAGAGAATTGGATTGGGGCGTGAACACGTTCATTAGGACTGGTTCAGGAAGGTGACTCCTCATAACGAACAATGGAGATAGCGTTACCTATAATACAAAATAATGTCACTGTATTTAGGCTCTTGAGTATCAAAAGCGATTCAAAGAATCCTGCAGGGTCAGGTTAACGGTCCACGCACAATATATCGCATCGTGCCTTCGTACTCTAAAATTTTGGACGGAAGGACTCACATATCAAGGACCCGATCCAGGTTGCAGCAAACCAGCAGTTCTTCTGAAAACATGGTTTACAAATTTTCAGTTACGGAAACTGTCATGTAAATAACCTTTGTGCTTTGGCTATTTTTTAATGTACTGGACAAAGTGTGGTCAGTGTTTACCAACTTTTGAGCGATCATAAATTGCTTTTATTGTACATTTTAAATGTTTTTTAACCACTCTCTAGCCGCCATGTTGGTCTCCCCCTGAACAAACTCAACGAGACGTCACTGCAAATTCCAGCTTCAGGAACTCCACGGGGAATGGGTACAAGCTTTTGGGTGCAGTGATTTCTGGGATGGTTTAGTTAGACAGGCGTTAGTTGTGATTGGATGATGGTATTCAAGGCAACCATTAACCAATCATAAGTAACGCTTGTCCACCCAAAGGATCCCAGAAATCGTTGCGCCGAAAGCTTGCACCCATTCCCCTTCTCGTTTCTGGAGTACGGAATTCACGTGAATCATCTTGGAGAAACCGCACAGAATTGAAATTTGGAGAGATTCTGTACGTATTAAACTTATCTTATTTAATTTATATTAAACTTTACTTCTTGAACAACTCAGATTTTTACTTTCCACAGCATCACCTGCACCAGCATATCTCTACCAGAAGCAGTAGTTACGCACGAAGAATACAAACCTTGATCTGGTCCGGCGGTCCGGGTTTCTCCACACTATACCAGAAGTAAAACGTCTGGAAATCCTTTACGCCAAGAAGCTGTGGAAAACAATCAAACTCTTAAAAACAGCTTTAGTGCCTTCAAAATATGTTAGGGTAGTTGCGCATTCATGTGAAGATGAAAGAAAAAGTCGCAGTGATAATAGCGTTTTTAACATAATAAGTAAGTATATTGAGCATGATCGCCCGGTAAGCGTGGTCCTGAATAGGACTGTTGTTGACAGTGTCTACCGCACAGGTTGTCGAAATGTCAGTGACAATCACTGTCAACAACAGTCCTATTCAGGAATACGATCACCGGGACGGTCATGCTCAACCTACTTATGAAAAGACTCCTGGGTTCAAACCTTTCACAACAGTAAGTAAGAAGGCATGCCATGCAGTCACGACAAAGTAAAAAGCACGAACGCTGAAAGTTGTTCCATGCATGGCACGATTTACTTTTTGTTGGTTTAGTCTACTTCTAAAAAGCAAAATGTTTTTAACGTGTACTTAGCGTCAAACGAGAAGACATTTTCCAACGCGTATATACAGTAGGTCTTGTTACCTGTACAATCAGATGATGGCCTTTATCGCTTCCTTCTATATGCTCCAGGGGTAGTGTATCAGACCACGTGGTATTGTTAGGAATACGAATGCGCATGCCTGCGAGTCCGCCATGTGATATGACGTAAGATGGCAGAGTTGTGTTTGCGGGCAGGGTGACATCCTCAAGGACCTAAAATTAAAAGAAACATTTTCTTATTTAGCAAGGATGCGATATTCAGTGCGTTATTTGCTTTTCACGACCAAAAAAACTGCCTGTAAATACTAAGTGTAACCAGCTCAGTGAAACTACACTTCAGTTTTGATGATCGTTAAGTGACTTTTCTAACTCTCTCCTTTTCTAACGTTACATATGCATACTATGGTTACGGAGTGCGGGCGAACATGATCGAAGGTCAAAACGCTTTTTCTCCAACACTTTGGTTTTCACGTGATAGCTCTCGGAAACACGCGTGATCTTATTACGAGTGATAGGAGGCCCAAACGTGATCAGATTGCATTCTCTGCATTCCATTCATTCCAAACGACGTTGACTACATACGTGTTGTGCATGAGTAATGGAAACCTTACGTGGACCGAGTAGAAAAGGACCCTGGGAACGAGGTTGGCTGGAGATTAGGATTGCAGGCTCCTCATGTCGCCTACAAAAAGCTTTTCCTTAATATTGTACTTTAAAACAATATACTTTTAGAATGACGTTTAGTATTTTATTTTTTGTTTACCTGATAGCGTGCCTTGGAGGCTTGACCAGAGTTCAACGACGGATTTGTTAAAATTTGCACATCAACATCCATTGACAAACGACTCACAATTACGTGACTTCCATGAATTAAAACCTGAAAAACAAAAAACACAGTAGTTCTGTAGTTCGTGTATTTTGGTTCTAAGTTAAAAGTCTGTGAATGAAAGTTACTGAGCCACTGCTCTTATCAGGTACTGTACGGCTTGCTTCCAAAAATGGACTTTGGTTTGTGAATAAATTCAAATTTGACTATTCCAATGAAAGTGAAACCATGGATAATAGAAAGACCAGTCTTTCTATTATTCATAGTGAAACTTAAGAATTTATACCCAGACTTGAAGTCAATTCACCATTTGCACATCTCCCACAATGAACCTTGTTTGCCCCGCCCCACTTCTGCCCACACTTATACTTTTTAATCATATCGTTTTCCAACGTTTTAGTGTGGGCATTTGAAAACGCAACAGAACGTTAGTGTGGACGCGAATCGATCCATGAATTTTTCGATGGGCATACTTTTGAACATTGGTGTGGACAGGGCTTTGCCCTAAGTGTTTTGTATTCTGGTAACGAGTATCATACCACAATTGTGTACATACCTGTTTCTGCATTCCAGACAGCTGCTTTACCTCGATAAACAGAGTAGCACTGTGAAGCCGGTGATGAATGGTTCGACTGAAAACGCCGACGGTGTCAATTTCAAACGGCTCAGACCAGCGCCAGTCCCCCTCGGTCTCTATGCAGACGTGAAGCCTGGGGTTGTCTTTCACTGTATGAGGAGTTCTCCAGCTGTACGCATGCGCTTGGCGGCTTCGGAGTAACAAAGACTCGTCCGTGTCGACCTTTGGAGGAGGACAAAGTATTAAGACTTGATAAACAGATTAAGTAAGCCCTCGGAGGGGGGGGGGGGGGTTCTTTAGTAATGTTTGGTTGGGGATGTGCCGCTAGGACCCCGGAACCCTTAGCCTATACCAGAATGTTGCTACCCTATCCCCTATCATAGAGTCGCTATTTGCCAGAAATTGCGGAGGTCGAAGCATTGTTTGCTATTAAACTTACTCGCGGGTAGATTTTACATTTGCCGATTTTATTTTTTGGAGTGTCAATTCCCAGTTTCCCTAGTCTAGACTAAAATCTTCAACCAACTGATCAGTTTAAATGGAAAATGATACCCAATTCTACACCCACACTCGCTGATTAAACTGCTTGAAAACCATATCTTTCACAGCGGCACATACCTATACATCCAATATATGGTAGTACCCCTCATATCCCCCCTTAACCCCCGCTACCAGGCGTAGGCCATATTCATTTAAAGAGCCGGGATTTAGTGCTTGTTAAAATTCCAACAGGTTTTGAATTAATGGAAAATTCATTAAGAGTCATTACAATAGCAATTCACGCACCTGACCAAGCCGCAAAGCCTCGTGTGTGTCATTACAGATGATGTAGTGATTAAAAATAACCCTTTCTGCGTCACGCTGCCCAGTTTGGCCCCAAGCAGTAGCCGATAAAGCTATTGTGTGGACTGTGCTTTGACTGACATGCATCAAAATTGATCCAGCTTCCAGACCAACATCCAGCCACACCGGGGGACCAGTGGGGGATTGTTTGTCCTTGGTAAGCTTGGCCTGCTGAACAGAAATGTTTATTACAATTTAGATACGGAAGACAGACTTAAAAATTTTTTAAGTTATGTTACTTTTCCAGGCTACTTAAACCCAGCATTGTTATCGAAATAGCTTATTAATCTTTGAGTTTATTTTCTTACACGTCCGGAATAATGATGACTTATCACAAGGATCTTTCACTCAAAGTTTCGTTCCTTTTCACTTACCACTTCTCCGTGATACAGGGCCACAGTGAGTCCCACATCAAAGGGGCTCAGAAGAGGCCTATACGTAAGGTCCCCATAGTCCAGCACTTGTGCATGGCAGTTCCACTCGGTCTGTACCTGTGAAAATCCGCCCTCCCCTCCCACGTCTTTTAGGATGGCACTGAGTCCCTCGATACTTAGTAGAAAAAATTCTTGGTCTGTTGGTAGGGAGGGGTCCATCTCAAATTCGTTTAGGTGTTTAGGAGTAGCTGAAAAAAAAAAATAATAACGGAATATAACCAATTCTCTCTTAATGGACATCCCCGTGGGAAGAACAATTCCCTTAAACGGACACCTAAGACGGTCCTTCACTTGTGGATCCTCAGTCTTCTTTGACTCCTTACAAAGCGGACACTTCTCTAAGACGTACACTCACAGGTATGTCTGTTCCAACAGCATCTGTCTTAAAGACAATTTACTGTAACATTTGTAACGTGATTATTTTTCCAATTTTAAAGTTTACCTTGACCGATGGCATGTAGTTGGTTGCTACACTTCACTTCCAGCATGTTTATACTGACGTGAGCTGACAGCGCGGGGTTAAGAGCGGGACGCACGACAGAGTTCACCTTGACAGACGCCGCCAAAGACGTGGCGCTTAACCATGAGCGGTACGGAGACGCGTAAGATGAACTGGTATCATCACCATTAAAACTAACACCAAACAAAAATAAAGAAATAACTAAACTCTGAAGCGGCAAGGTAAGTTGGCAGATCCAATAAACTAGACTAAAAATCAATCAATCTGTGAGCATGCAAACCTTCAGTCCTGGACAAAAGTCTTGGAACATATTTGCATTTCTGGCGCTTTTTACAACCACACATGCCCGTCCCCACCCCCACATGCAACGTTGAGCCCATGTATCCACATTTTTTCTTGAAGGGGGGAGGGGAGGGGAGGGGAGGGAAGAGGGAACTGCCATGCATTTGTAAAAAAGATAGCACTGTTTTAATTGAAGGCATCATAACATTAACATCCCAAGGTCGGTAGTCCATGATTGTAGAAAACGGCCTGGGAGCCTGCCTCCGCACACGCTCGCATCTTGACGAATATTACAACTTTCCTATTAACTAATTTATGATTTATCACTACGCGGAATATATTCGTCGCTGTTGATCATAGCAGTGTGCACGATTTGTGTCACATAAAAGACATTGCAACCAAAACTTGGAGTCTTTAAGCATCTTTCTTATTTATTCACCAAGCCTAACGGCTACTATCTTTGACAACTGTCAGAAACATCCCTCCTTTATTTTAACGGCGAGAAAATTACCTACTGCCACTAACCTGCCATCATCCGGGTATTCAATATCAACAGTCACATCGACAACTATTTGCCATTCTGCAGCCACGATCACTTCTGAGGGGTTAGCGGTAACAGGGTCCGGAAGTGCAATGGAGGTGGTGTTGTTTTCCGACAGTTGAAAATCTTTGTACGAGATATAACACTTCTGAGTCGGATCCCAGTAACGAAGAACACAAGGAACCTACACAAACAAAAGTATTTATAACAGTTTTGTAAACATTAAGAGTTTGCTAGCGACATAGAAGTAAATGTGAGCGGAGTGAAAAATAATAGCGTTAGTATGCCAAATCGCAAGTAGTATCAAAACCTGGACATGACTCCAGCAGAATTTCAATCATTTGTGTTTGAGACGGGCCTGCAACGAAGGACTGGAATTTTCTAGCCTCTTCACAGACCCTCTAGTTTCCCTCAAGAGATCGCCTAGCGCGCGTATGAAAATAAAAACCGCGGGGGATTTATTTACTGCAATTGCAAGACGATGGGGGTGGGGGTGACGAAAGAGAAAATAGTTCCTTTAATCTTTATTTTCTCGCGCTCAGCGCTCCCTATCACGCGCACTGTCGAATTGTCGAAAATTAAAACGTCTCTGGACTACTCTGATTTGCAGTAACCTGCGATCAGGCGGTCCTTCTTCCCTTTTTGTTTGGAGGCGAGGGGAAAAGGAATGCGTTCTTTTTTTTTCCCCTTTGCCTGAAAAAAAAAACGCCTGATCACAGGTTAGCTTTGCAGCCGCGCTTTGTGTCGTCACGCAATGCTCCTAGGAGTGTTGCATGACGACACAAAGAGTGGCTGAGTAGCAGACTATCTGTGGACAGGCTAGGAATTTTCTGACTAATAATACGCAGCACGATACGCGTACCTGGTATTCTTCACCCATATTCAGGGTATTGACTAAGACAGGTGTTGACAGTGGCAAGGGCACTAGATCAACCGCTGACAACGCCCGCGGTTCAGGATATCTCCAGGTCATTGTGGGAGGTCTATCACTGACGTCTGATGAGAAAACTACTTCCCACGGTTCCGGGTGGTGCAAATCCAGATCTCCTGAGAAATGAATGAACGATCATTTGTAAATATTGTAAAATACGGAAGGAAGAAGGGAGCACGAAGTTTTCAGGGGTATTATTCCAAATTAAGCACCTTTTACGATAGGACGAAGACTTGCCAAGTGCTGTTTGTCAAACAATTTAACCCCCTTGGGCAAACAAAACTCATAAACCATGCCCCTACGGACCTTTAGTCTCGCAAGTCATCAGATTGTAGCCTGTGAACAGGCTCTCTGTTTGGGAAAAAAATGTTCACAGGCTATCAGATTGTGGTCCTTGAAGCTGGGGAAAATGTATGTGCCAGTCGTGATTTGTTTACTTTCCAGTAAACTGATAAATTAAACGCATGAATAATTTGTTCAATTTGAATTGGGAGGTAGAACAAAACACTTAACTGCGAATCCCACAGGAAAACAGTGAGATTTGTTTCCCCCTTGGGTCAGTGTTCCCTCCAGGCCAGTCACCAAGGGCATATCACCCCCTCCCCCCACGAACGGAAATTTACCTGAAGCAGTGACATATCTAAAAGAGCCGGCTCGGATGTCATCAAAAGACTTGAACACTTCAGCCTGGTTTGCAACCTCACTGGTCTCAAAACCAGGCTGCGCTGATTCCTCGTCAACCGTTGGTGGAATGGTAAACTGTTGAGCTAAATCGGCGAGGAGACTGAGGCAAGTTACGTGCTCTTGACCAACGCTGACTTGAACGCAACTTGCTTCCACAAAAACGTACAACTGAGGAACACCGCAACCACTACAAAGAAAGAAAAGACACTTAAAGAAGGTAAGCCCAGTCCAGCCCAGTGAAAATCTATTTGATTGTGTACACGACGCGTCATTTTTTTGTTGAAAACTTGTTTCCTTAGCGGGACTCTGGGCAGCGGAAACGAACATTAGAACAAGACGAAGAGCGCTACTTCGCGAGTATTAGGAGTAAGGAAACCACCATCAACTCTGAATATGTCACAACGTTTTCTTTATTAATCCTGCACAAAAAAACCCCTCTTCATACATAACAATTATTGTTTGAAACATGGAAAAACAACGGCGCGCCAAGTTTCCGCAAGTTAATTTTTTGGTCACAAAAATTTAGGCACATAAAAACTATCACAAACAAATTCATGCAGAATTACTGGTATGGTTAGGTACTTTTGATTTCAAAGAGCTTCTAAACGAACGTAAATAATGCTACCAACAGATGTTCTCGAATGAAAGAATCTTTAAACAAGAAAAACCCCATTTCTTACCTATGAACCAGCAAGTCTCGACTGTGTGGGGCCCAGACCGCCTCCAAATCCATGGAGCAGCTGAAAGGATGAATTAGTGAACGGCACCTGTCATAAATTGAAGTCGCCAATCCTACGCCATGTAACTGTAATCTTGTGTCCACTCCGCTCAGGTTGTCTAGAGGATAAATAAGGTGAGAAAACATAAAAACGAGAGCCTGGGAACAAGCTTTCGTGGGAAGGGGAGATGGTGGGGAGGAAACGAACTCTAGCTCTTTTCCCTTGCCCACCACCGTCCCCCGAGAGCTTGCTCGTTTAAGATTCTTGGAAGCTACCCCTCCCAAATGTTAGTTTAGGGGAAGGGTAGGTAAGCATTTACCCAGAATCTTATACTGATGCAACAACAACATCAACAGGTATCTAACGCCATGTTAAAGCCGTCTTTACGAATTTCAGCCATGAGCAAGTATCTTAAAAAACACCATTTACTTTTCCTAGCCGATTACAAACTATTTTTAGTTTTCTGCGACGAATTAAAAGTAATTTTTTTTGACGCGTGGCAGTGAAACACATACAGCCACAATGTTTCCTACGCAAAATTAATTCCAGTACAAAGCAAAGCAACTTATCTAACATACCCTGAAGATCTGGTTTTAAAGAAGCCTTCGCCTCAATTCCAACCACACTGACAAGCACCTTGGGTTTGCCAAGAATGTGAGAAGCTTCCATCTGTATAAAGATGTCCGAGGTACTCAAACCAATGGAGCTAAGAAATAGGGTTCCTCTCTTTGGCGAATTATCCATGTCCCTGGGTCCTGAATGCTCTTTGTTAGCAAGCACCAATCCGTCTAAGAATTCCGCAAGCTCCTCCATGTTTTCAGGATTTAAGCTCATTTGAAAAGGTCGACCAATGTCTACTGACACATCAGCTGAAATGAGGACAACAATTTACTGAATTTACTGAATTTACTGGGGCCGGACTTAAAAGAGAGGAGTTACGTCCTAATCGTTTGTGCTTGGACCGGTAAGTCCGGGTTTGACTCCTGGCAAGGATCAGGGTCGCGATATGAATTCACTAGGGACCTTACGAAACTACGACGGCGACGGCAACGGGAACGTCAAAAAAGTAATAGGTTTAGTTAGCAAAACCACAACTTTGCACGTGCATCACGCTTTTTGTACATTTCTTTGTCGTCCCTGCATAACTAGGACGTGAAATGACCGAATTTTAAGTCTACTTGGGAACGGCAACGGCAAGGCGATAAATTCTACCATCTCTTTCAGAACTCGGCCACCGTCTCTTCTCTTCAGCTTCACCCCAAATTCTCTTCTTTTAAGTAACTGGGCCCCTTGGAATAATCGCGAAAAAAAAGTGAAAGGATGCGAAGTCCATTTTTCAGCGACGTTTTCATGGACTTCGCCGTTGTTGGATCGTAAGGTCCCTAATAACAGCTTACCTGGGGCGGATAGAAAGTTTGTAACGTCTATAGTCACTAGAGATGGTAAAATCCCACTGTGAGGATCAGGCACCCCAGCTCCGCTCTTAAACCAATCAACTGTGTAATCCAGTGAATCAGGAAGAGGCTTGTAAACAGAACCTTATAAATAAAAAAAAATCCATTAATAATCAGTCCTTGGAAAACAAACCAGCCCTTCATACGACCAACTTAGCAATACAGCGCCGGATCCAGAACTCGAGATAAGGAGGGGCGGGGGGGGCGGTCATCCAAACCCTTAGATAAGGGAGGGGGTCTCCAAAACATATATTTTTTCGGCCCTTCGGGCCTCAATTTGGTCTAAAAATAAAGGGAGGGCCGGGTCCGCCAGGCTCCTCCCCTGGATCCGTCACTGTAATATAGAAACGAGAAGGAAACATGAGCCCAGTTAACTTTCGCAAAGACTTCCAATCACTGCAGGACTACGACGTGAAAATGCCTAGTTTCACGTTTTGTGGAGGACGTGACCACAAGGCAATGAGTTTCTTTTTCTTTTCCTGAACTTTGATACAGTCTTCTCAGCATCGACTGCACGTGCTACGCATCAGCTTCGCAATAATTGCATCCCCAGCACAATTCATACGACACAACTACTGCTAATGTCAAGAGATCGACCATTTTGCTTTTGAGACGGGGAAGTGAGGAAGACGTTTTTGGGAGATTACTTCCGGTTGAGGAGCGTTGCTTAAGCATCCCAATAGGCTGATTTAGCAACAAAACGGGAACGTCAGTTGACGACGGCGAGCGCAGATCAAACAACTGGCTTGACCAATGGCAGAGCGGCAAATTGGGCACCGGAAGTCTTGATTAGTCCTTTCCGTCCGCTTTCCCGTCGTCAACTGACGTTCCCGTCCTGTTGTTAAATCAGCCTATCTTATAAACAGTTCTGGAAAGAAAAAAGTTAATAGTAAGTCTCATATTTACAGCAAAAAATTAGGAAAAAACGGCCAGCCCTTTATTTCCCCCATTCGTTGAGTTCCCATTTTGTGGAAAATTAAGCAACAAGGGTTCCGTAATTCCAGAACAAAGTAGCAGAAGCTGTCTACAAGAACCCTGAATTCCGTATCTATGCTTGGACGTCTCGAAAAGACCTATTACATACCTAAGGTACGTGATGGTCCAGCCATATTGATGTCAAAACAGGAGACCTGAATTCGCGGACCACAAGATTGCGTATTCACAACAAAGGCAGGATGAACTACTTCAGCACGCAATACTGGCTTTATCAGCGATGGTTTGCTTCTACCAGGCACACTTGGTTTAACAGTGGAAGACAATTGTTTCTCAGCGTGTTTGGTGTCTCGGTGAGTTCGGCTATAGACAGCTACGGTAAGTTTCCTCCCGGTAAGAAACACCTCCCACGGGGTGTCCATTTCAAATACCGGTAGGCTTTCTGTATCGCCATGAATCTTTCCTTGGGAGGGATGTGCCGCGCCCCCAAGCCCTTGGCTGAATTTCGCATTGACTGCAGTGTGCGCGCTCTCAAATCCACTATCGATTTTCTCGGTGCTCTTCGGAACAGCTTCGCCTGATGCGTTAACGTCCGATATGACGCTCTCTTTAGGGGAAGCATTCATAGAACAAGTAGCAAGGACTTTGACATTTTCAGCTAACAAAGTCTGCAGGAGTTGGATCTACCAACCGAAATACAAACATAAGTACATTAGTATTTCGCTTATCCTTTTCAAGGCAATTTCGAGAAAACTCTGTTCTATTTATCATCCACGTTACAAGTAATAGAATACAAGCACTAGATCGGGATTAGCTTTTCAGTCTGCAAAAATATCATATAACGCCACCCTTAAAACAAATCCTCTTCAGTATTACTCTTGAAAGGTGACATTTGTTTACCAGTATCTTACAAAATCCTTCTAAATATACTTTCGTCAAACGGCCAAATGTAGGCAAAACATATCCTCGAAACCCACACTTTTTTTAATACGTCCTTCTTTATTAGTGCCTCTACAATCGCAGCGTTTTTTGTTTTGGCATAACAGTAAAGCGTAGATAAAGATCTAATTTGTTTGCTCATCGGACTTTTTACGCCAGAAAATTCAAAAGTTGCCGCTCGAGTCACACCCATTGAGGCAGGGCTAAGCTCAAGGCAACTCCGTCCAAATCGTGAGATCATTTCACGTAGAGAGACTTTTTAGAAGGCCTGTTGTCAATTTGGGAAGTGGTAAAGGAAATTCTATTAGCGAACAAGAAAAAGCTAGCCTGACAAAACAGCCGACGTTTCGCGAAGCCACCACCACTGGTTTCCTCGCGAAATGACCTCTGAGAAAAGAGCGCAGAAATTCGACACTGATGATGCGTCACTACCCAGATCTGGATAGGGTATCTGATTGGTTGATTGCGCTCTTTCCTCATACGTCACTTCGCGAGGAAACCAATAGTGGCGACGCGAAATGTCGGTTGCCTTCTCAAGCTACCAAAAGGCCTATCTTATTCAATAGAACAAAAGAAGCCAGGCTTGAAACATTACCTGTTTCTTGTTCAGAAAACAATCAACGTCTGTGACTACGTTAAATTCCAGCGACCAACCACATGTTGGGACATACTCTGTCATGGTAGAACTCTTAACGGTCACGTGCTTCTCCAATGATATCGCGGGCGCAAGAACGATCCTGAAGTCTGAGCCAGATATGATTGGAGTTACATTCACCTCTTCCACTCCACGCCTGGTTCAGATGATAGAATCAAACGAGTTTATTAGTGAAATAGGTACCAACGCAAATGCAAATGTCAAGATTTTTAATGGAAAGGCACTTAGCTGCTCAAAAAGAAAAATAATCCAACTACATGAAGAACATAACGCCACTCAAATTTCTAACGTGCGTCAACTAGGTCAGGTAAACGGTTCACAATTTAAATGCGTTGGACCTGCGAGTTCTTCATCGAGAGGGTAGACTAGAGACAACTGAAAGAAACAAAGCCATGGGGGCCATCCAACTGTGGGTAGGAAGAGGCACTTGAGTCCCAGTTGGTTATCAAATACATGAAGAACATAACGCAACCCAAATTTCTAACGTGCATGAGCTAGGTCAGGTAGACCGTCCACAATTTAAATGCGTGGCTGAGGAGGTAAACTAGAGACAACAAAGAAACAAATCCAGCAATCCTGTAACTGCCTTGCTGCAAAAGGTCAGAACAGGCCTTACCAAAAGTTAGACACGCTTTCATTCAAACTGAAAGAAGCTTTTCCCGAAACTTCTCGCTTAACGTTTATCACTACTGAGAAATAGACTGAAAAATCTCCAGTCACGAAGGCTGACTCATCTGACGGGACAGTTCTGATCAATGACTGTTTTGGCCCGCCAGTCCTGAATAATGGTAAATGCCCGTAAGCTGCGTTCCTACAGCTTAAGAAAACAGCCGACGTTTCGCAACGCGACCACACCAGTGGTTTTCGCCGACTCTAAGAAACCGCGAGCGCAGAAATTCCAAACTGATGACACACTGCTACCCAAATCTGGATTTTGCTTCTGATTGGTTGAAAAATTGCTTCATCCAATAAGAAGCACCATCCAGATCTAGGTAGTGACGTGCCATCAGTATGGAATTTCTGCGCTTGTTTCTTCAGACATCATTTCCCAGGGAAGCATCGACACGTCAGCTGTTTTCTCAGGCTACTTTCCGATAACGTCCTTTACAACACTCCAAGCTTCAACTGAATATCCTCACCACATCTGTGTGTTCCACTCCAGTGCAGGATTCTGGTCCACAGCAATCCCAACTTTTTCCAGTCCACTCTCGTGCTTCAGCGTTCCGCAGAGTTGTTCCCAGCTTCCGCTCCACACACCAAACCCGCAAAGATCGACCTGGTACTGAACATCGTGAATATCATAACCCAGAGCTTGTCGAGTGCTGCGTCCGAACTTGCGAAATTTCTCGTAGTATTCACGGTTCAAAACCGTTCTTGAGTTTGGATTATCAGGGTGAGGAGACATACTAATAGTGGACAACTGGACTACAGCCATGTCTTCTTGAAAATGCGTTTTTCCTATCTCGGAAGAATGAATATCTACCCCATTACTCGCTGAAACGCTTGGGATGAACAGCCTTAAATTTCTCATGTTAACGAACAACAGAGGAAGAAGGTCAATATTCACAGTAACATTTTCAGTTCTATCTGCCTCGTTTTCCTTGGGAAGAAGCAAACTTTCTGCTTTCTCTTCGCCAGTTTCATTCTGGGACAAGAATCGAAACTTCTCAAGCAAACTCAAATCAAAGGAGTTTAACGCCGCTACGATTGGTGGACACCACAAAACAACATCGAAAGGCTGAATGTTTACACGGATCTCGTGTTGATCTTTGAAGTAGTCCTCTTCTTTGACAGGTCTCTCCATGGAACTGGACCTGCGTCTCTTCAAGTGCAAAGACGAGCGTTTGTACATGACCGTGAGAAAACCGTGGGGTCCGTGGCCTGGGATTTCGCGACGACCGCTGGAAGAACGCCTCTTAGATGTGGTCAACAGTGACTTGGAAGAGATGACGTCATTACAGGAGAAAAGTATTCCGTTAAAGCGGCCATGTGCCCAGGACCCATCGGGGCTGTTCAAATGAGTAAAAAAATACGTTAATATCTGGCTGCCTGTGGCGCAGCCCAATTATAAAACGAGCTTTCTTCGTTGAGAAAGAACTAAATAACGGATGGACAACCCAGAAGGCATTGGGTGTCCACTGCAATATGGCCACTCCTTTGACTTTGCTCGGGAGGTAAGGGGTGATTTCCAGAGGGAAAAAATATCTGAAATATTTCTATGGGCGCCCAAGAAAATAGTGGTAGTGGTAGTGGTACTACTACCAGTAATTGTTGTTGTAGTTGTTGACATATTCAAAATAAACAAAAAAAGGGGAAGCAGAGAGACACATAAGGGCCATAGTTTGATAGCTTTTCTAAGTAAACGGAAAATAAACGGCTGAGAAAACAAACTATTTTAGGTGTTATCCTTTTCACCTTTCCTACCTGTGAGTGAAATGTGAAACATTGAAGGCCCCGACCTTGTATTGCATTTGAAGCAAGGTATCCACGTAATCAATGGACGCTGTCAAATCCTCCAGCTCCGCGCTGACGCATACAGCAGAGTTACACGCCGCTGACCGACTGTACAGATTCACTACAACACGGGGCAAGGTCCATTGCAACCACAAAGACACTTGTACAGGATTTAACGGCTACAGAAAAACAAAGTTTTGAGTTACTTTTGAAAAGTAGACCAACGTGATGTTAGGCAAGAGTTTACTGCATCTGTTACAGCAAGGAGCCCAAAAGTGTGACCTCCTTTAATTAACTCACATTCTTTCATGCAGACATTAACCAATCAGACGTCGAGGACAGTTTCCAGCTGGCTTCTGATTGGATTAAATCTCTACGAAGGAATGTGAATAAATCAAAAGCGATAACACTTTTGGGCTCCTTGCTGTAACAGTTGAAACGTTTTTAGAGTTTTCCGCTCAGAGGGAAAACAATGAAAAATACAATGAAGCACTCAAAAGGAAAATCAAGGCAATAAAGATCTAAGCTAGAAAACAATTTCAAGTACTGTATTTTTGTACCCTATGCAAACTGTAGAGACGAATAAAATAAGTTTCTTCAAGATGAATACACGTATGAGGCGGCCATCACCTCAAGAATGTTGCTGTTTTGAGTCACAAATTGGCCCAACTTTTTCCAGTTTCAGTCCATGTCCAACCTTGCCATCCGTAGCAACAGACGTCAGGAAACAGTGTCAATGCCCAGTGCCGTAACAAGGTTAGATTTATTGGGGAGGGGCTCAATCACGAGCGCCGAAGGCGCGAACTGCTAGGGGGATCCGGGGGGAACGCTACCCCGGACGATTTTGAAATATAAGGTCTCTGAAATAGCATTTTCAGCCTTCCTAGAGCATTATTTTCCAGCAATTTTTATCTGACTAAAATCATTCAGTCAGCTTTAACGAACCGAAATGAACACATTGAACCGAAGAGCAGCGTGAGGAGCGTTGCCGCTGACCAAATTAAACGTGCCTGTCAAAATTATTGGGAGGAATCTAGTCCCTCCCCATGCTATTGCACTGATGTCGAAAGAATATTTTAAATAACAAAACTAGACCATTACTGTTTGGATTTCACTTGATGCCAAGACACGTTTCAGCTTTTTAAAAAGATAACAAATAGTGCGACATAGCCCCTTTAAGGCACCTACCAGTCCTTGCCTGAATTCGTTCAAATAACTACGCTATCTAAAGGCAGACACGTAATAAGGCCGAAAGCTAGTCCTGTCCGGGTACGAAACAGTTCACTGTAATGAAGTACCTGCTGAACTTGTGATATTGTTGTTGACGACAGGCTTTCAGAAGGCACACTGTCAGTTTCCAATTGGTCCATACCAGATGATGACGTCAGAGACACTGTCCTTTTGAGACCTGGGGTGGGTGTGGGTGGAACTGAGCCGGGTATGCCGGAAGTAGTGTCAGCGGAAGTGTTTGTGGTGGGGTTGAAAAAGCAAGTTAATAGGAGATTTTCTAGAAGATTGGCTACAAGTTTCATCTGTAAAAGAAACAATACATCATGGTGAGAAACAACCTTTGATCTTTGCAGCGAGAAATAAAATTACATTATGCCATCCAAACTAAGTTACGAACATCGTAATGAGCGGAAAATTGTGAATTATTAACCTGCTTTCTTGAACAGCTGACTTCGATGGGTTGAAAATCCGTGTGAACACAAAAACCAAGAGTAGAAACTCTGCGACCTCCTACACTATTTGGCTTGAGAAATTGTGGCGGAACTAACGAAGAACTTGGCACGGACGAGGTACGAGCCGAGGCAAGTACAGCAGTAGAAGAAACGTTTTCCAGTAAGCAATGTACAACAGGGTGAAAATCCTCTGTAGTCCAAGCTGAATTTCTTTTTACATGTACTGAGTAAACCGCCATCTTTTCTGCTTTAAGCGTCCACGGCAGAGTTTCTCGTCGTGCCATTTCTCTGTGGTAATGTCTAACTGGCAAGGATTGCCTAACCGACATGGGTTCATGGTTTGCACTTTGCAGCTGTACACTTGGAAGGCAGACGACCAAAGTGGAAGGAAAACAATTGCTGTTTGCTTTAAAAGCTTGCAAGGAGTAATTCACAGCGATGCGGCTAGATGACAGGTCATGGATAATATGTTCAGTAGGCATGAAGACTGCCACACTCTTGAGATCCACCTGGGTAAAGAAAATACAAGATTGAGATGAAATCCGAAAAACAACTTGAGCATCGTTAACTGTTACATACTTAGCTACAAAACGACCCTTTTGAGCGACGGAAGTCGCAAGAGGTCGAGTTGTCTCGCCGGCATTGGAATTTAATTTGCATATTGGTGGCGCGAAAATGCACTTTTCCCGTCATAGTTCAGAGTATACTGCACTCAAATGAAAGCAAACAGTTCTCAAATGATTGACAAAGGGTGAGTAAATTTCACGATCTGAAAAGAGTTCTCAGGCCAACCTAGAGCAATAGTAATCACGATAACAACATTTACACATTCCTGCGCACAAAAGTGAGGCTGGGGCAGAAAAACGGCCCAACCGGTCCCTGCTATACTACTAATCAGCTATTTTTTTATACATTGTACTCCCTACTTTTCTTTTCATTGGTTAAGAGCCTACAGGTAATTTTGGAAACCAGTGCAACCTACAGATTACCTCCTCCAATAATTGTCTAACATTTGCAAGTGACGCTCAGCCATACATACCTGAAGTTCCGTGGATATTATAAAGGATAGTTTGTCAAACAGCCAGCTCTCAAAAGCTCTTCTCCCATCTGCCGTCTCTTGAGGGCTATCGCTTGCTGGACTCCGCTTTACTGCGCTCTCGGTTATATCGTTTGTTGTCTTTTCATCCTTTGCTGGAGAAGCAGCCGATCCATAAACTGAAGAATATAAACAGAATCTTATGTGAAGTCAGCTCAAGTAAACTAGAATCTGAGCAGAGTGTGTGCATAGCAGGCAGTACCCGGGAGAAGTAACTGGATGGTTCATACTGAGTGTCCACGATGGGCAGAAACAGATTTCTTGCTGACTATTAAAAGTGCAAGACCAAATGTTCTAAAATACTTAAAAAGAAAACGGTGTCAAATGAAAGTATACTGTTTTTCTTTTTTTTTTTTCAGACAGACTCAAAAGTTATTCCGCCTGTAAATTTAGGCTTTGAACTCCATATACGTCCTTAAGCGCAACTTCCTGCTATCTAAAGGATAAATAGTTAAACATTTTCTAATCAAAAGATTTATTTTATATGACTTGGTACGGTAATAAGACCAAGGCGAAATTTCAGTTGTAATCATTCAGCTAACGTTCACGAGGCGTTATTTAAGTAGACAAAAGCTCTCCAGTTGCCGTGAGCAAATCCTCACTTTGCTGAAACAACCTGAAGCCCAAAAATGCCCAGTAGTTATCTGGGAGATGGAGAAGATAAAAACATACCTCTTGCGAATGACTTCTTTCTGGGAGTTGTTGCTGACTGCGTCCTTGTAAGGGACTGGTGCTTATTAGACTTACTCCTTTCTCGTCCTGCCTTGTGGCGTGGTGATGCAGCTGATGCAGGAGACTGGTGTGATATCCACTTGTAAAGCAGCGGATCAAGGCACACTGTGATGCCCTTGAGATGGAAAAGGACAAGACCACTCACGTGATCACTAACTGGAGGACCTAGTGAGGGGGCACAAGCAATGATCAGGATTAGAAGGGTGTTTACTTACTTTCACTTACTAAGACTAGCGCAGTCGGGAGAGCGCTGGTCCGCGGAACGGGATGTCGCGGGCTCAATCCCCGGGTTGGACCCGGGTGAGGATTTTAAGTCTGCTTTTTCCGCGAACTAATTACGAAGAACCTAGTAGGAGTGGAGAGCAAGTATTTGTGGATATCCCGCGCCCAACTTGATACCCTTCACTTGATTCGATTCGATTCGCTTCGATGAAAGCTATACCTTCCGACCCTTGTGGAGCAAAGAGAAAAAGAATTGTCCAAGAGAAGCCAGCACAGGTAAAATGAAATTCTGGTGCAAATGTGAAACAGGAAAAAGTGATAAGTCGATAAAGTACATTCTGGCTTTCTGTTACAACGGAAGATCTATTCTCTCGACTGAAAGACTGAGTAGTTACTTACCTGGCTGCGTCACAGGTTCACCACTCTTGAAGGCAGCCTGTGGCATCTGAACTGTGAAGCTTAAAACAGGTCCTGTACTTTCAACAATGTTTTCTCGCAGATGGGTTGACCTAAACAAATTTCCGGTGTGTATTTCTGACGTGTCTGATGGACCTTCAATTAACGGTGTTGCTTCGTCGACACCACATTCCGCTACAAAAAAAGGAATAATGGAAAGCAAGAAAAGAAAAAAAATTCATTACATAACGAGAAACCGATAACACGAATCCAAGGTGTACATGTACTAATCAGAACATAACACTGTACTCACATGTGGACTTCAGAGACGCTTCGAAGGCTCCAATCGAACCACTAGCGCCAATCAAATTAAGGGTCTCACAAAACTGGACATCAATGTTTGACACACTAAACTGTAGCTCAGGTTGAAGGGTGACCGATTCTTGATCTGAATTTTGAGAAAAAAAAAATTTTCAATGATGTTAACAGCTTGTCACTTGAGCAATTTGATTGACCTTAATGCAATTAAGGGTGCTCATCAAAAGCGAGGACGGACCGGCCGGACCAGTGCATGTGGTGCATATTGTTTAGGCTGATCTGGCTGTATAGTCCTGGCTAAACCTGAAATTCTCTTTACAACTGGACTGGTCTGGTCGGCCAGTTCGGAGAATCAAAGGTATACGTAAACGCCCTTAGGCACAGCAACTTTCGACAATGATTGCCTAATATTTCCCCGCAGGCCCCACCCTAATAACAACTAGGTCTTGTTACAGGGCATCTTTGGAGCGTTTCATGACTGACTGTGGGTCTTCAAACTATGCGCAAAAATGGGCCTATGCAATGACATTTTTTCTGGTTTGACTATACAGCTTTCTAGTTTGGGTATGTACAGAATGCAAAGAAAATTTAGGTTTCTTTTCTCCCCGTCTTTTTCACTTCTTTCCACGTTTACGCCAAACGGCAGGCGTAAATTTGTGCCACGCGACCAAGTTTTCCCCTTCTTTTCCATTTACTCTTTATTGCTTCTACACAAAAATATCTGCTGATTTTCTGTTCTGAGAAATTGTCAACTTGAGTCTGACGTTTGCCGTTTCTGGTAAACGTGAATCTTAATTTCTACTTTTTACCCACTTTTTCGCTGTAGAAAAGGTTTTCGAGTGAAGACACTGAACAAAGTGGGCATTTTTTAATAAGGTACCAGTGGAGAGTGATTCAATATTTATTTTAATGCAATCTAAAACCAGTCAATTTAATACGCTTCTTTGCCTTTGTCTCATCTGTCTAACGACATAAGTTGTACGCTAATGCCACCTTTGAACGTGAAGTCGTTGATGCCCTCAGGTTCCAGAGGGAAGTTCAGGCGTGAATGAGCCTGCGCCACAGATAAAACTATACTCTGGTTAAGTCCGTCTGCAAAACAGCGCCGAAATCCTTGTTCTAGGCACGTGTGTACCAGGATTTGAGTACACGACATGATTGGCCTGTTAAGAAAGCCATTGTCGATTTCCGATAAGGTTGAAAGGAAATTCGAAACCATTTCCAATAATTCGTTCGGACCGTTGGGGACCCAGAACAATTATTTCAGCGCCACTTCGCAGACGTTACCAACCGGGGTTGAATCATTTCTGCGATGCAGGCTAAGTGTGAATGGTTTAAGGGTATAATATGAAAATGTCTAAAGTTACCGTTTGGACAGAAGGCACTTTCAACAAGGGCTTTTGAAACTGGTGCCACTCTTCCTTCTTTAGAAAAGCTACTGAGCCACGACTCAGCAATGCAGGAAAGTAGTAGAAATTCTGGCTTTCTTAGATGCACCTGCCAGCTGGGAACTTCAAGATGACCTTCCTTCTTCAAGAGTTCAGCTCCACCCCTTTAATACAAAGATACAGCCAAGTGTTATCTTTTACATTATCTACCCATCCTGACCAAATAAACGTGACCAAAAAGGATATATTGTACAAGCACACGGCCTATGTATCACAGCTAAGATATTCTTATTAAATGACAGTTGTCAATTCTAGGTGAAATAACCTATGAAAGCGCAAAACTCGCTTCATCCTTCCTAACTGCCTCCAGCCACATCAGAATAATTTATGGTTAACTGCAAAAACAATGCCTCTTTTATTCAAGTATTCATTTTTATTTAGGGCTGCCATTAAGGATCAGAGAGCCAGATATTTTGACTGACAATAAGATGTTCTGTGCACCACAGTTCTTTGGTCAAAACATGGCACATTGACAGCAAAACAAGACTGTCAGATCTTTGGATCTCCATTTTCACACCTGCCTACAGATTCGTCTCTATTTTATGGCTGGAACATAATTTATGTACAATGAATACAAAATGCAATCTAATGATTGTGTATCAGACGGGTAACCTGCAACAAACTTACCAAATCCCAGGCAGGATGCAGTTTCTATTTGATGCAGCAACACTAAAAGGAGGAATGATGCTCAACACAGGAGGGTCTGTTGCATCTGAGTGAAGCTGGGATAGGCTGACTTGAATACCAAATACCTGAAAAGGTGCATTAACTGAATGAGTAATACTAATCTTTTTTCCTCCACTAATGCAATTTTCGAGCTTATCAGATGCAAAAAAAACCCCTGCCTTTTACAACTTTTTCACTCTAACTGCTGCAAATGTCACTAGATATGTTTCCAAAAATCCGGCTACATGTTTTCAAAAAATTCTGCCAATCATTAAAAGATAAAATAAAAAGAATATAGGACGATGAGAAGAGAAAGAAAGCAATGGTTGCACTCCTAGTTTTTATATTAGCTTACAGACGAAAAAACTGCTTGACAGAAGAAGTCTATTTCAGGGGAGCATTTTCAAAATGCAGCTTGATGATTCTGGCAAACCAGCTAGTTAGAGGCCAAATGACCAAAATGCCAGTCAACATGTAGTTAGAAAATTATGGCATTCTGTAGACCCACACAGAAATGCAACCCTCAAAAAAGAGTCATTTATCTATATGGGCAATGAAGTTATTATAAGTATACTGTAAAGTTCTTGCATTTGCATTAGTGTCTGCACATGCATGATTTCCAGCAACTCAAAAATTAAAAGGTGGAACTGCATCCTCCACTGTTTGTGAAACAGAAGTTTGGGTTTTTGAAGCAATGGTCCCTACATCTTCAATGGCATATCCAACCAGACTGTAATGGCCACTCCCTTTGAATTTAAAAGTTTGGTGATGCCTTTTGGACTAGCAAATGTGCCTGGTAGATTTCAGCAATCAGTGGAGAGATACCTTGTCTTCAAGTGGTGACAGCATTTATTGGCACCTTCAAAGAGACTATAAAAGACTGAAAATTGTGCTATGGCATTATGATGAGTGCAATCAAAAGATGGACAGCATGAAAGTGTTAATCCTTGAAAATCACTTTGTCCTGTCTAGGTCATAGGGGAAAATGCCAAGATGGTTCGTCACTTTTTGGAAAAGTTCATTTATGACAGGGTTTAACTATGAAGCTTGAATATGGAAAAACTGAGTTTGGTATGCTAGACAGATGGTGACTTATCAGAGGTGGCCACACAAGGAGGTAAAAAAGGCAAGTTGAAAATTCAATGTGTGTAGTCACCTTCTTTGGGATCGATGTACAAACCTGGGCAGATGTATCAGTATATGCACACATGAGCATCGCTTTGCCAGCAGGGTACTCTGCATTGGAGATGGTTAGTTTGATGAGCTCTGTGGGATACATGGGTTGATTGATTTGAAGGTCTGCTCTCCTTATTTGAATAATGCATGTTGGCTGTGTAGCATCATGATCTTTGGCCTTAAAAGAAGCAATACTGGATTAACAGGATTTAGACTTGAAATCAGCATCCTCTTCACATAAAGAGACATTAATTTACTTGATAAAACACATTTATTCATATTTAAATGATACACCATACAACCACTCCTGTAAGTAACTGATCATAATAGAATGAGGTGCAGTCCAAACAATCATACAAATCAGTAACTAGGTAAAAGGAGTCTTTTTGTATGATTTACAAAAGGTAGATTGTAGAACATAGTTTTCTGATAAATACCATTCAAGATCATAAATTTTTTAAATAGTTTAAAAAGAAAAGTTAATTGGATTTTGCCAAGATATCAGGGGAATGAGACCCCTACAAGTGCAACTGTCCTCTTACAGCACACTTTCAGTCCTCTGTTGGGAGGAAAAATCACCCTTTTAACTTGATCCTCAGCTAAAGTAAAAACAGACATTGTAAGGTCATAACATACATGTATGTCTTGAATAAATGGATGAATGAATGAAAGAATGAATGAATGAATGGATGAACGAAAGGGAAGGGATGAATGGTGGACGAAAGGGCAGATGACTAGATGGACAGATCAGTGGATGGCTGGATGAGTGAATGAATGAATTAATAAACACTTACGTGAGTGAGTGAGTAAGTGAGGGAGTGAGTTAATGAATGACTGAATGAACGAGTGAACGAACAAACACTGATACACTATTAAGACAAAGCAAGGAAAACATACTTCTTGCTCTTGGATACTTTGTAGTGATAACTGTGATGAAACGGCATGCAGCTCAGTGGAACTACTTGTTTGCATCACATGACCAGCTGGTGGCATCTTTCCATGGTCAGCAGCTGGCAAGGTAACAGTTACAGACACCACTGTGATGTTGACATTACGACTGGGAATATTGCCCGCCAGAAGCTGTTTCTCAATAAACTCATCATAAAATGGCTCAGTTTTCTCTGAAATGGTAAATATTACTGAAACGTTAACATAACATTAATAATAAGCGTGAAAGATCTTTCTCGTGTTTCCTGTATTTCTGCCACAGTTCAAATATAATTATGAACTCTATGAAATTTCTAATATACAGGTTTCTTCTTAAGCAGCAACAATCAATTTTTATGAAAACTTGCATCAATGGTGCCAAAAGACTGCAGAATTTGGAAGATGTCGTCAAACAGGGCTCAAACCCTCAAATGTAGTTGTCAGGCACATGCATACCAGAGGCAGATACCCCACTGCCCTAAACTGAAGGGAAAATTTAAATTTTCCTTTGGTAGTTGTGGGTCAAAGTTGTGCCATTATATGACGACTCTAACAAGGCTAACGTTCTTAATTAAATTAAGGTACTTATGTATACTGTTAATTACATGGCTTCAATATGTTTTCCATTTTATGCACATATGCAAAGATCATTTTGCTGCGAACTTTGCAACATTAAATTTTAATACATTCGCACCTTTCCTGGGCACAATATCTTCAAATGCCAACTTGCTGACAAGTTCTATTCTATGCAACATGCTTGATGACACCTGTACATGTGTTGGACCAAGTATAATTCGTTTAAAAGAGAATTCTTTCACCAGTCGTATTTCACCCACAACCTCTAACTCCCCCACTCCATCTTTGCTGTCCCTGTCTGGATCTTTTTCAGGTTCAATGTCCATTGTGTACAGGTAGTCAAGGAAAAAGGCTCCATATCTTCTTAAAGCTAGGGTTTCATTGTGAAGCTTGAGGAATTCTTCTGCATTAAATGTGAGTTCAGGAACTTCGAGAGAAGATTGTTCAACATTGTCAAAGTGGGAACCTCTCAAGAATCCAGATGAATCCAAGGGATCATGTTTTGGAGTTGTGATGTTGAGAAACATTTCTTCCTGCCGGAAAAGAAATTACAGTAAGACAAAACATCAAAATAAAACTTTCAGGTAAGCTGTTTCTGAATTACGTCCTTAAATTAAAAAAAAAAGAAATTGTCCAAAAAAGATCAAATGAATCTGAATTAATACCAGTACGTTTTTTTTCTGTAAAAAGTATGCAGTTTCTAAAATTTATCTAAGGCAAAAGTGCATATCCTCAAAACAATAAAAGTCACTTTCTGCAATCTAGAACATACAGTATCATTAGACTATCCAAAAGTCCATGTTGGTAGGGTCATCAGTCAGGAGGGAAAACTTTCTTGCACTAAACATTGCTCAAAAAAGTCTTGGACAAGACTATGATATCACATAAAGGTGAATATAAACACTGGAAAAGGAAAATAAATAAAATATCCTTTTTCTAGCTAATTTAAGACTTACCTTTTCCTCCACCTCATTGTTATCAATTGTAAGTGTATTATCCAAACTTCCACAAACACAGTCCCCAATACTCCACCCTGCGATGGACGACACCCCAAGCTGAGTGTCAAAGAAGTCATCACCTTTCATCACAATCTCTGCTGCTGTCCCTGAAAGCTCAAAACTCAAAACTGGCTTAAATTCAAATCGCTGCCCTCTAAAAAAATTGCCCTCACTGACTCTACCAGTAAGCTTAATAGTGACTGTTATGTGACTCACATATAGTCCAAATATGAACAAAGGCATAGGTGGAGGGGTATTAGCTAGTTGCATAGACTGTTCATCAGCAAGATTTGGTACTAATGACCACATCCAATTTACCCAGTCTTCATTTTCATCTGGTTTGGTTTGAATGGGTGTTTGGACATTGCCCTCTTGAGCCTGTGATGACAAACTGGGATTTAAATTAGGAGCAGCCTGTTGTTCAACAATTCTTCTTGCAGGGTGTGGTTTGTAATTACAACCTGGTAAATCCAGACTGCCATAATAAAGACTGACACATAATGTTACCAGTCTCATGAACATTGGAAGCTGTTGATCAGTCAGTGATATGTCCACAGATTCACAATAAACATTAAGTTTTGTTTCAAGAGGTCTTAAGAGGCTGTCATACTTCAGAAGCATTCGACAGCTCAAGCCACACTTGTACAACAGCGGGTCTTGGTAAAGTTCAATTTTCCCACTGGAAGTTCTCTTATCAAGACAAACTGTTAGATCAGAGATATTGCAAACTTTCTGGAGCAAAAAATCTGGAGCTACTACATCAACGAAAGCTTTCTCCCAGTTGCTATTGACGCTGAATGTTTCCGCAGACTTGATGTTGAGTGACAACACAATATCATCCTCAAGGTATTTTACGATAACATTGTGGACGTGAATTGAGACATTGTTTATGACTCGATTAACAAGACTCTGAACATATCCAGAAGGTGGAGCTTCTTCTTTACCCCCTAATGCATTCTCCAGCCCTTCATTTTGTGTTTCGCCAGTTGTTTGAGATTCTGAGACTGTATTTGATGCGCCACCAGGACTATGATCTGGATATCGCAATTGTACAATACACTCTAATGTGTTGATTGTAATCTCTACTGGCTCTGAACCAAGCTTTGTCCATGGTATGTGAATCTGAAGCTTATGAATCTTTCCACTTAGAAAAGTTATGGGCAGCATTAATTCCTGGAAGATGATGATAGATGATTACAATGCGGAAAAAGATCTATCAATGCAGATCAAAATGAATTTACTGAAAAAAGCAAGAACAATTCATAATTTAAAGGGACACAGTCAGCTGATGCACATGCGCATTAGATACCATTTCTTATCTGATTTGCATGTCACAAGACACGCATGTGCAACAGAAAGTGAGAAGCATATCCGGAATACTCTAAACAACCCTTGTAGAGTTGAACTAGTTACAAGCCCAAATCATGATTATAGACCCTAAGCCACATCAGAGCACACATTTTTTATATACCATTGAGAATTCACCGATGGATTTGTCCAGGAAAAGCCAAACATCGATGAATACTTCTGAATTCGATCATCAGTAGAGGTAAGAAATGACAGGAGTCAGCATGAATCACTGTCAAAGGTTCAAGGTCGAGAAAGCTTGATTTTTCAAACATATGTAACCTTTTCCATCGATTTTCCAAATACATATAAGGATTATTTGCTCGCCAGTGTTATTGCAATTGATTCATTCCTTTTGTTATTTTGGTAAACGAAAGCGATTTCTCCCACCTGGCACCTACACATTTCTCACCTCTTCTGTTCATGTTCCTTTGGATACTGTTTTTAACTAAATATGATAAAATAATGTCATAGGATGAGTTACAGTTTGCTCAAAAAGAGGTTTTCTGTAAAAGATCAAGGATCAAATGAAACACTAGGCAAGATTGAAGCGGATTTCCAGATGTAGCTGATGCGTTCATTTGATTTTGGGTTGCGGTAAACTGTTTTCAAACTGACAAAAGTAGTGTCCACGTCAGCGCGCTCCCATAGCTGACTGTGTCCCTAACATGTGAAAGATCATAGGTGCATTTCATGATGATGTAGATCAAGATCGGTGATCCGAAATCACTGAGACCATGGCACATCAAAGGAACTGACGAAAGCACCCTGGGAAAAGATTCATCAATACATTTATTGATATACCATGATCCAAGTGATCTCAGGTCACTGATCCGGATTTCTGCAGACGATTAAGTAAAATAATAATGAAAAATAACTACGCACAAATGTCTCAACGACTGCTCTCTTGAAAGTTGACAGACATGTATATCTCGTGACTTTCACTCAAAACCCACTCTTCAAAGCTCAACTTGTTTCTGTTGTAGCGCAACACGTTGTTAAGATTTGAGAACGTCGCAAAAGTTGTCTAACAAAATATTTTTAAAAAGCGGTATTTCCTTTACCTTTTCTAGCACATCAAGCCTTAGCTCCAAGTTGTAAAGAACAACATCTCCGCCCCAAAGTGACAAACTGAGGTCTGAAGGCTTTAGATTCTTGATGTACTTGTCGACATAGCTCATCAGCAGCGGAGTGATGTAACTTTCAAGCATGCTTTAAAACTCAAATCGACACCTGCACCTTCAGATATGTATAGGAAAGTTCGTCAGTAGCGAAAATAAACCTTTCGTTTTGTAAACAAAACAATGCATTGCTTCCAAATACAAAGGTCTAGAGTCCAGTATTTAAACATCCTCGTCGATCGTTCTAACATCCAAGACGTGTCTGCTTTGGCTGGTCACATTATGGACAGCTCTAAAATACGAATAACGTCCCAGCACGTCCAGGTATCGCAATGATTATCAAATCGTTAACATATGATAGTTTACAACCTCTAAATCCAGCAACGAGGAACAACTTAGTCGAAAATTTATTTCGTTTCCCAAAATTTGTACCAGGCATACCTTGGATAAAACAAGGAATCTCATTGGTCAAATTAGAACAAACCAATCAAAATCACTTTTACATGAAAAGCCACGCTGGCAACCTGTTTCCCTGTCAGCTCGCTGAGCCGTGAAAAAAAAATTCATTTTTGCTGTTAGTTTAACTGGTAATGTAGACCTTCTATTTAGCTGTTTTGAATTAAAAACTGATGAAATAAATATCATTTAACAAGTATCATTAAAGGTATCTTGCTAAAAAAAAATTGCAACACCCTTTCATTAAAACCCTCCCCTCCTTAGGTTAAAATTGTCCGCTTCCCACAATCCAACTCGAGGAGAATTGGCGGGAATAGTAAATCCCTCGGCGTCCAGTTCGTGGTTTTCATTTTGCACAATATGTAAAAGTTTCCCGTGTAGTGTCACATTTTCCCCCTCAAAATCGTCAGTTTTTCGCGGAATTTATACAACTTTTTGATAACTGCTTTACGTAAATAAGATGGCAATGGAAGAGTGCCGCACTGAAGCGAGTGTTGGCGTAGAATACTCCGAAAGCATACACGGTTCATCCGAAGACGAAAACACGAATTCCGCATCCTTCAAGACGCCCGCACAAGCCGAAGGTTGCTCGCCGTCTCAGAGGAGAAAACGAAAGCGAATTTCACCGCATTCGACGCCTAAAGTTGCAGACGGTAAGGTTCAAAACGCTACTGCTAAGAACAAAAGCATGCAAACTTTATTACACATGTACATTAGCGTTTTAACAAAAGCTACATTTGCCTTCGATACGCGACGAGGAAAAACTTGCGTTGTTGCAGTTTAATATTTGTTTATGTATGTGGTAATGTATGTATCAGACCAGTGTTCAAATAAACTTTCGAATACAGCGAAGGTCTAATAATAATATTACCAGATCACCTTTTTACTTCGGTCAAATTGTAAATAGTTGACTGTTCAGAGTAAACTGTTTGAATAGCCCCTTTGCAATGTACAAATATCTTGCCCTTTTTGGTGGTAGGTTTAGATACTATTTTCCCCATTTAATAGTTCTCTCAGTTTCATTACATATGCATCCGCAAATTGGAACTTAATAGACCCTAATACGGTTGGGTGTGGAAGATGCAGGGGGAGAGTCTAGCCTGTTGACTGATTGGGCAGAATTGTCAGACATGTGGCCTGTCTCAAATACTGAGTGACAGTCAGCAATATTGATGATGATGATGATGATGATAGTGATGATTCTTGGGGCAGGGGAAAGCCCGGAAAGGCAGAAGGAGCCTTCATCACCCGTCTTATCCTGTGATAACAACTAGTTGTGGCAGAGCTATGATCACTCCTGTTTTTGCATTCCATGCAATCTAATTATTCACCGTGGTAACAGAAAATGTGCAAGATTTATCAAAAAGCTGAAAGTGTGGTCATTATACTTTAAAGGTAGCAAGATATAGAAAAGGACTGGCTCAAAGAACACAAATCAGTGTCAATATTCCATCCCATGGGCTTTATGTTATAGAGGCATGTGTTGTCTCAGAAGAAGTTGGCCAATGGTAGCATGTATTGAAACCAGGATGTAAACTTTCAGTGTCCAGACCAGCCGGGCGTCGAGCACAATGACTCAGAAAACTAAATCTTAACTTTATTGTGAATTAATGCATGTTCTGATTTTTTTTAACAGGATTTGGAGATAGCAAAGCAGGGGAACTTCTGGAAAATATCCCTGAACTGCAAGACATGTTCACAATAGTGTCCAAAGTTGGAGAAGGTAAGCTTATGGGGATACTGTATTTAATTTACTAACACTACCACCATTTATTGTACTCCTACCCTGCAAGCAGGGCCTCCTTTTATTATCTTGGCTGAGTAGGAGAAAAGAAGGCTTTTCCTGAATCACAGGCTGTTCCTTCTTGAATCAATCTTGTTCCCTAAAAACTGCCCCCGCCTAAGACATCCACCTTTATTACGGCCAATTTTTTCAAACCAAAGTAAAAACATTGATTTTTATTATTTTGAATCTTGTTCCCAGGATTTTATCATGGTCGTAAACTTCCAGTTGTTTAAGTGTAGTATCCATTTATTGATAAACCAACAGTCACCAGGGTTTGCATGCACCTTGAAAGTCCTTGAAAATTACAGTTGGTGCTGGCAAGTCCTAAAATTTCAGTGCTAACTTTATCCAACCTAGCAAACACAGAAAGACCTTCAGGATAATGTTGGTCATAATCATTGTGAAAGAGGTAAAAAGAACATAGACTCAAGGCTTCTTTTTAGCACTGAATGGAGTCATTGAAAAATGGGAAATGTGTCCTTGAAAGTCCTTGAAAAGTCCTTGAATTTTTTGTTCAGAAAAGGGTATGAACCCTGAGTCATGCTCTACCAAAGCCCAGGGCTGCTATGCGTGGGTTTCAAACTGTATCCCATCATTAAGCAGCACATGCTCTACAAAGATTGTATTGATTCACGCACAGTCTTTTTTATGTATGCTTAAATTGATCAAGGGAAAGAAAGATTCCCTAGCATGGTGCGCTTCTACATTTCAAAACTGGCATTGCTCATGGCTGTTTTGCTTCTATGGATGCAAATGTTTAGCTATATTTTGTCTTTGCCTTATGTGAAGTGCTGTCCCACCCTACCACCTAATGGTTTGTATCTGTTACAGTAGGTCTCTTTAGGTAAAACATGCATCTCGATTGAGTATCCTCAGTATGACTGGTCCCGTATAAGTGGGGTTATCTACTACCCATGTTATGTTAGGCTGCTATTGGTTACCTCCGCATCTGGGTCTGCTGATTTTGCTAGGCTTTACCTGTGTTGCTCATTGCTAGTACCTACCATGCTTGTCTCCTTTGCATATTGGACTATATTGGAAATTTATACTGTGAATTATATTAATTACATCAACAATCAATATTAATAATATTAAATAATATTAGAAGCAAATGCCTCTAGTAATCACTCTCTGGTTCATTTGCAGGTACTTTTAGTAATGTTTACCTGGCTAGAATGAATACATTACCAGATGTTCTGTGTGCTTTAAAGCACATTATTCCAACTAGTGGTCCTGCAAGAGTTCAAAATGAATTGAAATGTCTTCAAGATATTGGGTAATGTATATTATTTTTGTGCTCAGTATATGACCATAAAGGTGGGTGAAATGCATATGATAATGTGATGGCAATGGTGGTTACACTGTAGGTAAATTCGGGGCTGTCAAAAAAGTTTTTAAATACCAGGCTGATATTATGAATAGTGGACGGCTTTAGAACTCACACCAAAGACACAAGTTCTTGAGGGATGAGGCATCTAGGGACATTTAGAAATTTAGAGACTCGGAAATCATTGGCATTTCCAGGGGTTTTCAAGAGGTGTTTTCCACTGCAGACATCATGTTGTTTCATCAGAATACATGCAGGACTAGGAACAATGCTGTTAAAATGTCCCAGGCATTGCTTGACATCGCACAGTATGAACGTTTCACAGATGTAAACCTTTAAATATGCGTTCAATCTCATTCAAAACTGGTAAACGGATGCTTTACAATTTTGATTTTACTCGATGGTGCTTATTTTTTGTTAGCAGTTATGGTAGAAAGTGATGAAAGTAGCTGGCAGTTTTGTCAGCTACCAGCCCTTATATTGACAGTCCTGGGTAAAATCAATCTCAAGTTAAATCACTATTTAACCTAGTTTGATTCAGAATTTCTGTTGTGAACTCCTTATCCTAATTTATTCAAAGGAGACAAAGGAAACTCTTGTTAAACCTCAGAACAGAATCCGATTTTAACTAAAACAGATATATCAGTTTAACAGTTCAAGGCTCTTCCTCAGTGTACTCTGAAAGGCTTAATCTAAATTGGTTTTCTCCACCCCAGTGCTGCAAAGAAAACTTGCACAAACTGTCAGATATCTAAACAAAATATTACTGATGGGTCACCTTGTGATGTTGCTTCAGCCCAGAGCCGAAAAGATTGAAGCCTAGCCTTGAAATAAGGGGCACCAAACAATGATTTCCCCCTAAGTATGTTGAAAACACTTTTTAGGCTATCCAGAGTAGTTTTAGAACTCTAGAAATACATTCTAAGCACTACAAAATTTATATCTGTTCGGTTATCCTAGGGGACTTTAAGTCTTTTTGAAATAACAAGGGCTTCAGCAGGGTTGTCAAAAGTAGCCAGCTACCGGCGAAAATCGCCACCTTGCTTAGTATCAGCTGGCTACTCTGCTTAGCATTTCTTTACGGGTGACATTTTTAAAATAAAATATCCCTGGACTGGCTGCTTACTTTGACAACTCAGCCGTCTACTTCAAAACTTTCTGACAACCCTGCTTCAGAATAATTTTCCCAAAAATTTTAGATGCAATTTATCCTTTTACGAAACTGAGAATTTTTCTGATTCCTCTCTCAATCACATTTTTGAATCCAAAAATTTTAGGTTTCCTTTTTCTATGAAAAACAGCATTACTTGGGGAGTGAAATGTGAAATATTAAGCTTCAGAAAATCGTAGGGAATTTGTTACATATGTCTCAAAAAAGAATGTGCATGAATCAAACAGTCATCTAGAACAGGGTTCGCACAGTCTTGAAAAGTCCTTGAATTTTAAGGGGAGTCCTTGAAAAGTCCTTGAATTCCATTTTTCCTTGAAAAGTTCTTAAATTTCTGTGCAAGTCCTTGAAAAGAGCTTGAATTTTCTTCAACTTTGAATGCAGTAGCCTGGAAAGAATTTTTTGATGCTTTTTGGTTGTCCAGGACAGAATATAATTCGTAGCTCAGTGAATGTAAAGGTCATTTACATAAAGTGCTCCATGTTTTAGAGATAATTAACTATCAGTTTAAGACAAGTGAACTGAAAAATGTAGAGAATTTGGTGAAGCAAACAGTTAAAGCCTTAAAGTCTTAAAGTCTTATTAGAATATACTGGGAATATGCATTTTTGTACAAATCTGTGAAATTATATTCCTAGTAGGTTGTCCTTGAAAATCTAATGTGGTCCTTGAAAAGTCCTTGAAAAATGGTTGCAATTGTTTGTATGAACCCTGTAGAAATTTGTGGCCTCAAGCAATAGAAAATTTGAGGCAGTATTTGCTTCTCCAAACAGAAAACAGTCGTTGGGTGCCCCTGTTGAAATATCAAGTGTTGCAGTGATCTTTCTATGAGGAACATTTGTTTCAAGGGTAACAAGCACCTGGTAGCTGAGAGGACATTTTCTCTGGATATCAGAGACACCACGCAAGTCATTACATGTACTTCCATTGCCTGTGGTATTTTACATGTAGAAAGTTATAATTCTGATTCATTATTTTGTTATTTTTAGGGGCACTGACAATGTTATTGGAGTTGAATCAACTCTTAGATGCAATGATAGTATGGTATTTGTGTTGCCTTATTTTCCCCATCAAAAATTTCAGGTAATTGTAATAATTGACCTGAGTTGTTGGAAGTGATTAGTGTCAGCCAAAACATAATAAATTTTCACCTGCTTCCACTGAAGTTTTATGAGATTACATTCATTATCCCCTATTAATTCCCATATGTCACCATTCAAATTTCTCGTCCCATTTTATGGTTACCCAGTAATCTTGTTATGTACATCACATCATTGTTTTTCAATAATGATGGCAAAATGGATAAGACGTTCAACTCTGGCATCAGTAAAACCACTCTTTATTGAAGTTTGCCTCTCTATAGTATAGTGGTTAAAGAAATATTAATTTTATTACTTGCTTTGTCAGGAATACTTCTTGGAAATGAGTGTCTGTGAAATCAAAGAATACATGAAGAACCTTTTTATTGCCTTAAAAAGAGTACATTCGTTCAATGTAATCCACAGAGATGTAAAACCAAGCAATTTTTTGTACTCCAGAGAAACAGGAAGGTGAGCTTCTCACATGTACATGGATGACTTCTGTGGTTCCATAGTTATTGTTATATTCCTAGACTTTCACTCAACTAAACAGGGACTGCCATTGGTTGATTCTTGGTCACGTGGCCTTGACTAAAATCAAATGTTTCGCGATCGTGATACATTAAGGTATCAGCCACCCTTCAGGACCGTCCGCGCGCGGAGCGCTGTAGCGTTAGTTGTTTTCATAAAAACCCCTATAAACCGTATATTTTTTAAAAGCTTAATAATTCCAGATTATGGATTTGAACTAACAAAAACGATTTACTTAAATGTGTTTCGAAATTGGAACGCTTTGTGTAAAAGTACACGTCTCTATAAATCATGTTCCACTCCCGCCGGAAATAAACGGAAGAAAACAATTAACAACGCATTCGCTTCTCAACACGTTCCACTAAAAAACCGTGTCTCCGATTTTTGACAAGTGCGTTTGTTTTTCTTTTATTAGCAACTGAAGTTGGGGAAGGCAATTAGTCAACACTCCCTGTGGAAAAAAAGCTCTAGCTTTAAAATGAAAAGGTGTATTAAAATTCGCAGACACGGTTTTGTAGAAGAGATATATGGCATCACTCTGGCCAAATTTTAGCCAAATTGATTGAAAGGCTGCCGACTTGGAGTTTAAAACGTACGAGTCGATCGGCAAAATTTGCGTTCGGAGATAAAATAGAAAATACATTTTTGGCGGCATCCTACCTGGAATGAGATTATAACACCTAAATGTTTACTCTGATTGATATCAGAGAGGGATCAATTTTCTCTAACAGTAGGACTTTGACAGGTAACTTGTAACAAGAACAAACTTTTTATTGCTATCAACATCTTCAAGTGAACAGTTTAATTCTCCGTTGGAAAACTTCCACTCTTTTACACCACGAGAAGCACAGTTTAATTCTTTCTCGAGCAAAAGTTTTGCCTCTCCTTCGATCTTTTTTGTATGATTCGCCGAGGCGTTTTTGTTGACGGCGCCAGGCCAAGGAAACTAAAAAACTTTGAAGGCGCCGAATGTCCACCACCGATTGCTCGAAGGCCAAGAACTGAGGCCCGGTATATTTCAAACGCTCTGCTCTTCTCGGAAGAATTAAAAACAGAATTTTTCTTGTGCGACGGACAGCTTTCATTCTCCCACTGGATTCTCCAGGTAGAACCAAGTCCATGCTTAGTCGCTACATTTTCCATGACTTGGACTCTTACCTGGCAAAATCGACAAGATACAGACTCGTCCAGTTTCTCAAGCAGCTTTTCGCTCGATACGATAGCTCGACCGCTTATTGTTTTCCACGTTCCATCAGCAGATGGGGTCGATTAGCTTAATTGGCTTTCTTCATCTGGCTCTTCAAGCTGGATTTTGGAGCGGCTTGCACTCTCAGCAACTGCAGCAACTTCTCTTGCTGATAAAATGAGCCTTTGTCGCTCTCTGCCAATTTTGCGGACCACTCTTTGTCAAACTCGCTCTTCGATTTCGGACACGAGCTTTTCTTTTTTTTTTTTTGGCAGCATTTTCACCGAAGCAAACGGTAAATATCCACGAAGAATACTAAAGGCTATAAACAACGCGAAGACAATTCGCACGTGTTGTGTCGAGGCACGCACTCTGTATCACGTTACTAGTTCACAGGCAAGTTAATTGATATATGACACGGGTATGACAGATCTTGTCAACGATCAATTAAGATGGTTAACGAGCAAAAATCTTTTAACCCAGATATCTTTCGACAGAAATAATATTTTCTTCTGATTTTTTTTTTAAAAGAAAGCTCTCAAGCATACCTATTTGAAAACGTTGAAATCTCAAATATGGAAAAATGGCAATTTTAAGGGTGGCTGATACCTTAAGCAATGTACCCCGCTCGGGCTACATTACAGCACATGATCAAAGCATGGTTGAAAGTGGTGTGACAGAAGGCAGGAAAAACACTGCCAGTTTTCTTTTTTGTGAATGAACACAACAACTTGAACACAAACACGAAGCCTCGAGCTAAAAAGCAATGATTTTTAAAGTCATCCCAGAAGAGAAACAGCAGCTAGTGGAGGAAAAAGATGCAGATAATATAAGGAAAGTACTTTATAAATCATTCATTCAGTGGTTTTAAGAATTAAATTTGTGTTGTCAGGGTGCAAAGAAAGTCAGTTTTACAGCCTGCCATTCGGGCAAGCTGTAGATAGCATGTACTAGCCCACAAGTCATTTCAACTAGCCCCAAAACCCTTTTTGAAATTTGGCAGGATTGATAACAATCCTTCTGTAATTTGAATTTCCCGTCAGGCAAGTTAAGAACAAAAAGCACTAGCCCGATAGCAAAATCCACTAGCCCCGGGCTATCGGACACGACTTTCTTTGCACGCTGGTTGTTATAAGTACCTAGTCGACTGTTTTGGTTCGCTCTGGTTGTTCTTTTGTTGCTGTTGAAGTGAAAGGCTAGAAATATAACAAAACACTTAATGTCAGGTCCCTCGGGAAACCAGTTAGTTTTGTTTTCCCTCGAGTCCTGATGTTTCCGAGACAAAGTGGAGGAAAACATCAAGACTCTCTGGAAAACAAAACTGTTTCCCTCGGGTTTGTATCATACTGTTCGTCTTCAAATCAGGCTGCAGAGGTTAAAGTAAGATGTAGCATCAGAGAAATCATTAGTTGTCATGAAGTAGAGTTTATTATTGGAGCTCATGACTGACTGCCCTTTTCCAGACAACAATGAGATTTCTCATTCTTTCCTTGATAGACTGCAAAACAGTCCGTATTTTTGCGTATTCAAGTATGCGCGAGCAGTCAAACAAAAGGTCTCAAACAAGGCTGAAAACAGAGAGAGAGACTGGGGAGAGACGGTTTTTTCTCCCTTGCCTCACACACCCTACGGGCCTGTGAGGCTCGCGCGCTTCGCGCGCGTAAGACTCTTAAGCCACACTTTACCGATTTCTTTACTGATTTTGAGAAAAAAACCAACTGTTTTGCAGTCTATTTCCTTGACTGATTAATTGATTGATTTTAATTTGATTTAGATACCGACTTGTAGATTTTGGTCTTGCCATGAAAGTCCCTGGCAGCAACAATTCTCTTCTTGGTGAGTTTATAGTCATTCATCGCATTTATGTAGATATAAAAGGGCTTGCATTGCTCACTGAATTCCAAAATGCTTTCCATCACTCATCACCCTGGTGATCCTTGATTAGCATATTGCTTGTTTGCCTGGTACACCTGAAGAAAACAAAATATAAAAAGCATTCCCAGATGGGGGTACTTCCAGTAAAAAATCACTATACTGAGCTAGACATTGTTAATACATGCACCCTGCCCCCTCGCCACCACCACCACCGAAGAAAAAGAAAAACAAAAGTTTTTGTCCCAGACATCAACACATGTCAAACTCCTTGATATCCATAATCACATTTTGCTAAGAGGGTGTTACAAGTCAATTGCAAACATCATCTTGAAACATTTTGTACAAAAATAAATGGTAGTGAAAGTCCTGATAAAGATAAAGCCTCTTTCTGCTCATTGTACTATAATAAGTATTATTAATTCTACTTTATGAGGAAATGAAGAGCTAATATAAGAAAGAGCTAAGAGCAAAAACAACACGGGGGAGACACACAGATAAAAGTTAGACTTGGTTTATCCAATTTATGTTGTTTTTGTCAGAGTGGGCAGAAAATACGCGTAGCTTTTATTAGTAACTTTTAACAGTACTATTGCAACAGATCCATGAAATGCACCTCCGTGATTTTCTTTAATAGACAATGCTACAGTGCAAGTGATTAATACAACTTGTATTTGAACTTTTACATGTATTTCAGATTCTCCTAAGGAACTGAAGAAACAAAAAAGGACCCTACAATCTCCTAAAACTACTTCCCAACCTAGACGTCGAAGCTCACGCTTGTCTCCTCAAAATGAAAATAAAGACCAGACAGGAGGCAAAGTTGATGAGGAACGCATCCTCAAGCCGCGTTGTGTAAACTCAGCTAATTGGCAATTCACACACCAATCCAAGGACTTTAAAGTCCCTTCAAAGACTGCAACATCAAAGTTAAGGCGCACCTCTGATGAGAAGACAAACTCTAAAGATACATTTAAACAGGCCCAGGTATTGTGCCCTCTGAGACATGGTCCTAAAGATGTGTGCACCATCTGTATGGCAAGGTAGGCTGTGATAACCTTGTCTCTCTTAAGCAAACTCACATTAGAGATCGAGCTTTAGATTAGAGGACGAGAACGACTACGAGTACGAGATTTGACTAAAAACAATAGATACCTGCGAAAGCTTCATCCTACTTTTAATTCACCAAAAGAGTGAGCACTGTTATCTTTATTAAAGGAGGTCAAGCCTGCTCCCAATCACAAAATGATAAAACTTGTAACATTTTGTTAACTCATTGTTGCTCATTGTTGCGCCATGCTGGCTCAGGCAGCTGCAAAAGCAATACTCAATATTGAGAGAATCTTGTTCTCGTAGTCATTCTCATTCTCATCTTTTTGTATAATTCTGCCTAAATGACAGGTTTGTGCTCCAATGTGGAGGCAGGTGGATCAAAGTTTGTGCACCAACTTGTATGCTGGGCACCCTGAACCTTTATTATAGGTTCAACGCTCTACACAGCGAGCGGCGCTTGAACAATCTTATAAACTCTGGACAAAACACTTTGTTTAAAAACACACAATATTGAGAAAATCTTGTTCATGTAGTCATTCTCGTCTTGGAATCTAAAGGTCTCTACTGTCAGTTTTTGTATCATTCTGCCTAAATGACGGGTTTGTGCTCTAATTATTTGATGTCATGTACATAATTGATATTTTGTTTCTTAATTTTATCCAGGGGCCATCAGAATACTCCACGAGCAGGCACACCTGGATTTCGGTCCCCAGAGGTCCTTCTCAAGTACCCTCAGCAGTCTCCTGCTGTGGACATGTGGTCAGCAGGTGTCATCTTTCTCTCTATACTCAGTGGGAGGTACCCATTCTTTAAAGCTTATGATGACCTGACAAGCTTGGCTCAAATCATGACTCTGTGTGGAACTGGTGAGGCAGCTAAAGCAGCTTTCAAGTTAGGTAAGCTTCATAAATCTTACCCTTTTACGAGGCTGAGTTCTAGAAACAAAATTGTAGAAAACCCAAAAGATTGGAACTCTCAAAATCCAGCAGGTGCTTTGTGGTGAAAGTAACTGGCCAAGGGTCACTGGAGGTGCTAGAAAACTGCCCTGTTCTTTCTTTTACCATCGAGAACGTACAAGTTTAAAATACACAATTATGAATTAACTTTTTTCTTAACATAATTTTAGCTTTATTTCGAAAGGTAAATCGATTCAACTGGAAAAGAACGCACTTGTCGGTCTATAAGACAGGTGCAAATTAAAATTATTAAAACCCTTAAACTAAAATCAGGGTTAAAAAACAATCGTCTGTTAGGCACTCTTCCGCCTCCAGTAACGCGTATGAAATCGACTGATCCGTTCACTGATTTAAGGTTTTAACTCTATGAATGAATGGAAACATCCTTAATAAATAGTTGTACGGGAATGGTTTTCGTCGGTATGATAAGATTTTCTCGGTGTCTCCGCATACAAAGCAAGGAAAGCGTTTCATGTATTTATAAACGGCAGATTGACAGTTTTTACCCAAACTGTTTACGCAACCAAATCCAATAAACGTCAAATCCAACCCTTTTGAAAAAGATATAGGGCGTGGACGAGATGACTTTTGGGCCTCTTTCCCAGTTACCTTAATGTCGTATGAAATGATAAAATATATAAATTTTATAAAATTATATTGGAACCGCTATTTGAAGAAATAAATGCAAAGGAGATCATCGCAGTTAAAGACGCAACTTATGCAGTTGCGAAAAGAAAACCTGGAAAAAAATTCAGGCTTGCTGGGATTCGAACCCTGACCTCTGCAATACAGGTGCAGCACTGTTACGTGGTGTATCGATACTTTCCATGAGCTCCAGGTAAAGTTTGTTTTATTTCGTCTTTGTTCGCATACTGCACATGTGTTGTGGCAATCTTCTAATAGTTTACTTGACCTTACCTTTCACAGGCAAGGACCTCAATTTTAACTCAGATTGCCCATCTGGAAATCTTAAAATACTTTGCACAAAGCTAAGGAGAGGGGCTAGCAAAACGCCCACCGTGAAATGTTGCGTGCGGCAGCCAACTTGCGGCGACAGAGAGCAGGCTGACGTCCCATCAAAAAGATTTAAGCGTAAAACAAGATCGCCACGTGGATCCCACACTGAAATACCTATCGTTTCAAGTTCTTGGCATCAACGATGCACGATGTGTCAGAAACGAAACCCTCTGTGCTGTGTATCAATTCCAACTGAGGCGGAACTATCTGAGGAAACTCGACAACATACGAATGCATCTCGTGAACAATCGGACAATGCGAGGTGCATTCATCTCGACGGCAGCAATTGCGCCTGCTCCTGTTGTACTTGCTGTTGGGCAATTGAGGATTCAGCTTATGAACTACTAGAACGATGCCTAGACTTGAATCCACACACCCGAATTACTGCTGCCGAGGCATTGGAACATGCGTTTTTCAAGAATGCGCTTTGAATTTAAGTCCCCCATGAAATGGTTATCAGATGACATACATCCCACTTGCAAAGTGGAAATGTGGTATTTCTTGGTAATTCAAACATAATATAGGGTTTCAGGGCTGCAAATAACGGCCGGTCAACGGACAATGTCCGGCCTGATCGTGGACTTGACCGGTCAAACTCCGGTCTTGCCGGTCATTTTGACCGGTCATTTTTGTATATAAACATTTTATTTTCAATAGAGTTGTCGCTTAATGCTCTATAACGCTGCAATGATTTCTTTTTTCTTTGGCGTTTTTTGCTGCTTTGCACTTAACCCTTCTAAGAAAAAGAATACCGCAATAAATTAATTTCATGTCGTCATGTCATAATGAAACGCAACAAAGTGAATAACAAACTGAGTTAAAAAGTAACGCAACGTTACAAGTCGTACTGTACTTTCGGCTTTGCTGTAATCAGCAATGTGACCTTCTTCACTTCTTTGGGAATTCGAAGGAATTCAGGCAAATGGATTGCAACAGGTCGTCCTGTGTTTCTCCGGGAATAAATGTTAGCGCATCGATTAATAATAATTTCTTTTATGTCGAACATGAATCTCGTTTGCAGACTCGATTCCAGAATGGTCTGATAAAAATTTAAGCTACTCAAGACAAGAGGGAAGGTCGTCGTCTATCGCGGCGCTAGATTCTCGTTCTTGTAAACAACTTTATGCAAATTTCTGTTGACATTTGAGTCCTTCGCGATAAAATGTTGCGCGATCACCCAAATTTATTTATTGACTTCTGATCATCAACACGCTGTTTGTGGAACAAACTTCTCGCCAATGCAAATCAACTTCTTTGCCGAAAATATCAGCGACGATTCTTCTTTGAGGAAGTGACTTTCGATCACGTGCCAGGCAAGGAAAAAGATCACGTTTCACCGATGTTCATTTCGGAACATCAACGTAAAACAAGCGTGTGCAGATTTTGTAAAATAACCCAATTTTTTTGTTTTTTTTTTCCGTAATTTCTAAAGTTTGCTGAACTGTATGTGTATTCCATTTCCTGAACCTTGGGAGTTTGAAAAGGATTTACACTTCACTTTTTACCTCAAGAGACTTCAGACACCGCCATGCAATGATACTCAAGGTAGAACGTAACACGAAAACGCGAAAGCCGCGGAAAGGAACTCTACAACGTGCGAATGCATTTTTCACCAATTTGCTGTCAAAAATGTGAATGTCAATGTAGTAATAACGATCTATTGCCAGCATAATTGGATATTCCTTAGGCAAAAAAAAATTATTAGTATTCATTATTTGACCGGCCAGAATCGGGGTTTGTCCGGGCTAAAAAATATTTGGCCGGTCATCATGTCCGGCAACCTGCTGTCCGTTATTTGCAGCCCTGGGGTTTAGGACAAACCGAACGGTCAACTGGTTTAAAAGCGAACTATAAGAATCCTCTCTCATAGTTTTTCTCAAGTGCATGTACAGTATTAGACTTCCCTGCTAGCAGAGGACTCTTTTACCTGGTATTCGGCAGGCGGGAGGGAGAGTCTCTTTTCCTCATCAGGGCTCGAAAAAACTTAATTTGAGCTTATCTTTTGATCAGCCAGTTCTCACATTTTGCTTGCTGGGAAACTACCCACCTAGCCATCATTTTGCCGTAACTTAATGTTAGGGTAGGGGAGGCTTCCCAGAAACGTATGGTAATCCGTTACTTCAATGCCCTGCAAGAAAATCTACTTGTCCCAGACTACCGGCCGGGACTTTTTTCGAGCCCTGCCTACGCCCGCCGAATGCCAGGGAATAGAGGCCTCTACTAGCACTGGGAAGTCCTCGGCAAGTTTTAAAACACCAAAATTACAGTTTTCCATGTTTTCAGGGCATTGGTGGGTTAAAGATCGATAGCCATTTCTTGGGTTGAGAGTATTTCCAATGGTTTATCAATTTAACAAAGCAAGCATGTATATATTTATTTAATCAGAGTACTATTACACTCATGACAAATATGGCACAAAGAAATTCATGACAGAGTTTACGCACCTACGTAGTTTAATTGTATACATTCGTTAATAACATCCCGTAGTTAGAAAAAGATGAGTGAGGAGTCCTAGAGCAAACAATCGGTTAATGACACTTACGCGTTGGAAAAGAATCGTACATGGATTCCTGAATTTACACTAGTATTAGATTTTACCGTATATAGTTGTATTTACTTAATAAAATAATTTATTCAGTACGTGTGTTGTTCAGATTTTCATGTCAACAGAAAATTAAGCTAGATTAAGGTCGGTCACAGCTGGTTTGAACCAGACTTGCTTTGTTAACGAAAAGAAGTATAAAAAAGTTTTGTTTTGAATTTCATCTTACCAAAATAGACTAGGACATGAAAACATGTGGGGGTCGTATTTCCTGAATGGATCCTTCCCTCGCGCGCTCTACTTGGTTAAAATATTTTACTATTGACCTGGCCCTGGTTGTTCAAACGTTGGATAGCGCTATCCACCGGATAAATCACTATATAGTGGATAAGTATTAGGGAAAGCGATTAAGCTATCCGCTGGGTAGTGATTTATCCGGTGGATAGGGCTATCCAACTTTTAAACAACTGGAGCCTGGAGAGAAAGTCTGTATTCGTTCGAATGCACATTCCTTTCTGGCACGGCATGAAATCTATTTGCACTTTCGTATTTTTGTTACGTATGTGTAAGATGTAATGGGCGAAATATTGGTTGAGAAGTCGAGAGTTGCCAGTCCTGAAAGTCGAGGTCAATGGATCAATCCGTGGCTTTCATGTCACATCACGACGGCCATGTTGGTGAGCAAGATAAATTAGGGGAGGGGTAGATGAACTTCTTACACCGGTTCAATTTCTCCGGTGGAAACTAAGCACATTTGTGCAAATGATTTGCGAAGACTTTGTATTGAATTAAGAGGTCATGTTAGGACTCTTGGAGATAAGAGTGAGCTTCACCAACAATTGCAATAAGGAATTGCGGGTAATTGACAAAATAATTTTGGGGATAAAGGATAAGTTAAGTATTGCTGTAAATAAATTTCTTGAAGAGGTCGAGTGTAACAATAATTCCAAAGAACTAAAGAACGAAAACATGAACAAGAGGCCTGCCTACGGACTTCTCAGTTGGCAAGGCCAAAAAGGAACAAAATGTTAAGAAAACGTCTACACTAACATTGCCGCCATGCCACGTGAGTGCCACACCCGAATGTTTTGTACAGTATCAGTAGCGAAAAGCTTAAGCCAATGCTACTTGTAAGAAAAAAACTGTTACAACTACGTTGACAGAGGAGCCACTACTGGGACTTCTATCGACATAAGCAAACAAGGCCTTGGCAACAGGATGTTCCTGGTCAATCTGCCATGTCATACAACGAAGACTTCCCCCAAGCACGGGTACTTTGCCAGCATTGTACACAGGGATGATATCTTTGTTAGTGTTGTTCTTGAAGGCCGCAAAGGCTATGTCATTGCTGGTCTGATTTGCAAAGAAGGGCAGATAAACAGCGTTGTTTGTCACCAAGGAGTTTGCATAGGAACCTTCGGCTGAGACAAATCCTTGTGTTTTCCCCTTCTTGGCATAGCACGGCAAAGGAACTACTGTGAGGTTCGGGAAGACGTCAAGGACAGCAGTCTCCATGGCGTCGTAAAAGCTTGGTCCATCGGCGTCATCAAATAATGAAATCAAAAGCGTATTATTTTCGACGAATGTCACGACTCCATCGGCGTGTCCTGTAGTATCTTCTGGGTCTGGAAGGACTACTACTTTTCTGTGTATAGCGGTTTCTAGCTTGTTGACGAATTCCTGGTGAAACATGGTAGGATTGTCATCATAAGTCCTGGCAGTGGTGATGGCTATATCAACGCCATTGTCCACAATGTTTCCTCCTTCCAGAACCAGATCGCTACACCTGAGCTGAGGTAACCCAACAACGCTGGCAAATTTCTCGAAATTTCCCTCGTCAAATTTTGCCTGCTCGGTTGAAATATATTGTGGTCTGTACTTAAATTTAACCTGCTGTTTTGGCATGGTGGGCGGAAAATCCCTCATCCACATATCTAAGGACTGTTTCACTTGAATAAGACGGGCGTTGGTGAATTTGTGGTTTTTTAGGTACTTGAGGCCTGACTCATCGTGGACGATAAACAAATAATCTCTACCTTTGGTCTTACCATCCATTTCGATAACAAAGTCGGCAATAAACTGCAAGTTATCGAGGTACTGGACATCGCTTTCACCAGGAAGTGATACAACAATGACTTGTTTCTTGCTGTCGGTACTGCGAAGAAAAAGAGAAGAGATTAAATGCACGGAGGTAACGCAGCCGGTAAGAACTTGTCACATGTTTCTGAACCATTTGCATAAAGTACACTTAGATGAGTATGATGGAATAAGGGATACATTCTTTTATGAAGTCTAGGTTCTTTTTTGTACGGCCTCAGGAGATATAGTTTCGAGAAGTGGTGATGATGGATATAATTTTTAAAACTAAAGATAATCTTTGTTTGTACTTTGTTTAAAAGTTGGTTGTCGTCATATTTTACAGTTTGTGTATTAAATGTGCTGGAATATCTCAAGTACTGACAAGGGCCAGTTTGAAACTCACATTGTAAACCAAGAACCACAGATTTTTTCGCGAGCAGCTAGTCTGTGAGCAGTCTCACTTGTGCGAGTTCAGGGAAAATTTGCACAAGCGGGCAGCTGCCTGCAGGCTCGCGGACAGAAGACCTTGTGTTTCCTGTTCAAAAATTTTGAATGAAATGTGTTCAACGTCGTTCATGCATGCATACATCTATCTGCACAGTCACAGTCGTCTCTTTCATTACTAAAACTAGAACCACTACGTGGAACTTACCGGGGCCCAGTGGGATACGGGATTGCATAGATATAGTTTACCTCTCGCACCCCTCCCCCCTCCTCTGTGGAGGCTAATACTTAGTCTGAATTAACTCATGCAGAAGAAAAGCAACAAAATGCATGAGACAGGAGGATGTTGTTGTAAGTTTGTTCAGTGTTATTACAGCTAACGGTCTGTGTTATAGTAGTGTTTTTAGTAACACTGTGATGTCAATAAGTGTGATCTGTATAAGGTTTTCATTTGTTTTTAAGTTTGAGTGAAAAGCAAAAAAAATCACTGACAGTTTTGGGTTGAATGGTAATGACAAAGTTTGCAAAGAAGTTTGTTACAGAATTATCACAATTTCACATTTTCTCAAGTACGTTATCATCAGGTTTATCATTGAGATTTATTAATCACATTTATCTATTTTTTGCGAAAACACTGTGAATTTGAAATGATAACAGACATAAGACATTTTTGAAATAGATCTTTGTGGTCATGGATTGTTGTCTTGCACTGTAAAAAATGTCATCCAGTGTTATATACAGACATAATAAAATGCTTATTTATTGATGACTGAGTATCATTTGTTAATTCATTGCACATTGAAATGGAGGCACTTGATTGTAAGGCAGTGGTTGATACATAGTGGCATTCATCAATATGGCCTATAGTAATTATTGTAGAGGAAGTATTGCTTTCCTGAACTGGGTAAACAGTAGTATATCTGCAACTGCTTGAATGATAAGTGCATCAGCCCATGTACCTTGAATACACATATTATTCAGATATCTTATCCATGAATTTTCGGTATTGCTCTCAATAAATCTCTCAGGATTGTCTCTCATAAATTGAACCCCAGCAGTACGTATATGCATGTGATGGTTGCTTTTGCCATATAATTGATGTGATACAGATCTAAAGAAACAATCACCTGCACCGCCAACATCTATTGATTGTAAACAAAGTGCACCTAATCTTGACTGCATCAAATTCTCAGAGGAAATAGGAGAGTTCAACTGCATTGGTTGAGGTCACACTAGAGAAAGTTTACTATAGTAAACTCAAGTTTACCATAGTAAACGGCGCCGTAAGTGTGACCGGCATTTTTCAGTTTACAATGGTAAACTCTATCCTGGTTAATTTCCATGACTACCGCGGAAAGAACAAAGATGACCCATCACCGATAACCATCTGGTTACCAAAAAAAAAAAGGTGGGTATATCTCTAGTCTATCTAAACTTTGTTTGTTTTGTTGACAGTTTGTCATGATTTTTGAGGAAAGTAGTTTCAAAAAGGGTCACATAACAGAATAGCTTTAGAACATCGGTGATTGCTTTTTCCACAGTGCTTGAAGGTTTCTGTTTCTGTACATTTCTTCAAACCATTCCTGGGGTCGAGGTTAAACCCACGCTTGCCTTCGCAATGCCGCTCTTTCTCTAAGAATACGTCTTCGATGAGTAATCAATAAACCTGTCACTAAAACATCTTCACTAACTTCGTATTCGAAACCAAGGTAGGTAATAAGGGAGCGCATTCTTCTTGCTCGTCTGAGCAGCAGAATTAAAAGCAAAATGCTCACAACAGAAAACAATACTCTCTCACATTGAAGCATCTTTGTACACTTGTGAGGGTCACGCTCAGGAAGTTACAGTTCAGTAATTTCAATTTAGTCAGCTCTCATAGCAGATCGTCATTTGTTTTACTTTTCACTCTCACGTTACCGATCACGCGAGAAAAAACGCCTGGAAAGCTTCAAATGCCTTTTTAAGTGGACCTGTCAGGTTTACTACGGTAAAGAAGACGTTGCGAGACTTACCATAGTAAAGCCCTTTTTACCATAGTAAAGTCTCTAGTGTGACCTCAACCAATGTTGAGCTGTGATTTTGCATAGAAGGTCTAATTATTACTTCATGATGATCAGTGTTGTATTGAGTAGGTCCTGGATTCTTCTCAACATCTTTACTTAGTTTGAAATTCACATAATTGGTCATATGACTCACACAATTGCAAGAAAACAATGATAAAGATCGACGTGCTTTACATTATTTTTAGTTTCATTATCCTGTGATAATGCCTGCTAAAGAAAGACAACAAATAAGCTTTCTTGGGTATAGCCATTTTATTGAAGTTAATTATCTTTGGATCGCGTTTGTTATTACATTTGTATCGTGCATGATAAAGTTTTCTCACCTTATTAACATAGCGATGGAGCTTTGAAGTCTTCGGTATGTCAATCATTGAAATCTTTTTGAAGACAAATTTTGATAAGTGTTCGCTTTGATTCTCGATAAATTTCACGATGGAAGGTTCACTCAATTTCTCGATAAGTTTCACGATGGAAGGTTCAGTCTCAGAAGTGATCGCTCGTAAATTTGTCTCTCCAAATATTCACTCTTAAATTTTCGCTCATAAACTAGTTGGGTTGGGGGAACGTGTCGTTCCCCAAAAAAGCTATAATCTTTCTCTTGACTGTCCTCCATGCCTCTTCTTTTCAAAATGGCGGATAAGATTTCAATGAGCCAGCGATATATCTCAGTCAGCGATATATCCCTAACAATGTAATGTTAGACTACACGCCTAAATCAACCACAAATTACTCCAAACTTCTAACTCTTTTAATACGTGTCGGTGGCGTTTTCCGCCATCTTGCGATTACATCATCTTGGCTAGAGCCAGTCCTTTTCGATATTATTCTAACTAGTTCCAGTTCTCTACATTCTCCCCCTCTGGAAAAGATGTTGTCCTCAACATGAACGGATAGACCATAGTCTCTTGTGGGTTATCTCGTGTAACAGTTCCTCGTATTCTTGTATCTCATTATTGGGTCAACAAAGTTATCCTGGTTGATCAGGCCAGAATGTTCGCTTAAGTTGCCCAAATGTTACTGTGTTATCTTTACTGCACTGTACTGTTCGATAACGCGCCTATATCGATTGTTTGCCCGTACAAAGAACATGTAGAGATCGAGAAAAAAAAAAAAAATCTCCTAATAAAACAAGGTTGTACCTCTTAAAACGAACGACATGTGAGTTATACTATATACTAAACATTTATCCGTCTTATCTAAAACGAACGTAATTTCAATTGGTCCAAATCAGTTCCTTTCTCTTCAAGTTAATGCCACCAGGCTTGCTGGTAACGCCACGCAGGCACAGGATACATCGGCTGAACGTGTACTGGGAAAGGTACAAAATAACTGAAGGGCTGAAAGACAGGTTGTTGCACCATCCATGATACCGGGACAGGCTGCCATAACTGGTGTGGATATGATGCTGTGATGCCGCGAATTCCTGTTGTGGAACTGGGTTGAAAGGAGGGTTGTCCCATTGCATCATAGGTCATCCTGAGGGGTGGTCTGCTTACGCGCTGTGACTGTCTTAGAGGTACACCATCTACAGCTTCATCATCGAACGCACCACTTGGTTGCTCTGTGTCTTCAGCCTCTCCCTCTGAGCCTGGACCATCAACTTGACAAGGGTAAGTGTCGTGTTCATCTAACTCTGGAACAATTTGGCAATTGTCTTCAGTATGATTCCTCGTAGACTCGTAAAATTCTTGAAGTTGACCAGGTGTTAACCCAGGGATGTTCTCATCAGTGGTTCTGGTTGTGTTCTCTTGTAGCTCCTGCTGTCTTCGGGTTGTCCTGGGCATCGTGCGACGACCCTTGGATGGCTTAGGTGGTATCTCAACAGGTAGAAAGGAACATGGTAGCAGCAGGTTGCGATGCAGAACTCTTGTCCTTCCATTACCAGTCTCTGGTTTTACCTCGTAAACTGGCATATCCTCCCTCTTTTGAGTAACAACGTGGATTTCTTGCTCCCAATAAGAGCGTAACTTTCCTGGGCCACCACGCTCCGTCATGTTTCGCACAAGAACACGGTCTCCTTCACGTAGCGTGGTATGTCTAACTTTCTTGTCATACTGTTGTTTCCCCATGTCTGCACTTTTCTTTGCATGAGCGGAGGCTAGTTCGTAAGCTTCTTTCATGGCTCTTCGCCAATTTTTAACATACTCAGGGTATGTAGAATATCCCTCTGGAGGTTTCAAGCCAAACATTAGGTCGATGGGTAGCCTTGGCGTCCTACCGAATAGTAGATAGAAAGGTGAGAATCCAGTAGAGTCGTGGCGAGTGCAATTGTATGCATGGACTACTTTATTGAGATGGTCACGCCAACGGGATTTCTGTTTCTCTGGCAGGGCTCTCAGCATTGATAGAAGTGTTCGGTTGAACCTTTCAACCTGCCCATTCCCCTGTGGATGGTAGGGGGTTGTCCGCGAATGTTTGATCCCACTCAGTTTCTCAAGGTTGTAGAAGAGTTTGTTTTCGAACTCTCCGCCCTGGTCATGATGAATGGTTCCTGGAAACCCAAATCTCATGATAAAGTCATTATACAGTTTGTTGGCAGCGGTCTTCGCAGACTTATCCCGGGTGGCGTATGCTTGGGCAAATCTGGTGTAGTGATCCATGATTACCAATATGTACTGGTATCCACCCGAGCTTGGTTCGAGATGAACATAGTCCATGGAGACGAGTTGGAAAGGTGCTGTGGAGAGGATAGGCTGAAGTGGTGCGTGGACATGAGTTGCGGGTTTACGTTGCTTCAGGCAACGACACACTTTTGTGACATAATGGGTGATGTCTGCTCTCATAAACGGCCAATAAAAGCGTTCTCTAGCTAGTTCCACTACTCTGTCGGCGCCCAAGTGCCCCATGTTTTCGTGTAGCTCTTCATACACCCTTTTGTGGTATTTCTTGGGTAAAACCATTTTGTCTCCACACCCAGTTTTCCGATAAAGGATTCCATCTTCAGCAATAAACAGTTTATTCCATTCGTGTAAGAGTTGTCGGGCAATAGCTGTCTCTTGCTGCCTTTCCTGATAGGTGGGACGCCTTCCAATTTGAATAAACTGTAAAACACGAGCAATTGATGGATCTTCTTGCTGAGCTGCGACAAGTTCATCACGTGGCAGAGTTGGAATGTCTACACGCTCTTCCTTTAACATGTCGTGTACTGCGGTGAGAGATGACAACCAGGCGGTCTGGGGGGTGTTAGTTACATGGACTGAAGATGTGACAGCATCCAGAACATCCTGATTAACTACTTCCGAACAACTTTTCATATAGCCCTCAAAACTGATTGGCATACGAGACAAGGTGTCAGCATCTGCGTTGGCTTTTCCTGGTCGATACCTGATCTCAAAATGGAAGTCGGCTAATTCATTAACCCACCGTAAACCAGTGGCGTTCAGTTTCGCTGATGTTAGGATGTATGTCAAGGGGTTGTTATCAGTGAAAACAGTAAACTTTGGCGAGTAGTAAAGGTAGTCACGGAAGTGTTCAGTCACTGCCCATTTTAGAGCAAGAAACTCAAGTTTTCCTGCGTGAAGGTGGTACTTTTTCTCAGCTGGTGACAGCGCTCGTGAAGCATAAGCAATAACTCGCATGACCCCATCCTGGTTTTGGTACAACACTGCCCCGAGACCGTCTTTACTTGCGTCGGTGTGGAGAGTAAATGCTTTTGAGAAATCTGGATAAGCCATAATGGGTGGATTACTGAGGTGTCCCACTAACTTCTCGAGGGCTAGTTGCTGTTCTCTTCCCCAAACGATTGGCGTCTTTGAGGGCTGTTGTCCATCCTGTCCTGTGCTGGTAAGCAAGTCATAGATCGGTTTCGCAATTTTAGCAAAGTTTTTAATGTACCTTCGGTAGTAACTTAGTATTCCTGCAAGCTGTCTTACTTCACCAACAGTTTTGGGTGTTACTTCCTTTAACTTCTCGATAGCTTGTACACACCCTGGATCCATCTGGTAACCATCACCTGACACAACTCTTCCTAAAAACTTGACCTCGCGTTTGAACAAACTACACTTGCGCGGCTTCAACTTGACTCCATGTGCTCGTAACTTTCGCAATACTGTTCTCAGATGCTCGATGTGTTCTGCAAATGTCCTACTAAATACTATGATGTCATCGAGGTACGGTATAGCCACTTTGTCCCTTAGTTCACCCAAACAACGTTCCATAAACCGTTGGAAATTCGCAGGTGCGTTCATCAATCCAAATGGGATCCTTACCCATTCATATAGCCCCCACGGTGTAATGAATGCTGTCGCTGCTCTACTGTCCCTGTTTACGAACCCCTGATGATACGCCTTACCCTGGTCAAGTACACTGAACCACTTATTTCCGCCAAGACTATCCAAGGTCTCTTGGACTCTAGGAATGGGATGTCTGTCAGCAATAGTCTTGCGATTTAGTTCTCGATAGTCAATGCATAGCCTTAGAGACCCATCCTTCTTGCGAACACAGACAACTGGAGAGGAGTATGGGGACTTGGATTCAGTGATGAAATTCTGGTTCAGAAGGTCTTCAATGTACTGTTTCACCTCCGGATACAGTGGTCGAGGAATTGACGTGTACTTCTTTTGCACTGGCCGGTTATTATGCAGATTAATCTCCATTTCCAGATCAGGGGATGCAGCCAATATCTTCTTCATTGGATGAGAATGACTCGTACTCTTCCCTCAGCATCATTTCAGCTGCAGTCCGCTGGTCATGATCCAAATCACCGAGATCAACTGCCGGAAGTGGGTTTTCATTTTCTTTGTTTTGCTGCTCAGCAGGGGTGGTGGGTCCCTGAGGTTTAGGTTTCTCAAAATATTGCTGGTCATTCTGGGTTCTACATTCACTCAGTCTAACATCTGCTGTTGTCACTGATTTGACTGCCTGAAGGACTCTAACGGGGTGCGACTCTTAAGCAGAATATCATGGTCTGTCCCATTGTGTACAGCAATCTGTACCTTAGATGACTTTCCTGGTTTGACATTTAACAAAGTTCCATTAACTTCTAAACCCTCTGGTAACTGTGCCAATTCATTTGGCTCAAACAGTACTGGTGTTAGCTTGTTTACTGGTCCTGTAGTTGCACGGCAGCCAACAGTTATCATGCTATCCCTTGGTATCACCACATCTCTCCTTCCCGTCCTCACTTTACAAATGGCATCTGAACTTGAACTCTGAATGAAATTTACCAAGGCATCTACTTTTGTCTTATCTGTTCCAGGGAAACTCTTGTAAATTGTTGGGTTTGGATTCTGGTCCTGACTTACTAACTCTTCAATGACATTGTATCCCAAAATGGGACAGTCCAACTTTTCTGATGTCACTAGGAAAGGCACTAACAGTTCCTCTTGATTGCTATCACTACCAGGAGGAGTTAGCATAACTCTGGCTTCCACCCACCCAATGTAGGGTATTTGAGACCCATTCACTGCTGTTAGGCTAAGGCTTGTCTCCAAGAGTTCTGACAACTGTCTAATGGCTACTTGTCCTAAGCATCTTTGGACAGAGTCGACTGATATTATTGAAACCTGGGCACCAGTGTCCCATAACATTTCACATTCATAGTCATTGAGCAAGCACTTCACCATACACTTCTTGCCAACAAGGCCAATAACTTTAGCATGCTCACTTGGAGTTAAATGACTGACACAGGCTGGGTCTACAAACTCTTTTGACTTACTTGTACTCGCCTCAGAAAGATGACTTATTGCTTGGCACAACACCTTGTGTTCAGCCCAGTGTCCCTTTTGACATCGCGTGGTGCAATACCATACACTCTGACACTGACTACATCTTTTAAGTTGTCCATGCTCTACTCCGGTTTTACAACAGTGGCTACATTGGTGAGACTTTGGTGGGTTTACGACTGCTTCCTGTCTCGCGGGAGCAGTCGATTCCTGTTTAACTGCTTCCTGCATCCCCTTGCCAGATGAGATTCGCTCCCACACTTAAAACAGTGATTGCAATATTCCTTTCTGTTCTCGAGGCAGCTTGAACACAAGGGTGGTCTTCTTCTCTCTGGCCACTTGCCTGGAGGTACACTTTGATTGCTGTTCTTCCTGACCTCGCTTTTCAATGCCTCGACTTCTGACTTGATTGCACTTATAGCTGTTAGAAGATCATTCTGAGGGCTGTTCTTCTTGCCTCCTTCCTTTTCTTTAGGTGGGCCATCAGATACCGCAGACGCTGATAATGGTGGTTGTTTGGTCTTGGTATTATTCTTAAGCTTCTTGTCCCTTTCCTTTTCTGCTGACGTAGCCATGCTCATCTGTTGCATCAACACTTCATCTGTCACATTTGAGTCCTTCAGGAATGGGCGAATCTTAGCACGAATACTTTCATCCTGTAAACCAGTTTCTACTGACCGAAGAAACAGACGTTGTATGTGTCCGGAGTCATACTGTAGGGATATTTCACCTTCTTCTTCACCACATGCAAACAGGATTTGTTGCCTCAGATCAAGAGCATTCATCAAAAATGCCTGGGTGACTCCTTTGGGCTCTGACATAGGGATGCCAGTGTTTGATAGAGTTCTGATGTATTCTTTGCACCATAGTGGCTACGGAGAATTTTCTTTAACCGATCCAATGTCAAATCTTCGTAAGTTTCGAGGTAACTCCTAAGTACCATGCCAGGTGTAATTGAGCGAATAACACCATCAACAATTTCACTCTCGCCATAACCTTGGGCCAACCCCATTTGAATTTGACGCATAAGGGAAGAAAAACTAATTTTGTCTTTCTGCTCGGGTTCCCCGATTTGACCACTGATCTTAAACTGTCTACGTAAAGCGCTAGTCGCTAGTAGTTTTTGAACAGGATCTTCCTTCGCTACGGGAGGAGGTTTTGAATCACTTAGAACTGGCTTACCATCTTCTTCATCGTTCTTGATGCCATGGGGTTTCTCTGTCAGCATGTCTTTTACGTCCTTGAGGTACGGCACGACTTCGGCTTCCTTCAGTTTTTCAATTTCATCATCGAGCCGTAGAGCAACACGTTTCGCCACAAACAATTTTGTTTTTCCCTCATATTCAACTTTGAAGAACTTGGCCATTCGCTCGAGTGAGCTCCAGCCCGCGGCATAGATGCTAGACTGTAATTCCAATTGAAGATCTTCTGCCATCATCGGCAAGGCCTCAGTTCCGATGTTTCCGATTGACAATGGCGGGCAGTGGAAGCACGTGGTCAAAGCGATGAGAGACACAAATATGCTCAAAAACATACCAAAATCGATCGCCAGAAACGTTCCATCCAGTGTTTCATCTTCGTCGGGTTACAAGTCCTGGCAGGGTCGCCAATTTTGTTAGACTACACGCCTAAATCAACCACAAATTACTCCAAACTTCTAACTCTTTTAATACGTGTCGGTGGCGTTTTCCGCCATCTTGCGATTACATCATCTTGGCTAGAGCCAGTCCTTTTCGATATTATTCTAACTAGTTCCAGTTCTCTACAGTAACGTTGAAAAAACGGACGGTCTGCATTTTAAGACCGGCGCCAGCCTTCGGCTGGGCCCCGGTAATAAGTCTTATACGTTCTGCTGTTGAAGACAATCTTACCGGGAATCTTAGCAAACTTAACCATAAGCTAAATTTGGCATGGAGGACGCCGGGATAATGAAACTGGTATAATACCCTGACTGTCAAACGGCATATAAGGTGTCTAAGTTAAACTAAAATTTTAAAATAGCTTTGAAATTACGGAGTGATGTTTAAAAACGATAGAGATCCCGGATGACCCCCATGTTAATGAATGCTGTGAATTTAAATGAAGGTCACGCTATCTTAGAGAAGCGGATTCCGCGAAGAACAAATTATCACACTGATTTAACAATCACAAAATCTGTAGCACGAAAGAAGGATATGTGGAGATTTTTTTTACAAATTGGTCGTTTCATCAGCTGGTTAACAAACGAAGCAATAACGTATGGTGATATTTTTATGAGAAACCCATGAAAGAGTGCCATCTGCATAATATCTGTTCAAACTCAAGCCAAGAACAAGCGAGACATGTTCCCTGTAATAAAATCTCTTCAGCTCATTTCTTAGCTCTTGCAGTGATTTTTAAACCATTTAAGAATGGTTTTCCGTAGCCTGCGTAGCATGGCGGTTTTCGTTGGGCGAACTAAGTAATAAAGGCGGGCGAGGGCAGGTGGCTACGCCGCTCCTGAGCCCGGCTCGACAAAACCGCCATGCTACGCAGGCTAGGTTTTCCGCTTTTCGAGATCTTTCGTTTTGATAACAACATTAAAATAAACCTAATACATAATCCGATGGCACTTTGTTTTGTTTGTACTGTTCGCGTTGATTTTTGAAAGCTCACCTTTGAGTTGAAGCTTCAACCAGTGTATGACCTCGGGTTAAAAAGATGAGACTTGACAAAAATAAGACATGCATAATTCGCGTGACTATCTGAGCTACCAGCAACACAGAACAAGAACTTTGTTGACGATATCAAGTGAAAGCTACTTTTGATGTTGCCGCTTTTGCAGGTGAGAGCGATAAGCAGTTCGGGAGTATGCCAGTTTTGGAAGAACCGAAAACAATGGTCTACGTCACCAACCATAACATGATCACCATGGCGATGGTCATTTTCAAAACATACAAAATGGCGGACAAGGGAGAGGGAGGAAGGAGTATTGACCAAAATTCCCGTTTATTCTTGTTTTATCGAGCCTTTTATTTGTCTTTTCGTTACTATGAATTGGGAAGTACCTTGAGGACAAGGAGTAACCATTCTTGCGCTATAGTTCTTCGCTTATCGCGCGCTTAGTAGGCACTGCGCACTCACTGCGTATGTAAATAGGTAAGCACGCTAACAAGTTTGTGCCCATTTATTTCATTATTTTTTTATATCATAAGGAAA